ACCGCTCCGACCCGGACGCTGCGGACGCTCGAGACGAGACAGCTCGATTTTCGCGCCCCTCCTTCCTCGAGGCTTGGGGCTAAAGGGTCGCCATGACAACCAGCGTGACAACGGGCAACGCAACGACCGGGCCGTACGGTCGGGCAAGCGGGCTTTCGGCGGGCCGCTGCTGCGCTGCCGGCGGGCCTTCACAGTGGGCGGACCAGAGGACCAGAGACACGGACTCGGCGAGGAAGGGAGATTCCTTCTCGGTAAGCGGTCTGACCGCCGGTCGCACGGTCGCACGGTCGTGGTCACACACGCGGCCCGGCCGGTGACTTGACTTGCCGGCAAATAATTGTTACGACACAGCCGCCCCGGCCCGGCCCGGCCCGCCGGCCCCGCCCCCACCCCTTTCCGCCCCGGCGGAGAAAGTCTCGCCAAAGACTTGTCCGGTCTACGGCGCGTCGCGGCGGGGAGGGCGGGGACGGGGCGGACGGGGAGGGATCCTTGGCAGTCGCCGTCCTCGCAGATCCCGGCCGAGATGCTGAGGCGCTGCGACGCGACGCGCAACGCGCTGGCCAGGGCAGCACGCACGACCGGCCGGCCCTCGTCGCTCTGTCTCTCTCGCACTCATGGGCGGCGTCCCAAGCCCCGTAAGGGCGCGAGAGAGACAGAGCGACGCAGCAGTGCTCGGAATGTCCAGGGGACCTACAGACCCGGCGCCCGGCGCCAGAAACCTTGGCGGAAATTTGAGACTTCAGACCGCTGGGATTAATCGTTCAAAGGCGCTGGTTAGGTTAGGTTGACAAGGGTGGGTAATGATGGCTACTGGGCCACTCTCCAGCCAAACACAGACACACTTGGGACGGGCCGACAAACTCGCAACAGGCGTGTATTCGTTTCTGGAAAATGAATCGCGGAACGCGCACAGTGTACGGCGACAAGCACGTTCCCCCGCAAAGGACTGGCTTCACGTTCGCCACGTTCGCGGCAAAACTAGGAAGGAACCCGAGCCGCGGCCGGCCGTCACATCACGTAACAAAACGGGTGGAACAGTCAAGCCAAGTCAAGTGGCCGGCCGAGGGGGAGGGGGAGGGGGCCCAAGGGGCCGAAGGCAGCGTGAGTGATCAGTCCCTTGATTACCCTGTCGAAAAACTGCCGGACTCTGACTTTACGGGCGATAAATAAAAGATGTTTGTTGGTCTCATAAAGTCGGTCCTGTTGTTTTGTTTCATCCCACAACGACGGGCTGCGCCAATAAAGTGAATCCCTCTAGAGTTCCTCCTCCCTTCCCACGGTGCGCGTGGCCGAGAGAGTACAGCAGTGGGTTCCCGATGACGGGGTGCACGGGTTCAAATCCACCCGCAGCGTCACGTACTAATTCAATGAGGTATTTCTGCAGAAAGAAGAAGAAAAGAAATTTGCAAGGGCCGCCGCTAGAACATAACAAACCCTCTCTTGTTGTCAGGTTGTTTTCTGCTCTGCGCATGCGCAGAAGCTCCCGAGCAGAAAAAGGTCAGAAAACAAGTGACGGTTTGTTAATGTTTTGTTCCAACGGCGGCCATCTTGCAATTACTTTCCTCTTCTTCCAGTCGAAATACCTCATTTTCCTTCCGCGTTGAAATAATTTTAAACTTTCTTGCATCCTCATTGCTTAGCTCTTGTTATCATCCAGCGCGGCTCTTCGCCCATCGCCCAGGCCATTAGAGGCGGCAGGGCGACTAATCGCACGAAGAGGAAGGGGGAGGGGGGCGGGGCACGCGGCCTAAAATGCGGGTGTGCGGTGTGCGTGCCCGGCGCCATTAATCTGCGGGAAATCTTTGGCACTCCATGAGCTAAAGAGCCAATTGCCACACGAGGGAGAAACTGCACGCGGCTCTCGCAGTGCTCGCAGTGCTCGCAGTGCACACGCGCGGGCCGAGACGGACGGCACGACGGACGCTGTGGACGCGAGCGGACGGACGGACGGAGCGAGACGCGGACACGCGTGAGGCGCGCGTCGCGTCCGCGCCGAGGTCTGCACGTCCCGTTCGTTCATTTGAAATGTCGCGCGGCGGAAATGCCGCCCTCCCGGAGTTTCCGGATCGGATCCGAGCCGCAAGTCTGCAGTCCGGCTCCAGAGTTACGAGGCGGGGCAGTCAAACAACTCCGCCACACGACAAAAAAAAAAAAACAACAAAAAACAACGTAAAAACCATACCGTGCTTACTCATATGACCCACATTATCGCGTTAGCAATGTGGATCAACGAGACTGACTCATATACTTGCTAAACCGCGAGCGGCGTTCTTGCGAGAAGCTGAGCGTCAGCATTTCACGTATTATTGCTAAACCCGAAATCTTCTCAGGTCATCGCTTCTGTTCCGCTTCGCCCCTTCTTCATTCGTCTCGTTGCTGTTCTGTGTTTTTGTTTCGTTTCTCTTAATCCCGACACTCCACGGCTCGGATGACATGATGGATGAGTAGAGGCGCGAGGCGAGAAGATGACAAGAGCGGGTCGGAGCGGAGGGGGAGGGGGGGAAGGGGGGCGTGCACTTTCTCCGCCCGTCTGCTGGCAGCCGGCGACACGGTTTGTCCAGTCCAGCCGCGACCTTCACAACCGCGCGCGTGAGTGTGTGCGTGTGTGTAGGTGTGCGTGTGTACGCAATGCGATGCGTAATGCGGTGGGAGCCCCAACAGCTGTGCACAGCCAACAAAGCGGCCGGAACACTCCGACCTCCACGACGCATCGCGCAGCATCGCGCAAGAAACGAAAACAGAGAATGACTTACCGATCTGATTGCGATTCTGTTGGCACGCCGGCGGTTCCATCCGCGGCCGGCGCTGCGGTCGGCTCGGCTTTTCGAAGCTCGACCAGCACGGCCAGCACGGCCAGCTTGTCGCGACCCGCTCCGCCAGGCTCCACCAGGCTCTCCACGCTACGCGTTCCGCTCGGCGAAGGCCTGCCTGGGCCTGGCTGGGCCTGGCGGGCCGCGCGGCCTCAACGCAAGCAGGGCAAGCAGGGCGTGAAGCGGCGTGAAGCGGCGTGAAGCGGCGCGGGGATGCCGCTGGATGCAACGCGGCCACCGCTTGGGGGCCGACGGCCGCCGAGGGTCGCGGAGCTAGGCGCTGTTGCGTACGACAGTCAACATCTCATTTCAGACCGCAAATGCACAGCGGTCCTCTAATTATGTTCGTTGGAGGCAGTCCAGTTAGGGCGGAGGGACCACCAACTCGCGAAATCAACCGACGGTTCCCCTCACTCTAGCCCTCAGTCCGCCCCGCCCGCCGAGCCGCGCTCCATTCCAGTGCGCCCGCGGAGCCGAGCATAGGCAACCCGGTCGCCCGTTACGGCACGCGTTCGACATTACGTTACTCACCCAGACCGAATAAACGTTGTACGCCTTAAGAGCCGCAGTTCAATCGATCAGTTTGAGTTAAACGTTCCTTGAACTTGTTGCAGCCTATCTTTATTACACGTTTAGGTGAACATTTTTAAGGCGGTTTATTATTGCACAGCAAGTGTCTGGCTGAGCGAGACGCACCCGGTGCGGATCAAGCAATCACGCCTATCTTCAAATGCCCATTACACTGCCGACTGCTGTAGGGTATGGCTGGCCGTGGTCGAGAGCGTGAATGCACCGATCCCAAAGTCCCACTACCATCATCCTGGCACGAAAACATTGCACTTTTGTTTTAAAATTATTTTGGGTGTGTGAGGTTTGTGGGGTCGCGTTAATTTGCAGCTGCCGATTTTGGGCGGCGAGCAGTGGCACTGCTCCTTGAAGGCACCCCGGCGTGTGGCAACAAGCAGCGGGCCGCAACATCCCGGCCCGGCGGCAGCAAGGCAGCGCAGCGCTGCAGGCTCACCGCGGTACCGCGGACCGAGGATTCATCTGCCGTCTGATTCCGAACACTGCTTCGTCACTCTGTCTCTCTCGCACCCCTACGGACCACCCCATGAGTGCGAGAGAGACAGAACGACGAAGCAGTGCTCGGAGTCAGACGGCTGGCCCGCGGCCCACGCACCGCCCTGCACCGCCGTACCGCTGGTACCGCGTGGGGCGTTGGGCGCAGGGCCACTGAAAACGAGCGCCTCTTCGCTCCGTCTCTCTCACAGCCCTGGCGGCCGGCCCGCGAGTGCGAGTGAGGAGAGCGCACTGTTCGGAAGCACGCCGCGCCGGCTGCAGGCGGCGCCCTGTCCAGGCCGTCCAGGCTCCAGATAAGCACTGCGTTCCGATAAGGCCGCCGGATTGCCAAAGAATTATTCATTACGCTAATGGCGGCTGGCGGCCCGGCCTGGCGATTTTGAGGCTGCGACTGTGCGCGCCGCGTGCCGCGCGACAGGCAGACCGATTCCGGACAGTCGTTGCTTCGTCGCTCTGTCTCAGTCGCACTCGTGGGGCGTCTCGCAGGGATGCGAGAGAGACAGAGCGATGAAGCGGTCCTTCGGAGTGGAGTGGCTCGACAGCCCGTACTTTGTGGTGGCGGCCCGCTGGCCCGCCGGCCCGGCCCATGGGTGTAAAGATGCAGGCCGACGGCGGCGGGGCGGCAATACATCACGCCGCTTTTATTTTACGGTGCAGCTGCCGCCCTGCCACGCCGCACCGCCGCGCCGCGCTCCAGTCCTAACTAGCGGGGATTCGGGCGCGAGTTGCGCGCGTCTTGAGTCGCCGTCGGTGCCGCGCTGCTTGCCGCATCGCGCGTGGCGCATCGCGCAACGCGGGGCATGTGTCGCCGACTCGCCGCCGCACCGCGCCTTCCTGGTCCAATGCAAATGCGCGACCGGGACCACGGACAGGGACCCTGGCGGTGTGGTGGTCTGGCAGGGACCGGGCCAGACATGTGGCCGATTGCGGCGCCGGGGTCGGGCAGCGCCACGGGGGGCTGCCTAGTGCCTACCGGGCACGGCGCGGCACGCAGTCTATCTCGCACTCGCACCCCAGGTGCACACGGGTGGTTAGAGCGAGAGAGACAAACGAGAGTGAAAGGGCGGGCCAACGCTTTGACGCCTTTGACAGTGTCGTTGTTGTTTGCAGAGGTGATCGACATGGGCGTGACGGGGAGGCGGTCGTCCGGGCCGGGCCCCGCGGGCGTGGCGGGGGAGGAGGGGGAGGCGCCCCCGCACGCCCACCTCACGCTCGCCATCACGGCCGCGCCCACCGCGCTCAACTACCAGCACGTGCAGGGCGGCTTCGTCCGATCCGTGAGTACCACCCCAGTCGGTTGTTTTCGCTTCCCCTTGCGAGCCCCTAGGCCAACGCACTCCCAGTGGACGTGCAGTTGCTCCCAGACTGCCTGCCCTGCTTGCTGGGGGTGGGTTGGGTACCCAGTCTACCTAGTGGGTACCCAGTGGGTAGACAGACTGGGATGCAGCACGGTACACAGCGCCTTTAAATGTGACATTGGAATGCGTTCAGGAGCCCGCGTCTAGCCGGCCGCAGGACGAGGAGGCCCTGCAGAGCGGCCTGACGCGCCGCAAGCGGGACCACCACCAGCAGCAGCCCGCTGACCAGGAGGCGGAGGCCTCCTCCCAGGCAGAGGACGAGGCCGTCGAGGACGACGCCGAGGCCGCGGCCAGCGCGCACGACGACGGCGACATGTTCCTGGAGCCGGACGCGGGCGCCCCGAGCACCACCGGCGAGCCGGAGCACGTCGCGGCGGCCACCACCGAGGACACGACGGGGCAGCCGCAGAACCTGTTCCCCGCCTTCCAGCCCCTGTTCCCGCTGGGGCACTCGCGGCCACCCATCTTCCAGGTGAGTGAGGTATGAGAAATGTCGCGGCGGTTGGCAGTGTGGTGCATCTGGTGCCATTGGAGCTCGGCGACCGAGGCGACCAAGGCGTCCGCCCTGGCCCCGTGCTCCACTCCCGCACCCCCTCGTCTCTGTCCGCAGGAGCCGGCGTTCAACCAGCGGCAGGCGCTGCTGCGGCCACAGCAGTTCGGGGCGTTCCACCCGCACGCGTCCCTGGGCCACCACCTGTCCGAGGCGCAGGTCCGCGAGCCCCGCCTGGAGCTGTCCTCCGGCATCGGGCCGCACGGGTTCCGCGAGCGCGCCTACCCGCAGCCCGCGCCCGTCGCCGCGCCCGCAGAGCTGCAGCACGCCAGCACCATGCTGGGCTCCGGCAACTTCGGCGTCATCCACGGCGGCACCTTCTACGGCGAGGAGAAGGAGGCCCAGGAGTACGACTCGCCCTCCTCGCCCCTGCACTCGTACTACGGCGGCAACGGCCACGGCCGGCCCGCCTTCTACCGCGGCAACCCCGAGCCCCAGCGCTACCGTACATCCGAAGACTTCTTCGCCAACTTCCGCGACTTCGCCGACATCTCCACGCCGACCAAGTCGAGCTTCAGCGAGTACTACGTGGTGTACGTGAACCGGAACGCGTCCCGCGCCGACGCCGGCACCGTGGTGGGCCCCACTGGCGTGGTGTCGGGGGGCCAGCCGCACCTGCAGTCGCACCAGGCCAAGGCCGTGCCCCGGCCGAACAACATCTTCGAACGGCTGGCGCAGATCGACCTGGAGCACGCCGCCAAGAAGGACGGCAAGGACGCGGAGACGGAAGTGCCGCAGAAGAAAGTGTCGCTGGGCAAGCGGAAACTCGCCCTGCTGGACAAGAAGAAGGGCGGCAAGAAGACTGCGACGCCCAGGGAAGTCCCCCAGAGAGATGCCCATGAGCCCCTCCTAGCCCTGAGCTGAGCCCTTGCCAGCGGCCAGCGCCGAGACTGAGTGCGTTTGAATCGGACGCTGTCTGCTGTCCTGTCGTGTCCAGGTGGTGCGTCGCGTCGTGCGTCGTGCGGACAGTCTCTGTCCGAAAAACGAAAACGAAAACGACGCGGCGCGAGGCGTGAGGCGGGAAGCACCCAACTGCTTCCCCTGCTACACGCGCCACTGGCTTACCAAAAAACATTCCTTTCCAGTTGGCCTACATTGGGGGATTTCCACGGATGTTGTTTGTCAATGATTGCAAGAAAGTTGCTTGCATACTGCCAGGTCGAAAATGACCAAACCTCCTTCTAAATTATTTGAAAGAAGAAGTGGATGTGTTTGGGTGCAACTTCGAAAGTGTAGCACATCATTTTTAAGTATGAGATAAATTGCCCAAAATTTAACGGGAGGGTAGGGGAGAAGTTGAATTAAATCAGTATTTCCTTAGGTATCATTTTTGATTTAGTTTTAAAGAAGCAAAGCTGATGTTATCTTGAATTTACTCTGTTGATTCAGATAAAAGTATTTATAAGGCTGACTGCTAAAGAAAATTATTGACTTTGAATGGAGAGAAGTATTATGTTCTAGTGCAAATAATGATTGCTGCCACAGAATCAAACTCATATTGTAAGGTAAAGCGCTGTACATATCTATTTGAGAATTTTCTTCATGACACCACATCTTAATATAATTTGTCTTTCTTATACTCATACTATCTCTTTGTTTCGATTTCATGCCTTGTGTAAATATCATTTTATATCATCCAAGCACTATCAACTAGATATAACTATAGAAATATGAATGTATACTCCTATATCTCTAATATTGTGTAATGATTACCAGAAGAAAGTTTTTCTCTTTTTGTTCCAAAAAGAATAACTTTATTTTTTTAAATTCTGCAGGTTGACAAGAATGAAGATAAAGAGTTTAAAAATCCAATGTTAATGCTGTGACCAGTGGAGTGAACAGTCTGTCATGTTATGCGAGAACGTGTGTATAGCTGGCAACTCAAAAAGCCCATGTTCCGCTTTGGATTACACAGCAGCTTTTATCTCTAAAAAATTATACTGCAGAGAATGAATTTGTAGACATGCTCTTTAAATGTACCTTGTGAAAGTACATCCCTTCATGTGGTATTGTTATTTTGTTTGTTGTTGACTTTTGTAAATAGGAGAAAGTAAAAAAAGATACAAAACATACTGATATTGAAATATTTATTATGTCCTCAAATATGGGATGGAAAAAGACATTGAGTCACGGACCAGAAAAAAAATGACAATCCTAATTGTATCTTTGCAATTTTAGCAACCACCAATACTAACAGAAACTTTTGTCAGTGCACTAGTTATTTGTCACATTATTGGTTTGCCAGTCATAATAAACTTAGACATAGATTAAGCAATTGGCAGTTAATTTAAAAAACAGGGGAAGTTAGATAGTAAGAATAGGTCACTAAAATTTTGTTACCTATGGACACTTGAGATCAGATAGAAACATTCCAAAATTTAAGTTGGTACTTTCTTACGTACAATATTAGTACGTAGTTTATCAGCCTTCAATACTCAATAACCCCTAGACAAGGGTTACTTTGACTGGTGAAAATTACAACGTACACAAGTTTTACAACAAAAGGTATAGAAAAAGGACGGCTTTGCTATGTACACACAAAAAAAATCATCATTTAAAAATGAGATTCAACTAAGGTCAAGCACCACAAAGAAAGATAAAAAGATAAAACTGAAAGATTAAAACAGAAGAAACACTTGTCAAAAGATGAACACAACAAAAATAGAGTATCACACAGCTTCCTATTGAAGCAGATAGTCAAAATGAAAATATACTTCACAGCACTAGCAGTTTAGAAAAAGAATTGTAAGGGATTCAATCTTGGAACTGAACTGAGACAACCATATATTTCCAGATACAAACCACAATTTTTAAACAGTAGACTGTAGAGGGAAGGATAAGCAGCAGCTTCTACTTTATATTCATAAAGAGTTTTGATTTGGTCATGTTTCAATGATAAGTAAACAATAATGGTCCCAGACTTTTCTCATCTGTAACATCATGGCGATTGGGGACAGCTTCAATTGAGAGATGAACAGTAAATTACTTGGCTTTAAGTCAGTACTACACTCAAGAGATACACAATAATGTTTTAGATTTAAAAAATTAAATCAGTCACAACCATCAGATTACATAAAAGCAGCCTTATTCTAAAAGAAATCACAAACATCATGACTTTGGCTTCTCTTAAAAGAGTTATGTGATGTGTCAATGTTTACTACTTATTTGAAGATTTCCAAACATTTACTATCTTTTGAACAACAGAATGTAAATGCTTAGCAGTTGCTGTTACAGCTTCCCTATTTTCTATTGTGATATGAACAGGAGCACGCAAAGACAGACTGTACATTGTTTTATATACAGAACCACCACTCTCTTCCTTTTTAGAACATTGCGCATTTGATTTTGTAGCTGCAAGTAGATTTGACTGGAGACGCTGCTCAAAAAGATTTAAAAAACCTAATTCTCTTTTAACTTCTTCTTCTTCAGCTGCGGGCGTTTCTTCAAAGAACATTGGCATGTCTGAAATTTGAGAAAGAATTTAGTTGTCACATGAGCACTAGTGCAGGCACAAACTACTTTGAGCTCTCAAGTCAGTAAAATCTTACCCCCGCCTCCTTTACTTGCATCCATGCGTGATGCAAGAACATGCAACATAGGGGCAGCACTAAAAAGTAGCTCTAAAACTGCATTATATGCTCGGAGCCTGGCAGCAGGGGTGGTAGCATCTAAGACATAAATAAATTTATGAAAGTTGCAGTTTTTAAATTGTTCTTCTATTGCATTTAACTAATTTCAAAGGCTTACTTAGAGCAATGAATTCAGCTAGAGCAACCCTTTCCATTTGAGCATTGAGGTACTCTCCTGGACGCTCTAAGGAAGTATACATATCACAAGCTTTTTCATAGTGGAGTCGGCTGGACTGAAGTACAGCTCGTGCATGTCTTTCATCTTTATTCCATGTATTTCTGGATATAGAGAAATCAAATATTATTATAATGTTTATGAATATGAAGCAATAGAGATTGCTGTGGAGCAAAAATCACAAACCTGTATGATTTGTGATGTAGAGCTGCCAGTCTGTGATGAATTGATGCTGCTCGATACTGATAAATTGGTTGTCGTGTTCCTGGAGTTTCTGAGTCACAGTACTTCAAAGCACGAAAGAGGAGATCTACTGCCACTCTTTCAGCCTCATCAGCTGTCTGAGGAAAAGACAGACAAATCAGTTATAGTTTATTTTTAGAATTGGAAAACCCTGAGATATTTTCATAATGCATTTCCAGTACTTACTTTTATATGTGGAGCAGGAGACTCAACAGCAAGAACTGCCATGTTGTAGAGCGCAGTTGAAAGCTCCCACACAACAGCATCCCAAATATCCTCATGTCCCTTCCTCTGCCCTAAGTTATCAAGGGCACTTTGGTAACTCGAGAGTGACTGCATCAAATGAACAGAACATTTATTATCCAAATTCATAAGTCAGGCCCTCTCTTACTTTTTAGGGATTCTTACTCACCCTGTTATAAAATGAGCGTTCATGAAAGAAATGCTCTTTAGGGTCGGCACCAGCAGGAGCATAGAAGTGGGCACACAACCTAAGCAATCTTCCAATATTTGAGTAAAGCAGAGCCACATTTGCCTTGTCATCAACGGCCTCAAAAGATGACAATCCTTTTTCTAAATGTTCCAAGGATTGGTCAAACTTTGCCCTAAATGCTGACTTGACCAAGGGATCCATCCTTGCATAGCTCATTTGCATTTTTTTAACAGTGTCATCATATTTGGCTGAAAAGAAGCACAAAAAGAACATAGAGACAATAGAATTGCTAAGGCAACTGGGACCGTGGGAGTGGGGAAACTTACCCTGGGCTTGGCTCATGTACAGGCAACCTAGTTCATTATGTACATTCCCTATTCTTCGATTGAAGTTTACAAGCTCTGGGCTGAGTTCGAGGCCTCTCTTGTAGCAGGAAAGCCCAGTCTTCAGCATTTGCTCCATTGATTCAAGTTTTTCAGGCAAAAGACTCAATTCCACACTGTCCAGGTCCGGACAGTCCCGAAACATTTCATGTTCAATTTCAGCATCCACGCCAGTGTTAGACACCAGATCCCGTCGATGAGAATCAATCTTGGGCCAGTCCTGCACTAGCATGAAACAGCAGTCACCTGCTCTGCCCAGAAGGTAGCTTTCAAGCCCTCGACGCGGCCTCTTAGAGGGTCCCAGTAAACGATCCAGGACTTCTCGGCAGCGGAGAACTCGCCCCACCATTTGCACAGCCCGTCCGAACCTATACACAATTAAAACTGATATAAAAGGAGGAAACAACAAAAAGATTTCACCATGTAATCAAAACTTTACCTTTCGGATGCGTAGTCATGCTCAGCTAATGTGGCATATACAAGACAAGCTTTTTCATACAAGAGTGTCTTGAGATGTGTGTTCCATGAAGCATTGTCATTTGCGTCAGGAGTCTGCCAGGTAGGCATACAGCCAGCAGGCATTGGACACAACAGATTCTGAAATAATAGGAACTGAATCACGACAGTCTCAGTCTAAACCTCTACAAACAGGCGCCCAGCGCCCCTGCGACGCAGAGGGTAGGCCGTCCCGTCGAACAAGCGAGTGTTGCGGGACTGCCTGCCCACCAGGCGCCCAGAGCCCCTGCGACGCAGAGGGTAGGCCGTCCCGTCGAACAAGCGAGTGTTGCGGGACTGCCTGCCACAGGCGCCCAGAGCCCCTGCGACGCAGAGGGTAGGCCGTCCCGTCGAACAAGCGAGTGTGCGGGACTGCCTGCCCACCAGGCGCCCAGAGCCCCTGCGACGCAGAGGGTGGGCCCGTCCCGTCGAACAAGCGAGTGTTGCGGACTGCCTGCCCACCAGGCGCCCAGAGCCCCTGCGACGCAGAGGGTAGGCCGTCCCGTCGAACAAGCGAGTGTTGCGGGACTGCCTGCGCACCAGGCGCCCAGAGCCCCTGCGACGCAGAGGGTAGGCCGTCCCGTCGAACAAGCGAGTGTTGCGGGACTGCCTGCCCACCAGGCGCCCAGAGCCCCTGCGACGCAGAGGGTAGGCCGTCCAGTCGAACAAGCGAGTGTTGCGGGACTCAGAGGCTAAACAGGAACCAAACTATACTCTACCTTTATTCCATCAGGTTTATTCACATCATCATTAATGCTAGACCCCTTTGCATTTTTATTTTTATTCTTTTTGATCTTTGGTTGCTTTTCATGGTGTTTCTCCATATGTTTTTCTGCTGGTTTATCATTTTCCTCTTTTTGATCTGGTTTCTTAAGAGGGATGTATGGCATGGGAATAGGCTCAAATGGTTTAGCCATTTGAGGAGCATCCTCTTCTTCTGGCATCTGATGTTCACCATTTGAGTTTTTCTGTAAAGAAAATACAAGGATAGAAAGTAACAAAACAGCGCTCTGCTGAGTCAATGGAAAATAATGAAATTTCATAATGAAGACCTGCTCAGACTGTCCAAAATACTGAAGACATTGAAGACCAACAGCAACTTGTTTCAATGCCAACATACAGCGTTCTGGTACACTTGCAGCAAGAGGAGGGGGTTTAGAGAAAACTGGAACTTCCTCATCTAAAATTAAAATTATAATAAAAATGTAAAAATTTCAAGCAAATATAGAAAAACAAATTAAAGAAAGTTAGTATAAACACACCATCTGTTTCACTTTTAGATTGAGTGTCATTATTCAAGATATTCAATGCCATCACAGACGTAAGCGAATTTCTTGGATAATCTTTGAAGAGTTGCTTTCTCTCAGGTTCAATGAAATCTTCAGATTCTTCTGAGTCAGAGGATGGAATAAGAGAATTATAAGAGGATTTCTTGCGTGGGCTGAAATGAGCAATGTTATTAGTCATTTTGTCAGGAAAATAACAAAAAATGCAAATTTAACTGATAAGAACCTCTTTGAATCAGTTTGAGTCTTCTTTTTGTTAAAGAATGAGCCGGTAGTGGTACAATTTAAATTCTGATTTCCCTGTTCCCTTTCTTCATCATCCAATTCATCATCAAATATTGGTTTTGCTGGGTCTAAGGTAGCTGGTATAAATAAATCTGACAGCATATAGCGAGCTGATGTGACAATCTGAAATGTCATAAGAAATTGACAGTGAAAGTGCATTACAAAAGGCAAACAGCTCTAAAATCAATAAAAGCAAGATAGATTTTTTTTTTATTTCCCAGAATTGAATTTCATACCTGAGGATATTTTTGAGCATCCAGCAACCTTACACAGTTTTCTAAAAGAACTGCTATGGTGCTCCTCTTGTGTTGGCTTTCCATTGAGTGCTTCATGTTGCGAGCAACTCGATACAGCAGCATTGCCACAGGAACCGTAAATGGATTCTGCCCTTTGTCATCCACATTGTCACATAGTGATGTCAAGTCATACAACTTCACAACATCATCATCCTTCCCTGGAGAACATTTTTAAGGTGATAATGGTGACTTACAGAACACGAAATATGATTGTATTGTAACTATGGACATTTGATGACATTTTAATACCTTTAAACAACCAATAAGTGTGTCCTGCCTTGGCAGCATTAGTCTTGAGGAAAGACAAAATGTTTTGGGCCACATCTCTTATATGCTTTGCTGAAAACTTTGAGTCACTCAAATATGGCAAATCTTCAGTTTTTACCAATTCATACCGCTTAACAATCCCATCGAGGTGGAAGCACATAACTACCTCAGGCACATTACTCATTAAATTGTCTAACCAATAATCAATCCCAGTAAGAACACTGATAGGTTTTGCCACATCACTGAAATCAAACAGAAACTGCTATGAGAAATGATCATGTAAACACAGCCTTCATAATAAAAAAAACCTAAAAGAATCTTATGTATCTACCATAGTCGCAGACTAATACATGGATGAGTTGAACCACCAAAAATAGGCATATCAGTCCCCAACAGCATTTGCAAATCCTCAAAATTCCATACAACATTTCTTAAAAATCTATGATTTGAGCCAGAGTCGGGAAGTTCTTCTGTGACTTGTGGTTCAGGCAGTGGTGGCTCTTTTGTCTGCAATAATAAAATAACAACATTCAACCTCACATGTGTTAAGAAACTGCTCCGCACTGTGTTATCAAAGAAAATCCACTTACAGATAAGGGGAGTCTGGAGGCTGGTTCAAGAAGTGGTGGAGGAGGAGGAGGTGGATCTGTAGCAGCAAGACTGTGATGTAAAAACTTGCTGACAAGTTGCCTATTCTGAAGAGCAGATCTTCTATGATTTGGTACCAGGCCTTTATCCTATTTTTAAACAATACACAAGTTACCAAAAGAAAAAGAACAAAGGGCAAACAAACCATAAGAACTGACAGGACCCCCAACATCAGCTCTTACCTTAATACTCATACTTTGAAGAACATTGCTGAGTAGAAACTCACGTAGCCATTCCCAGTCTGATTTAGATTGTTGTAATAATAGTTTATGAACATCAAAGTCATCTATCAGAAGCGTATTCTCCACTCTATGAACCATCATACTCACCTGAAATTAAAGGCAGACAGACTGTAAATACACACAAACACTCCAAAAAGATAAATGACTACACTATTTGGCTACACACAACATAAGACAATCCAAACCATCCATTTCTCAGCTAGAAAAAGGAAAAATGCTTACTACGCCTCTGCTGTAAGGAATCTTCAGTAGCTTCTTAATATTTTCCGCATCTGATACAACATCTACTTGACCGACACAGTCTGGGAACATGTGAGCCAAACGAAAGCTAGAAATTTTGTCAATAAATGCAATTAGAATAGGGTAATCATAAAGTTGTGCAACAAATCAATAGTATCCGACTAGAAATACCTTGAAAAACCTGTCGAGTGTGCTGGCACATGCTGAAGTCCATACGATTCAGCTGAACTTGTTAACCAATTAGATGGTGGCAAATTCAAATCGGTATTACATTGTAACTGTGCAAAAGAAGCAGCTTGTGGCACAGCTGAGTACTTTACTACAGCTGTAGATTTAACTGGAGATTCATTCGCTGCTGGCATGAGCTGCCAATTCCTCATGTCTTTCAAGGGAAGCTGTAATAGAATGGGAGAGAAATTATGCAATGTAAAGCGGAAAAAGAAAAGAAAAAAATAATATGAACATTTTGAAAAAAAAAATTATAATTTCGTTAATATTAGTCGGAAAGGGGCAATCAAAACAAATCACAAATGACAAGCATAACCAACAAATGTTAACAGCCGTTACCTCTGCATCTCGTGGTTTTTGGTTGTCATCCGTGCCATTCGAATCCTCCATTGTTTTCAGAGACAAATGAACCGATCCTTGGTCGGTTTCTACTTGGAATTCAATAAATATACGTTCAACCACAAAAAAAATCTACAAATGTAACCTACAACAGCGAGAGAAAAATAAGGATCAAGTTACACAAACATTCGGATAAGAGAGGGCGGTGAAGCAAGTAGTGTCAACAACTTGACAATCCTAAAAGACGGTACCGACACATGTACATTAGAAATTCATTTTAGGAAGCTAAGGAGCCTAATATTCCAATGCCAATGTCACGTTTTTTATTTCAAGCGAGAAGAATAGCTGGTACTGCTCAGGGTTCGAAATGTGGGAAAGAGGCAGAAGGCGTTCAGCTTTGTTGGGTTGTCATCCAAGGGTGAAGGACCTGCATTTTAGCAGACGAAAAGCAGACGAAAAACAACAAGAGTGGTGTAGTAGCGAAAATTTCTGCTTGTTTATCTGTACTTGACGTCCTTCGGAAGAAAAGGGGCATGTCTGAGAATCTCTCTGAACAAAGCACGTTATCTTTGAGAAACAAAGCTCTTCTGAAACGAAGCATGAACCGCAACCACAGTAATAACATGAGGTATGCAGGAAGTCCCATTTTTGCCTAAGGTGTTTACAGGCAAAGTAGTTTTGTAACTCCTTTTTTTTTTCCAAAACAAAATGAAAATGGCCGAATTTTTACTATTCTTACTATCATAAAGTGACATTGAATTGTGGTATCTTTGTTACACAGGGCAGGATATGTGGCAGTGAATGAGCAGTACCTACACAAGACAGGTCTTCGTGGAAGAAAGACATATGCCTTTTGGACTCTTATTATGTTGCTTTTCTTCATGGCAGTTGGAAACCTTATGTTGACTTTCATTATCCTTGGTGTTCTCCGTCTGGGTCAAGGTAAAGATATACTGGTTTCCGACATTTCTATACAAATTTTCTAATGTATTTCGAAGCTCTGCATTTATTCTGGATGATTTTTTCTTCGCAGGCATGGAGAGCCTGGAACTAGTTCCCGAGGCTTCCCTTATTAAGTTTTTTGGAAACACTGACTTAGATCGAATTTTCAAACGAGATGGCAAATTAGAAAGTTTTAATGATGCACCACTAAAGCTTACTGGAAACAATGGCTCCGTCGTAGTCAAACTGGTGAACACTGGGGATGCCAACCAACCCAGAATAGTTAGTAATCAGGACGAGACATCTGTCATAGGAGTAAAATCTTTTGATATTCAAGACCCTAGTACAGGTCAAACTGTTTTTTCCACTGACTTTCCCAATTTTGGGCTACCTCAAGGAGTGGAGAAATTGGACATAAAACTAGCCCGCACCCATCGTATTGCAAGTCCAATTGATAAAGGTTTGATATTGAGTGCTGATTCTTATGTGCGAATGAAAGGAACTGAAGGCACTCACATGGATGGACAAGAAATCTTGTGGAAAGCAGATCAGGATATATTCTTGAAAAGTGTGAATGGTTCTGTGATTTTAGATGCACCAAAAGGAATATTTTTAGATGTTAAGAATATGCCAATAGCAACTTCAGAAAGTAACAAGCCAGGGAAACCCATCACACTTCAATACAAGATTTGTGTTTGCATTCCCACTGGAAAAGTATTTCGGGTACCTGTTGTGCAAGGACTTTCACATAAAAATAGTGGGTGCAATTATTATTCAGCAGCAATTGATCCATGCATATGAAGAATTTTTGAAAGCCGGCAGCAAGATGATAAACCCCAACAATAAAACCAATGATTAACGAATGTCATACAATGTATCATAAATTTAGATTGACTGTGTAGCCCTTTAGAAAGTTAAAAGCTTTACTATGATTTTCCCAGGTCCTGTGCAAAGCTCACGAGAATGCCCAGGCATTAACGGTGTTAGCAAAGCAAGACATAATTCTTAGCCAAAATGTCCAAAATCTTGATATTTGTAGGTGAGATTCATTGCTACTTGTGAGAGCTATGCTACTGCTATGCAGACTACTATCAATTACCTTAATATTTATATTTTAGGAAAGTATATACCGTATCTAGTCAGCTCTTTTCTAGTCTACAATATTTTCACTGTCCACCTTACTACTCTCTGTATTAGGATGCTATTATTAAAGGTGATTTTCTGATGCATAACTACATAAGAAGTCTAGTCTTGTTTTTGATAGGTTACCTTTCATTATAATTTCTAATTATTAATAATATTAATTAGGTATTAGTTTGAATGTTGCCAAAGATGTGCAGAATGTTACTTGATGTTGAGTTTGTTATTACAATAAATGTTTTTTTTACAATCAAACAACCTTTTACTGCAGACATTCTCCAAACATTGCTATAACAAACAGATATGTATGATAGAATGGCAGAAACATGCACACAAACAAGTAAAGAAATGATTATCTCATCTAAACAACAAATGAATACAGAATGTTTCTAAACCTATGTTCATAGACCACTAAAATATGTTAAGAAGTACAGAAGTAAAAAATAAAATGGAAGGTTTTTCCCCTCACTTATAATATGACTTAGTAAAAATAACTGTACAATGAATATATTAAAACAATGAATTTCGATCCATAACATATGAAACAAAGATGCAGCTACCCATCTGAAGGTTTTTATGATTTACCAGAGAAAGTAAAAGCTTTTAATTTACTAATACCACTTTCACTTTTTTCTTTTCTGGGAGGAGATGGCTCACTTGGCTTGCTTGCAACATCTTCCGAGGACTCCATTTCTTCAACAGCAGCTGCCAATAGAGCGGCACTTTCCTCATCTTCAATCTCCATTGATTCTGTTTCACTAGAGGGAATGGAAGTGGCATTTTCTATCTTCTTCTTCTTGGAAAGTGGTGCTTCAGCAGTTTCGTCCTCTTGAGATTCCTCTTCCTTCAGGTTCTGAAAGAAAAGAGAAAACAAGAGCAGATAATTTATAATCCTTCAGACCAACATACTGCACAAAATAAATAAAACCAACATACCTCCTTGTATTCTTTGTAACGTTTCATGCCAATTTTTGTGAGCTCTGAAGAATCAATATCAGGAAATTCTTCCTGCAATTCTGACTTAACTTTAGAGAACCATGCCACAAATGGAACAGGCTTTTTCTTTGAATCACTTTTATCTTTTTTGCCACTGTTCTGATTTGAGCTAAGTGTTGTACCAAATAATGTCATTTGCTTTGATTGAGGCTGTAGATTTCAAAATTCAGCATTCAGCACAAGACAATAAATGAGAGGAGTACCACCACACAACAACTGTAAGTAGATTTACCTTTGAAACTTTTGGCACAGCACTTAAACCTTTGCTGCTGGAAACAGCATCTTTCTTTTTCAGATCTTGTGGACTACTGTAAGGAGAACTAAAACGGTCCAGTCCTTTTGCTTCATTAGACTGAATAGTTGTCTTTTTAAATGGATTTAGGCGTTTTTGGGACTGAAGCAATACAGCTGGTTTGATTTCAACAGCTTCAGCATCTAAAGCAGCCCTCTTTCGTTTTGCAGCCAACAGAAGATTTTCCCTTTCAGTATCATTTTCTTTATCTAGAAAAATTTAAGGTACATATGAAATAAAGTGACATTTTATATTCAAATGCTGTCTATTTGACATAGTAGAACTTAAAAAAAAAAACACAAACCTGCTTCAAATCCATCCATGTGGTGGTCATCATAATGTCCATTAACTTCATCAGCAGGTGTCCTACAAAATTCAAAGAATCCATGAAAAGTGAGATCACGAATAATCAACGAGGAGTTCCATTTTTAAGTCTGCTCAGGGCACTTTAAAGTAAAACTTACATTCTTCCCTGCGATTGAGAAGCAAATAAATCAGGTGATCGCGATCGGGATGAAAATAGCTTAGATTCTTCTCGATCTCGCTTAGTAGAAATTATATCAGAGACTCTGTCAGCAAGGAGTGAACGCCCGATTTTCAAAGCATATTTAGCTGCCAGTTCAGCCACTTGAGCAGAAGGCATGAGATGGCAAAGCTCAATAGCACGCATTTCCAATCCTCCTCTAGATGACAACTAGAAAAAGAAGAAAAATTTAATATGTGACTACCAGATATTAACAAGAGGTGATATTATTGCTTTCCAGACACTTACAGCAAATAATTTGATCAGAGATTCTTTTATAGTTTTGTCAGCTTCATTTTTGCATTTTTCAGCTAATAATAGATCCTCATCATCTTTCGAGGTATCAATGATTGCTTTCATGGTGGTTAACACAAGTTGTGATCGCCACAGAGCCTCTTCTATTTGGCTCTTTTCAGTTTCCATTTCACAGAATGGAAGCTAGACAGGAAAGAAAAACACACACATGACATACATTTACTCAAAAGAAACAAAACCATTCGAGTTTTCTTCTGACAAATGACAACTTACTTTAAAGGGCAACTCCGAAACAATTGGCAGAGGTGTTGTGGGAGGGTAATAAGCACCTCTGCAGAGAACTGCACGGATGTTTTGATACTGTTCACTAATACCCACAACAAAAAAGTGATCAGATTGTCCTTTAGCCTGAAATGTAAAGCCATTAATAAACCATAAAAACAGTATTAGACCTATCAAGGCAAGCCGCTGGAAGTCTATTTAATTCATAGAGCTCACATGATCCTTTGTATTGCAGATGGGCATCCAACAGTGAGAACGAGCTGGTAGCATGCGAAGCATATCATCAGAATCCATGGTACAAGGAGAGCACTCATCTGTGAAGCCACTCCATTTCACTGTAGCCCCCGGTGACAGGGGAAGTGGTTGCGTAGGACCACAAGATAAAACACCTTCAGGAGTAATTGTCATGAGCTGGTACCAAAGGTTTTGTTCTTCTGGAAGGCCTTTGCAAAAAAACAAACAACATTTGAGTCAAGGAAACAACTTTAAACTTTTATATAGCTATGAAAATAGGAAACTTACCAATTCCCCTATGGAAAATGGAAAGAAGTTTGTCCTTGTAGCCTGTTAGACAGACGAGTGACCCTGGAATGGCCAGAACTTGACGCTGAGTGCCAGCAAGGCAAAATATGCGTAAGTTGTTGGAATCTGTTGCCACAGCTAGCCAGCTGTGACCAACTGCAACAGCCACTGCAGACTCTTCAGATGGTAAGGAAGTAACCCACTCTTGAGTTCCATCCCATGCATTCAGCACTACACAAACTACTTTGCTAAAATAAGATAAAAAGATTATTGATAGAAGATGGGATAAAGTTTACATGGCATGAGTCCATTCATATCAGACACATACCTAGGAGTATCATCTGATGCAGGGCAAGCTAGAACAACAGCCTTAGAACTCAAAGAGGCCACTGTATGACCCATTATGTTATTCATGTGAATAGAATGATGGACAGCAGTATCATGAAACCTAATATCGATCGAGTTTTCTTCATGATTATTTATACAACGAATGATACCGACACTATTCCACACCTGTGAAAATAAGGGAAACAGAGAGACATAAATAAATTTTAGCATCATTACAAAATATCACACAAATTCAAATTCATTCTTAGTAAAGCATACCATAAATCGATGCTGTAAGGTATCAGGAGTTGATGATGGTTGAAATACAGACTGGGCATTGACTTTCATTCCAAGACGAGTGCTCCTCCCACTAACAATACTGTGAGAGTCATCATCAGGACCTGATGGTAGAAAATGGTTTGCTTAACTGACTAAACAGCTAAAGAACAAATCAAAGGAGAAGTTTCTTCAAAAAGTAACTTGCCTTTACTGGATTTATCATTATCATCGAAATTCATTGACAGCTCATTTTTAATCTTGTCCAAAGATACAGCATTCTCATTATCGTCGTCATCATCATCAAATCCAAGACCATCCAAATCTTTCAATGCATTTAAGTCATTGAAATCACTTGCCTAAAATAATATTGCAAATTATTTGGAAGTCAAAAATTGAATCACATGCATTAAGAATATACATTTAACTTACTGTTAGACCCCCAAGGTCAGGCTCTGCTTGAGCAGGTTTAGCACTGGTGCTCCCAGCTTTCCGCAACAAACTTTCAATTGTTCCCAGTTGACCCAAAATGTCACAGTAAGCTACTTCATCAGTCCCAGAAGGGTTCCACTGTAGGCCACAAATTTTATGACCTCTTTCATGGGTAAAATTAGTTAATTCCACAAAGTTATTCATATCCCATATGCATATGACACTAAGGGCTACAGCAGCCAAATAGTTCCCACAAGGAGAAAAGGCTGTTAGAGAAAAGGGCTAAAAAAAACAGAAACACAATTTCTTTTAAAAGAAACCGGGCAATTTCTTACACTATTTGGCCAGATGATACAAAGTAGATGGATTACCTCAGTGCAACTACTGGATGTGAGACTAGTTATGTGAGACCAAGTTGATCTTTCATAAATTTCAATATTCTTATCATTGGGAACAGCAAGATAATGCTTTCCAGATGGCTGCCAAGCAGCCCTTGCAAGTACAGGGGTGGTGAAAAAATTGTTCCCTTTTGGAACACAATCCCACGTTTTCACACATTCCTTGCGTTCAATATCCCACACCTTAACAGTTCCATCACATGATGATGACACCTGAAATGGTTACACTGAAGGTTAAAATAAAGTTCTTCTAAAGAGATTCAATTGTCGACATCAATTCTTACCAAATATTCATCCTTGGGGTCAATAGCAACACCTATCAAAGGAGCAGTATGTCCAGAAAATATAACATCTTGTCCACTGTCTTTCAAATTGGATAGATGAATTTCCATATCACTAGAAAGAACACCCAGACTCAGTAAAATTGCTTTGTAGGATAAAAAGTGGACAAATCAACAAGAAAGAATCGTACCAAGATCCAGACACCAGATATTTCCCACTTAAACTGACAGCAATATCTGTGACTGGTGCTGTAAAGCGGGTAATGACTCCATCCCGTTTGTACTCAGGGAACGTATAAGCTTGGACTAAGTTATCATCAGTGCTAACAAACATTCTGCTACCCTGGAAAATGAAAGAAGAAGACATACTTTGAGAAATGCTACATAAATTAAATAATGTTAAACGGACATTATAAGGTAGAAAAAGAACCTGTTGAGCAACAGCATTAGCTTTCTCCTCAGCCACACAAAGGGTATGATTGTCATCGTCTTCGATACCAGCCCACACTCGAACCTCTCCATCATGCCCACATGTGATGATGTACCTGAAACAGGAAAAATATGCAGGATTCCGTGGGGACACGTAGATGACATTACAAGAAAGATACCAAGCTTACAGTTAAAATGATACAAAACCCCTTGACTTACTTGCCATTGTCAGAGTATGCAACATCTGTATGCCCCTCTGAATGAGCAAAGCGAATGGGTCTCTGGATAGGGGCCATTTCTGGTGAAACACGTTACAGTTTCAGACTTGCCCTGAACTCCCAACCAAGGAATTCAACTAAATGTCGGAGTTTTCGAGAAGAAAATAGACTTCCAAGTGGTTTCACCAGCAGACCGGTTATCGCACCACAAAGCCGCCAAAAAGAAACAGTCTAGGCAAGCACCGAAGAAATCATGTTACCAGATAACTTGACAAATGGACAATACTATTGAATATTTTGTATTCCAATAAGTATCATTAAATTAAAATAGCTAATAGAAATACACGAAGATAAATTGAAACTCCCATATTCTGGCATGTTCATCCTTTTTAAAAATTTATGTTGTCGCTTTTTTAACTTTATTTCTCATAGGGAAAGCAGCATTAACTTTCTCATAGCTGTTTTGTAATAATATAACCTCAAACTTGTCGGTGTCCTGAGGAGTAAACAGAGGACAGTATTCATTTTTTTTGTAGGGGAAGAAAAACATCTTGTTCGATGGCTTCAGCGTCGTTAGAAGATAAAAATATATGGGACGACGGGGAAGTGCGTATACCAATCTTCACTCTTTAAATTTTTAGAAATCCTTGTGTTATTCCAGGGCAATGACTAGACAGATTGGGTAGCCCGGGTTGTGCTTTATTGTACTTCCCTGGGTATCTCTAGTGTCTATGTGCAAATGGATCGTCAAATTATCTCACTTATCTACACTGTCCACTATCATTGAATAGCCGATTAACTCCTTTTGTTGTTGTTGTAGATAGGTTATGGCTTTACTCTGTACTGTTATTGTTTTTACAATCCCTGTTTCAACATTGCATGTTTTCAGTTTTGCTTTCTTGACTTTAGGATGCTCTCGCTGAAGAAGTTCTGCGAATGTCTACTGATGAAATAGTATCCAGAACCCGGCTGCTGGATACAGAGGTGAAGATTATGAAAAGTGAAGTCATGCGCATCTCCCATGAGCTCCAATCACAGACTGACAAAATCAAAGAGAATACAGAGAAAATAAAAGTCAACAAAACTCTGCCATACCTTGTATCTAATGTTATTGAAGTAAGTTTTTTTTACCTGCAACCTCATGTTTTATTTTTGGATAAGGTAGAAGAGACTTGTCTTCTTTTACTTACTTTTTCCTTTTAGTTGCTTGATGTTGATCCTGAAGAGGGTGAGGAGGAAGGGGCAGTTGTCGATCTTGATGCTCAGAGGAAAGGAAAATGTGCAGTTATCAAAACATCAACCAGACAGGTATGCCTGATGTTTGTTCTCCTGTAACACCTCCTATACATCCGCTGAGCAAGATAAGTATTCACTTGTAATTTTCAATTTCCAGACTTATTTTTTGCCAGTCATTGGTCTGGTTGATGCTGAGAAACTAAAACCTGGTGACCTAGTGGGAGTTAACAAGGACTCATATTTAATTCTTGAAACACTGCCTGCTGAATATGATGCCCGTGTGAAGGCTATGGAAGTTGATGAAAGACCAACTGAACAGTATTCTGATATCGGAGGGTTAGATAAACAAATTCAAGAGGTATAATTCTCTTGACTGTTTGTAGTTTCTTCTGTGAACTTCCAGCATTTATAATATGATGTCTGTTGCAGCTTATTGAAGCAGTAGTCCTGCCCATGACACACAAGGAGAAGTTTGTGAACCTTGGTATTCATCCTCCAAAAGGTGTCCTCCTTTACGGCCCACCAGGAACAGGTGACCATTAATTTCTGTTTCAACCTTCTTGTTAATGTAGGAAAAATACTCTAAGCCTTTAAAAATATTTTCTCATAGGTAAAACCCTTCTTGCCCGAGCATGTGCTGCCCAGACAAAGTCAACATTTTTGAAGTTAGCTGGCCCACAGTTAGTGCAGATGTTCATTGGTGATGGAGCCAAGCTTGTTAGGGATGCTTTTGCACTGGCCAAAGAAAAGTCTCCAGCAATTGTTTTCATTGATGAGCTTGATGCCATTGGAACCAAGCGATTTGACTCAGAGAAAGCAGGAGACCGTGAAGTGCAGCGAACAATGTTGGAACTTCTTAACCAACTAGACGGCTTCAGCTCAACTGCTGACATTAAGGCAAGTACCTTAATTTTTGCTATGTTACTTTTAAAAATATTTTTTTGGCCATACTCTCCTTGGTGCTTAAAGGTAATTAATGTTTATTTCAGGTGATAGCCGCTACTAATCGAGTTGATATCTTGGATCCCGCATTACTAAGATCTGGTCGTTTGGACCGTAAGATAGAATTCCCTCATCCTAATGAGGAAGCTCGGGCGCGCATTATGCAAATTCATTCAAGGAAGATGAATGTATCTCCTGATGTCAACTTTGAGGAACTTTCAAGAACCACTGATGACTTCAATGGTGCCCAATGCAAAGCTGTGTGTGTAGAAGCTGTAAGTTTTCCTTTAAAATGAATTCCATTTCGATTTGGTCCCTTCTGAAGCTTACTAATGTGACATGTTTTACAGGGTATGATTGCTCTACGCCGCAGTGCCAACACTGTCACTCATGAAGACTTTATGGATGCTATCATGGAAGTCCAAGCCAAGAAGAAGGCCAATCTTAATTACTATGCTTAGTTTTCCCTGTAAATACCTAACTGTTATCATTACATCATAGAAATTTTAGTAAATAAAATAATTAAAATGAAAAAAAAAAAGGTTTTGACGAGAAGTAAGGTATCAAAACTCAACTAACATATTAACAACATAGTTCACATTTATTTTTCTATTTACAAATGAACAGGTATTAAAAAATAAGGAAGATACCAGTAGTAAAATAAAATGTACAAACTATTAGAAGTTCTTTAAATTACATGTATAAATAAGGTCAATGGAGCAACCATGATTTTTTAACCATAGCAGATTTAAGTTAATAATGGTAAAGCCTACTTAGAAACAAATTGAGTATTATTAAACAGAAAACACATCATTCAGAAAATAATGATTGGCTTAACAAAACAAAAAAAAATATCGTCCACACAACACAACCAACAGCATGAGGTTACACACCACATGCATCAGTCAGCAATCCTACTTTTGTACTGTCATTGTAAAGCACCTATTGTCATCCAGCTTTGATAAAATCTGCCTCATAGACTCACATCCAAGTCAATCTCGGATAAATAATATGGGGGCTCTAGGTCTGCTCTTGCACACTCCTCCAGTCAGGTACAGGGAATGGGAAATGTTTAGGAGCCCATCATGTGGTGCTGCCCCATGTTACCCATGGGCCCTCCAGAATACTGTCCGCCCGGGCCCATAGGTCCGCCCATCTGATTTCCCATGGGGCCTCCCATCGGGCCTCCCATGGGCCCGCTCATCGGGTTGCCCATGTGACCGGCCATACCTGCAGGGTTCGGTCCTCCGCTCCCGCCCATGTTGCCCGGCATACCAGCACCGCCTGGCACGCCCCCGGGGCCGCCCCCCACTCCAGGGCCCGCCCCCGGCCCCATGGGAGGATGCATCATGCCAAATGGGGCCTGCATCTGTCCAGGACCCATTCCCGGGCCGGGACTGATTCCCGGTCCAGGTCCCATTCCAGGGCCAGGACTCATCCCCGGCCCCGGACTCATTCCTGGACCCATGGGTGAAGCCATACCAACTGCGGGACCCATTCCCATGCCCATTCCAGGACCAGGACCCATTCCAGGACCAGGGCCATGACCCATTCCAGGGCCGGGACCCATTCCAGGACCAGGACCCATACCTGGGCCGGGGCCCATTCCGGGACCCATGGCAGCTCCAGGAACTAAGGAAGCACCAGGACCGGATCCACCCGGTCCACCGGATGCGCCAGGCCCGCCAGGTCCTCCAGGTCCTCCGGGGCCAGAGCCCATGGGCGGATGCATCATGCCGAATGCGGCTTGCATAGGGCCTCCGGGGCCAACCTGTAAGCCATTACATGTGTTATCCACTTATAAATTCCGTCACTAATTATAAACTAAACATTTCACAGACGTTTACATACCGGATGCACATCATTTGGAAGTGTGAGGTTCATAAGCAAGTCTCGAATCGCCAACAGTAGAGTGCACTCATGACCCATTGTTGATTGGGCAGAGAATTCTGCAAATCTCTTCAATTGCATGCTTGCAGCAGATACAGCAAGAGCAGGTCCGGGCTCTCTCTTTTCAGCGACCAGTGTGTTGCGCACAGCAATGTCATACACAAGAGGCAGCACTAGGGTCATCCCTTCCATAGGGTTTGGAGTTATCCTCGTTAGTTGAACCTGAACAGAATAAACTGGTGAAGAACTGGAAAAGAACAGGTGAGCACTCACACAGTAAATCTCAATTTTTAAAAACTTACGAAGAAGAGGATTTTACTACGGCTGATTAGGACTCCAGCCTGTCCAGTAGGCACAATGGGAGAGGCTGATGAGGGGGGAACTCGCAAACAGAGTTGAATACTCCACTTGAAATTGGCTTGTTGTGCTATGCTCGGCATCTTTGAAACAAATACATTAAAAAATTAGTTTCAACAAAAAGAAATTGCCTTCAGAAATATTTGGACACAAAGTTTTTTTCATACCAAGTCAAGCTTCATTAGTTGTATGAAATCTTTGAGGACGTAATGGGGAGTATTGAGCATACGAGCAAGACCCAAAAGAGAGTTCGGTTTGAATGGAGGACATGCAACTCTCATTTCAAAGAACTTTTCAATTATCTGCACTTCTTCCATCCCCCACTGGTCCTTGCTTTCAGGCAGGGAGCCAACCTTCATGTGCAATGTTTGGAGGTGGTTTGGGTTCAATACAAGACGGCACTGGAGGCTCTCTGTCTTGAAGTGAACAACACCTGGCTCTGATGTTCCAAGATCTGTCAGCTGTTGAAGAATACAACTCAATTACTAAACTGTTTTGAACGCCTTCTCAATAGTGGACTCTGCCGCCAAACGTTAGGGGAGACATACCGTCTCCTCCGACTGCACAAATCGATGCATCTGCCTGCGCATGAAGATGCACCCTAGGAAGCGCTCCAACGGGCACAGCTCGGCCGTGCCCAAGGGCACCTGCGGGGGCGGGGCGTTGGGGCCCGGCGGAGGCATCGGGCAGGGCCGGCACAGCACCTCCAGGGCCTTCGTGCTCAGCACCGTGGGCACGGCAGCGGCCCAGAAGCGCTGCGGCAACACTCGCGACTGGTGCCACAGGTCCGTCTTGTGCTCGCGGTCGCGGTCGCGGTCGGGCGAGTGGCCCGGCCGCAGGGGGGACGGCCGCGGCATGCCCGGCGAGTTGGGCCAGTTGGAGGCGGCGGGCGACGCCATGCTCTGCGTCGGGAAGGGGCTCCCGTCCATGTGGCCTGCAAACACAAGGATGAAAACGTGTCAAGACCAGCAGGGCAGCACAGAAGCAGAAAGAAAACTCTCGGGCAGGACAGCTTACCTCCCCCCATGAAGGATCCTGCCGGCGAGTGGCCAATCATGGACGGCTGGGGAGATGCACTGGGCATGGCAAGGGGGCTGGGCATAGGGTGAGGGTTTGGGGAGCTTGCTACGAGGCCAACGCCTGGAGACGCAGATGGATTGACACCCTACAAAACAAAGACAACAACAAATGCGTGTCATTGAGCTACACGGAGAAAAGAACACAACAGTGACTTCAACTTAGGCCGGCATACTCACTTGCATGTTGGATGTCATTGGACTTGCGGGTGTGTGTGGATTGCTCCCCGAGGGAGGTGTTAATGGAGGATGAAAACGCAATCCATCTTTCTGACTGGCAGGCGACTGAGGCCCACGTACCGACAAAATGTTACCCGTTTCTTGTTCTAATAAAACTGGAGAAGGAGGGTTTTCATCCTCTGATTGTGATCTTCTTCTTGAAATATCTGAGTCTGTTACATATTTTGAGAGGAAAGTCTAGAACCAGAGAAAAAAAACAACAATAAAAGTGTTTTACACAATTTGACACCATTCCTTTCCTTTTTAAAAATAAATAATACCTTTAGGAGCCTTGTTGGCATCAAATCTGAAACCACTGAGCAACTATCAAATATCGAATGAGCACCATCCCTTATGCTCACACAGCCATTTCCCCGGATTCTAAGTTCTAGACAGTAAGTGGACTGATACACTAATCGCAGTAAAGTAGGAGTTTCTGCTACAATTGTCCAGGTTTGCACAGGAACCATGGGTCTCTAAAAACAACAAAGATGAAAACAATGTTACTGATAGGTTCATAAATGTACATTGAAAGAGAAACTGCACAGCATCCTGAACCACTCACATTGCTATTTATGCCAAGCTGTGGGCTGGGAGACAAGTGTAAGACTGAGGAAAGGGGTTCATAAGTTTCATGCAGGAGTTGAACCAACAGCACTGCACTTTTATGATGGTTGAGGTACATGATCAACTGCTGTCTGATGAGAGAATGAGCTAGAGAAGCTGATCCTAAAGTACCAAAGCATAAGTTAAATGCCTTTTTATCTTTGCGCCACAGAATAGTGACTATTGCTCCCTTGTCAGGACCATAACCTAGGACAAGCTTTGTGTAATTATAGCATTTGACTTGACAGATTAAAGGCAAGTTGTATTTTTCTATTTTATAGCATTTAGAGAGTTCCTCAGCCAGCTGAAAAAAAGAGACGGCTATTAGAAAACAGCAGTGTCACTGCAACTTTCTGCATAGTCATAGTAGTTTTTATGTCTCTTACCGAGAAAATGTGATAGATATGTTCCCAGTCACAAAGTAAACTGTCTATAGTCTTAGATACATTGTCTTCTGAAAGCATTTCATACTGCAGGTAAACAGGGCGTCTATTGCCTTGTTCTCTGGGATGTGTTGACTGGAGGGGAGAAGCAGCAAAGACCTGTAAATTTATTTCTTTATTAGTAACGCAATAACCTTGGCCCTAAATCAACTATCAGCAAGAACAGCAGGCACTCACCAGCTCCACAACCCATCCCCGACCAGGAGTACGTGTACATGTCCTAACTGTTATTGCAAGAACACGGCGTAGTAGGGCCAGATAGTCAGGATCTAAGGAAGAGACGCCTTCAGGTGGAGGAAGAGTTACAAGTTGCAGCATGAGACCTGTAGCTCCTGATTCAACCTGAATGAGCAATGAACAAACAAATCAGCACACATCCAGGACCTTTTTCTTTCAATAAAATACAAAAGAGGTGACGAAATTGGGGTTTTTACCTGGATGCCCTGATGAGCAATGTCCCTCCTTGTCAACTCCTGTGCCATACTCAAAAATGGTATCCTCTCATCGCACATGGCAACGACATGAGCTAATTCAGGAATGAAGTAGGCAGGGTGTTTTGATCTTTGGCGGGGATCATGAATACCCACAAGTTTTCGTTTTCCTCCATAGTCAGGGTCTTCCACACTTGTCCAAGGACCATGGGTTGAAACAAAGGTGTCAAATTCCACAAGAGATAAAACCTAAAAAAAAAAAGAGATAAGTTTTTGGTCAGGTGGAATGGATTAAACACAAAAACTTACTAAGGAGCAATCATACCTTTAAATATGGCTTAGGCGTTTCTAATTCATGTGTGGTTTCTTCAGATGCAGCTGCTGCTGTTGAAGAAGTCTGAGCATGTTCCTCATCATTAATCAATATATTGCGAACTGTTGCCAGATAAAAAGTGCAATCTACATTTAAGACCGACTCCTTTCTCTCATTTAAATCCACAATGAGGACAGAGCCTGGATGATGATGTAGTTGAACCAACATGTGGTGTCTCCCTAATCTAAATAAGGAACAAAATAAAAATATTACAAATTTGCATCACATCTACACAGACAGTATTTGTTTTCATAAACAACATTCTTTGGCTCGCCTCTTATTGGACAAATACCTTGAGGTAATAGGATTATCTTGAGGCATTAACAGGGGTAGACGCTCCTTCACAGAAACAGGCAAATGCATAAGTGTCTTCTCACACCGTCTCTGTACTACCCAGAAGCGAAGTTCAGATAGTAATGTTGGCAATTTTGAACGATCACCATTTAAGGCATTACTTATATCCTGCATTAGAGGGGCTTCATACTGAGGTACACAACATTGTAGTATACCCGAGTGGGTCTCTACAGTAACCAGCATTTGCTCTGCTCGCTGGCATGGTTGCAATAGTGGAACACTCAGCACAGCTGGTACTCCACTTAATGTACATTCAACTCCAGGTAACATGGCTTGTATTTCTGTTTTCAGATCAGTCAACCTTGATTTAGATCGGACATAAATTGTGTGCACTAAAAGCCTCTCCACGGATAAAACAGCAGAGTGAATGGCTTTGTCAGCAATTTCAACCTCATTGTGCCCTAGGGAAGGTGAATGGACAACAGCAAGAGGCCTGGCACTGTCATGCTGATCTACTTGAACAGTGAGTTTGTAGCCCAATTCTGACCGGGGTTCCTTCTGAGAGAGCTCACGCCAATAAAGAATTGTCAAATGCTTGCCAGGTGCATAGTCCTCAACCATAATAAAATTTTCAAGGCGATCTCTCTTTAGCCTCAGTGCTTGTGAATAGAGAACTTCTAGCTGAAGAGATTGAGCAAAGAAATGGAGGCAACTATAAACCTGCAAAGTGTTGAAGAGACACATTAGATACATTAGATAAGAGCATGACATTAAAAAGAAAAGAAAAAGAAAAGAAAAAAATTCTTACCTCATCTAATGGATTAGGGTGATCAGCAAGGCGGGTTTGAAGTACTTTGTGTACATACTGTACTTGCAGAGGATGGACCAAGGCCTTTCCCTCTAAAAACAAACAATTACAATTTATTTAATAAAGGAGAAAAATCAGTCTGAAACATATAATGCAGTAGAACACCTAAGTGCACCTACCTCCAATATCCTTGTCCTCGACAAGTATTTCAACATCAAGTAACCGCCAGGGAATGTTGGGTCCATCTCCCATCACAGTGAGTGATACTTCAAACTCATGTTTTACATGAAAGGTAACTCTACCAGCATCAATCTTGAAAGGAAAAAATATTTCAATTGTGATCATAGGTGTCCACAAATGAAATGCATTAGAAAATCCAACAATTGATAATTACCTTCAGGTTCCTCATCTGAGGTAAAAGATTTCCAGTAACAAGTCTATGTTGAATGACCTGATTTAATCGTTGTAATGTACTCTTTTTTTCTAGGGCAGTAATGGGATCTGGAGGCACTATTTTTTCCTGGTGGTAAATAAAATGAATATTAGGGGTTCACATTTTAATCTGGCTGGAGGAAAGAGTATGTGTTGCTTCTTGAAATATATAGATATAAGAGAACTCACTCTAATGCAAACAGGAAGACGGCTGTAGGTTCCCGTAGTCAGAACCTCAACAGCTGCAGGTATGTGAAAATTAGGAAGCCGAGCATGAACTAGTGTTTCTCTGGCCATTCTAGCTAACATATCAGCAGTGTCAACAAATAACATGGACTGCTTATCTAAAAACGCCATGATGTGAGCAGATTTGTCAACTTTGGAAGCAGAATTAGCCCACTTTACGAGAGCAAGAAGACGAACAAACAGTTGGCGCGTTCTTGAGGAAAAATTGTATATTTCAATTTTCCTTTCCATGTCAGTTTTTCTAGGAAGCCTGGAATAGATAGTAAAATGCATTAAGAAAATGCATGGAGAAGTACTCACAGTAAAGTAATTTGGAATATTACTTACAATTCTGCCAAAACTGTAAGTTCATGATAAGTTCGTTGAACAATGAAGTCAATAAGAACAGCCAAACTGATAGATCCACCTCGCTGACCCTCCGCCGGCATAGGCATCATAGGGACTTGCTGCCCTTCTAGTGGTACCGGTGCCATGATAGGTTCAATCTGCAAAAAAATATTACGTGTGAGGGATGCTAAGGTAATTGACATGTGTCACAAAAGTTCTTTTTCCCGCAAGTGTGCAAAAACAAGAGTCCTACTTCACAAACTTTACGCACCTTGGTGAAGTTTGTGGACATTCTCAAATTAAAGGTAAAAATAAATAAATCAAAAAGCCCTACATAGGATTTGAGCTCACACCAGATTTAGCCACTTGGTTAACAACAGTGTTGTAGAACAACTGGATGCATCTGGGTAAGGAAAGGTACTGTCAAAAGTGTTATAAGAGTCCATTCATAACCAAAGCGTCAATGAAGACTTTGCATCAGAACAGAAAACAGACGCAAGTTTGGGCTAGCAGCGCAGAGCTAAATGTGTCTAGACGCTAAAAATATGTGAAATTGGTCCTATTTTAAAAGAAACACCAATAATGCACGTCCCAAAGCCTATGTTTACATGCCTAACCTCTCGCCATATTTTGAATTGTACTCACGAATATTACAAACTGAAGAAGAAGGGCCGCGTGAAAAGAAAGCAGGCAAAAGCCGGAAAATACACCGGCGGTAGGTTACATGTCATTGAATCCAAATATTGCCTCCTGCATCAAGTTACTCCTTTTTCAAAATATCGTTGGCCTATGACAAACACCACAAAACATTTTCCGAGTTGAGTCGGCTGCGGCTGCCGGTGCGGCGTGGTGGGGGAGGGCAGGGATTTGAGTTCAGCCGTCGTCCGCTAGGTGGAGACACTGGAGGGGGGCAGGTCAGCGCCGGCGCGCGGGCCGGTTCGAACAGGAGCGCGCACGAGACAAATTGCGCGCTCTGCGCTGTGCGCTTGGACGCCAGCAGAAAGAAAGACCAAGATGGTTGTCAGTGTGGCGCATGGTGGATCGACGCCGAGTCTAGGCAGACCGCCAGCCTGCCAGCCTCGAAGCGGGAGGTTCCGAGCGGTGTGACGTTGGTCAGTGAGTGAGACAACGCTTGACAAAAAACACAACAAAGGAAACGATCCAACCCGGCGATGGAGAGGAGGTGGCAGTGCTGGTACTCTGGCACGGCTTGCGTTGAGTTGTTGCCAATTAACAGCGTCTGACTGACCGGCCGCCGCCCGCGGTACACAGTGTGTACGCCACACGGCCGCGACCGCGACGCGACGCCGCCCCGCGCCCACTTGCAAGGCCCGGGGGAAGGGGCAGGGCGGCCAGGCCAGAGCCAGGCCCTGGTCCTCTTGGCCATTCTCCCAGCCCCAGCCGGCCCCGGCCCAATCCATTGCAGTGTGGCGTGGCGGGGCTTGGCGCTGTCTCGCGTTGCGTTTCGCCGCATCGCGTCGCCGCGGGGTTGAGCCGCCGGGCAGTTGGAGCCCGTGTAGCGCACGCGGCGGTACGGCGGTACGGCTGTTCGGCGGGCCAGGCAGCGCACGCCCAGCGCACGCCCAGCGCACGCCCGTGCCGCGTGTTCCGGCGCCAGGACGTCCCGACGCGTCCACACCACTCGCAAGCCCGAGGAATGCATGGAGCCCACCCTGCGGCACAGCCCGTGCCCGTCGCTGAGGGGCTGGTTGACCTGCTGCTGACGCCCGCCTGCCCGCCGACGGCGCGGACATCGCGGACACCGCGGACACCGCGGACACCGCGTGGGGCCCGGTGACACCACCATGTGCACCACTTACACCTGGCTGGCGTACGGCCTTCCTGACCGGCGGCAGCAGCGCGCCGCGCACCCCGCGGCCCCCATGGCCGGCATTCGCGAGGAGGACGAGGCCGAGGCCGGCGAGGAGGCGGGCTGTCCTCGGCGGCACCCCTACGCGCCCGGGCCCGGTGGGCGACCCCGCCGCGCGCGCCACTGGATGGGGCTGGCCATTGTGGGCGTGCAAATGGCGGCGTGGTGTCTGGTCGGCGCGCTGCTCATGCACCGCGGCGTCACCACCCTCAAGCGCCGCGACGCCGCCCTGATGCGCGACGCCTTCGCAGTGCTGCCGGCGGCGCCCAGCACCGCCATGCCGGCCATGCCGGCCATGCCCGGGTGGACGATGCAGGACGACGTCATCGCGGAGTCCTCTCCCTCGGCGGCGCCGTCGTCGTCAGCCTCGCCAGCCACGCCGACGCCCACGCCAGCGCCCACGCCCGACCCGGACGACGAGGCGGCCGGCAACGCGCTGGAGACCAGTTGGAACGACTTGATGAAGAGGTGGTCCTCCTTCGTGCCCTCCAGGCCGGTCCCGGGCCTGCACGCCCCCAGGGACGACAGCGACGGCCTCGGGGATGGCTCCCCGTTCGGCCCGGCGCCCGGCCCGGCGCCCGGCCCCGCCACCGGAGGCCTCCCCGGGATGGGCAAGACGGGGACGGGGGCAGCCACCGCCGTCGTCATGGTGACGGTGGGTGGGGTCATGCTCGTCGTCGGCCCCGCCTTCATGTTCATCAAAATCATGGATGTTTACCAGCGGCAGAAGCGGCTTAGTAAGGTTAGTATGTGACGCGTGAGGCCCGGGCGAGCCCGGGCCGCATCTTGCCGAAGCATGCACGAGCCAAAGTCTGTTGCCTGTTCGTCTCACCGGGCAAGAACGGTTATGATGCGATAAAGGCTGATAACGCCTCGCTATGATGATAGTGACAAGGAAATGTTGTTGATAGACAGCGCGGTGCCGCGCGCGGGCGAGATCCGTCTGTCCAGTGGCCAACGCGTTCAGGCGAAAATTGGACTACTCAAAGTGCCGTCAAAATCGCCAAACAATTCGACATGGCAATGAAGGTTCTGGACGGATAGTCAATCCCATCATCATTTGTCGCTGGCTGGCTACGGCTATGGCGAGGATGTCCGCGGAGAAATGATAAACAGGCTCGCTGCTTTGACACCCCCTCCTCCCCCTCCCCCGGGCCAACGAGCTTGTTCGCGTCTCGCGGCGGAGGTACGCCTTGCCAACAAGGCTGTCCTTACCTACCCGGCTAGGAAACTACCCAGCCAAGCCAATAGGAGGCCAAATCTACCCTCAGATTTCTACTCGTTGCCAGGCGCTTGCAGATTCATCGCGAGATTCTGAGGCTGTCTAGCCCCGGCCGGCCCGCCCCCGCAGTCTAGCTGCTTCGGGCGATGCCGCCAGCGCCGCCTGTGGGTGGGCAGTCCCGGCAGTCCCGGCAGTCCCGGCCGCCAGTCCCGGATGCAGCTTTGTCTGCGACACTGCCGGGGATTTCATGCCGCAATGCAGCAGCCAGATTGCGTTGTGCATCCTACTAGTGCCGCAACCGCGAACCGTGCCGACTCCCAAATCGCGCGCCTCGTCCCTGCGAGTCTGCCCCGGTCTGCCCCGCGCCCTGCACCGCCACCGCCTGGCCGGCCTGGCCCAGCGATGCTGGCGCGGCGCGGCGCCCCGACACCGACAGGACACCGAGAGGCGCGCGTCTTTGTCGCGATCCGCGCGTGCCGCCACCAAGGCCAAGGAGAGGCCCGCCGTGCGCCGCGCCGTTTTTGCTCCTTTTTCTCCAGAGGCAGGCGACGAGGCGACGAGGCGAGGAGCGCGGTGAACTGGATCCGAGCGGCACGCGGCACGCCACGCGGCACGCCACGCCGTGCGATGGCGACGTGGACGGCTTTCGTCCTCGCAATTGGCATAACGATCGGCGCGGCCCAGCCCAGCCAGGCCCAGTACGAGGCACGGCACGGCCGGCGGCTTGCAAAGCAGGCACAGCGCGAACCCTCGGCCGATGATCCAGCCGGCAGCCCACATTTGGTTCATTCGCCCCCTGGGCGGGGCGGGGCCCTCGGCCATTGAGACGACGGGTTGCTCCATTCCATCCCCGGCTGCCACGGTGCCATCCCTTTTCCCTTCCGACGGCCCCGGACGGCCCGCCGCGCGATCTGCAGCGTCACAGCGGCGTCGCGACGCCCCTCTGTCGTCCTGTCGTCACGGCGGCGTCCTGGCGGCGTCCAGCGACGACGTCGCGCGCATCCGATTCAAAGCGTGACCGTCGCGGCGCCACGGTCCCTTTATTGCACTTTGACGCAACGCTGCGCCCGCTGCGCGGCTCTGACTCTGATGGCCCGGCCGTGCATGGCGGCGAGGCCTCTACGAGGCGGCAGGCTCGCTCCGTCCCTCTCGCACTCAAGGGGCGTGCTGTGGGGTGCGAGAAGGACGGAGGACTCCTATGCTGCCTGCCGCGGCGCATTTGCACTCCCCAGCGCCTGGGCTGCCTCAGCACCGGCCGTGTCCGTGCGAATGCAGCGGCCTTTTATTCATTGGGCGTCTCACTCTGTGTCTCACTCTGTGTCTCACTCTGTGTCTCACTCTGTGTCTCACGCTGTCTCACTCGGGCCCACTGCCCAGTGCAGTGACGGTGCCTTGGCTCATCCAGCAGACCGACTCCGAACAGTGCCACCGTGCCCGTCGCTCCGTTCGGAAATGGACCTGCTTAGTAGGGGCCCGCCACATCGTCACATCGCCACATCGCGCCATTGGGTTTTCGGCGCGAAAATGACGCCGCGGCGGTCGGAGTGGCGGACTGTGACAAAGGTGCGGCGAGGGGCGCAGTGCCCGCAGTGCCCGCAGTGCCGTGACGCGGCGGGTCTCGATTGGCCACGCGTCGCGACTCGCGCCGTGCCGTGCCGTGCCGTGCCAGGACGCGAGACGTGCTCTTATTAATGGCCTTTTATGGACGGCACGCTGTGTCATGATTTAATGTGCATCAAAGCCCGCGTCGAAATCGCATCGCCTCCCATTCTGCGCGACCATTTCCGCGTCGTCGGTCGCGCACCGCGCACGCCACGCGACGGTCGCGGCGGTACTCCGCGCCCCAAGGTCCTCAAGGTCGCCTCGCCCCGCCCCGCCCCGCCACACCCCGCCCGACCACGCGGCGTATCGCCACCGCCGCCTCGTCACCTTGATTGCTTTTTAACGCGCGGCCGCACGCGCCCCGCCCTGCCCGGCTGGGCTAGGCTCGTCCCAACTTGTGTATTTATGTGCTCTCGGCGACCCCGTCCAAACCGCGGCCCGGGATGCATTGGTGCACTCGGCGTGGCCGCGCGGAGTGGCGGCGCGCCGAGTCGCGTCCGCGCCTGTGGCCCCAAGGCCCCAAGGCCGCAAGGCCGCCTCCGCGTCGCCGTGCCCGCGCCAGCCCGCGCTGCCTGCTCGCCGGCCGGCCGCGGCCGGGCCGGGGTGTTGCCCCCGGGCGTCGCGTCGCATCGCGCCGCATCGCGGAGATGGCCAAAGCTGGACGTGGTAGGAAGCGCGGCGCGCAGGCCGAGTGCCAGGGCGGCAGCGGACGGCACGCCGCGGCACGCCCCGCCTGGCCCCGCTCGTACGCATCCTCATCCTCGCTGTCATTCCGAACACGAGCCATCGCCACGTGTCCGGCAGCCCGGCGTGCTTTACCTGCGGGCGCCGCATGCGCTGCACGTCGCAGGGAAATCGTTTGCGCCTTTCCTCATCGTCGGTGTTTCTTTCCGCAGCTCTCGCAGCACGACGACCCGCCGCCGAGCTACGACGAGGTGGCCGAGAAGGCGCCCCGCTACTCCGCCCTGTTCCAAGTCCTGGAGAACGGCGAGCTCACCCCGCTGTCCCTGCCGGCCGACGGGGCCGACGGCGAGGGAGGCCCTTCGGGCCCTTCGGGCGCGGCGCCGGCCGACACTTCGGCTTCGGGGTCGACGTCGACGGTGGCCTGCTCGGCGGGGCCGGCAGGTCCGGCGCCAGCGGAGCCTCCGGGCACAGCCAGAGGGGCGTCGGTGGAGGCTGCTCCCGAGAGCTCCGCCTCTGCCCCAAGGACCTCGTTGAGAGGAGCGTCGGCGCCAACAGCGACGACGAAAGACCTGGAGCAAGAATCCAGGAGGTCCAGAAGCACAACTGTCTCCGAGAAGACACCCGCAGACGAGGACACGGAGGTAGAGCCCGATGACCGCACTCCGCTGCGGCCACAGGTACGACGGGTGCGACCCAGCCTGTGCCGTCTGCCGTCGGGACGAGACTCGGCAGCACCGCACGGGGCAGCACGGTAATCCAGTTTCTTGTTGCAGAAAGGCCAGGCCGACGTCGCCGTCGACGACAAGTCCAGGAGGAGGTCCGTGTGACGACGCTCGCGCCCACCCGGAGCCGCCCCGTGGTACCTGAGCTCTCTCTCACAAACCGTTGTCGAAGAGAACCGTCACGACAATCGGTTTTATTCCAAGTCACCACACTGTGCCGACAGCGTGGTTGTGTGTATTTATTTTGTAAGATAATCGTAAAGGACGTTACTGTAAATCCATGTTTTCTAAGTAAAGAAGAAAGACTGCTGCATCCACGGGTCAAAGAGTCCATTATTTCGGCAGCCGCGCCGGGCCACGCCCTGTGCCCAAGGGACCCAAGGCGCGTCTGGGCGTCGAGGCGTCTAGGCGTGCGCCGGCGTGCGCTGCCGAGCCTTGCCCGCTCGCTCCACTCACTTTGAGGCGACCCAGCTAAGTGGGCATGCCCTGCAGGTGACGTCACGGCCGTGCTGCCCACGCGAGCTCGCGCCACATTGGCAGCCTTTGTGCCGCACGCCTTGCTGGCCATGGTGGCCATGCTGGCCACGCCGAAGCAGCGAGGCAGTGCACGACGTCGCCCTTGTCGCCTCGTGTCGCACAGTGGGCCAGAGGACCGGCGCAGGCGGCCAAAACTCTAGACGCGTTTTGAGTTCCAGAGTCGCTAAACAGGCCTTGAACCGAACGTGTGACCCCACCAACGGGTTCCTCGTTCGGAGAGCAATCCATCGGTGGGGTCACTCGTTTGGCGCGAGTCCCATTTAGCGACTCTGGAGCTAAAACCGCGTCTGGCCGCCTCCACCGGTCCTCTGGCACACTGTGTGTCACCTCCACGACATCGTCAGGCCATAGGCGGGGACGTATTGCAGCCTCTTTCACCTGCCAAGTATTACGCGTCATCGTTTGCTCGGGCCCGCGGGCCCTCTGAGTCACCACGCCAGTCACAAACAGCGCGATTACCAGCACTAGCCGTATCGCACCAATGAGGAGGCTTTCTTTCGGCGGGAACCTCCAAACGGCAGCTGCGACAGTTGATTGGCAGCGGGGAGGGTGGGCAGCAAGCGCCTGGGTGGTCTAGCCCGTAATGGTAATGGAGGTAGGCAACCACCTCGTCGCAGTACACGCGCGCCGCCACGTTGCCTACCTCCCAGGCGGACAGCGCCTGGAGGTAGGCAACTGCAGCACCGCCGTACACGCGTGCCTCCCTGTTGCCTATCTCCGCGGCGCCCTCTACCGGCGGCTCGTGCGTGTTCGTCTCAATTTAACTTGCGTTGTGACTCGGCACGTACACGCCGCCGTCGGGAAACCGGTGGCGGCGGAGCGCGGCGGAGGCAATTGAAGTGGGACGGTTGCCGGTTGCCGCCGCTGCGATAGGAGAAGGAGACTCGGACAAGCCCTGGCCAGATAACCTGCTGACTGATTCCGCATGTCTTTGTTGTCGCGCTGCCTCTCTCACACCCCATTGGGTGTCCCGAATAGGTGGACGGTGGAGTGAGTCTGCAGGACCGCGGCATGTCTCGGGGCAGCCCCGCTCCACCGCGCTGCACCGTTCTCTTCCCTTCCAGCCTCCAGCCCACTGGATTGCTGGTTGACTTCAAGCCTTCCTCCCTGCGCGGGGTGCAGGCCGTGCGGGCCAAGCAGCGGGCCTTGCAGGGTGGCACCGATTGGAACCGCGTCGCCGGGCTATGCCGCCGCTGCCGGACCCCGATGGCGGAAACCACGCGCCTTCCTGTCGCTTGGCTACAACAACGGGTCCGATAAGCCCCACAGAAGCAGCACGTGTGTGTATGCGTACACCTCTGGACCGGTGCCGTGTCCAGTTCCACGCCAAACCAAAGCTTTGGCGCGAGCCGACGGGTATAGTGCCCTCCCTAACCCTTCCCGCCGTCGCCAGGCCGTTGCCTCAGAGCGGTATCTCCTTTGTGCAAACACGAGACATGCAGGCATGCGTCCATCCTTGTCGCACGCACGGCTCCCCCGGGGCTCGTAGCGCGCCCCCCAACGCAATACGTCTTTAAAGAGCGGCGGGGCCGCGGATGCGCGGTAGAAGCGAGGTGGCGCTGGGCGCGGCGGAGCGCAGTGGAAAGCGGAGTGGAAAGCGCGGTGGAAAGCACAGTGGATAGCGCAGTGCGCCGCGAAGGGAGACGACGGAGACGGACACCACCATGAAGAGGCCGATCGACGTGATCGCGGTCGGCGCCGACCAGGCGCACCCAAAAAAAGGTGAGGCGAGGATTCGAGTCCACGGAATCTACGACTTCCGCGGTCGGCCGTCTGATTACCAGGGCAGAGGGCGCTAACGTGTCGCGCACCTGTTGCTTGCTGGGGGTGTTGCACCAGGGCACTCTGACAATGCCAGCCGGGGGGATCGAGATATCGATATGTTCTGTTGGCTTGCGACCTCCAAAGGACCGAAAGGCAGGGCTGGATGCCCTTCACCACCGAGTGCTTGCCCTGATGCCCTAGGTCAGGGCAGCGAGTAACACCCCCCCCCCTCCCCCGCGTCACCGCCATTTAGCTGAGATTACGCGGCGGGGGCGCTGTGCTGGCCGGGCGGACCGCGCACCGCGCACCTCGCACGGCGCCCAGGAAGAGCCGCGAAGACGAGTAGGGGGACTGCCGCGAGGGACTCCCACACACACACACACACACGCCTCCAACACCACCAAGAAGCACCCCGTCGTTGTCGGGCCGGGAGCACGCCGCCCCGTCGCCCGCTTCGGGTACCCGCTTCGGGGAAGCCGGCAAACACCGCGACGGCAAACTTGTCTTTCGGCGCGCGGCGCGGCGCGGTGCGGATTACCGCGGCAAGCACCGGTTTCTTCCGTCGCGTGTTGAGGTGTTGTCCCTCAGGAAGCGGTTTCGGTAGCCGCATCCAGCTCTGTCGTCATTTGCGTTAAATCTGGCCCGTGTATCTTATCAGGACGGCAAATAGAAGCTGCGCCGCCACGCTGTCGTGCTGCCACGCGTAAACCGCGTGGGGTATCCCGAGTGGGGGATGCACGTAGTAGCGGCCACTCGCTGTGCGGTTATTTGCTCCCCGCATGACGGAGGACATTTCATTCATACAGGGGGCAAACAAACAACCGTTCTTAAGTGAGACCGAACGCCATGTTAGCTAGCAACACATGCACACAAAGAGAGCCAAATCTTTGTTTTTTTTTGTTTTTTGAGGGCACGCGCGCGCACCTAGTCCGGCCCGCGCAGAGTAAATACAGGCCGGCATGCTGCCCGCTGCGCTGACCTGGATGCAGTGCGTTGCAGCGCATTGCGGCGATAACGGCTGACCGAGGTATCGGCGCATGGACGCATGGACGCATGGACGCATGGACGCATGGACGCATGGACGCATGGACGCATGGACGCATGGACGCATGGACGCATGGACGACGCATGGACGCATGGACGCATGGACGCATGGACGCATGGACGCATGACATGGACGCATGGACGCATGGACGCATGGACGCATGGACGCATGGACGCATGGACGCATGGACGCATGGACGCATGGACGCATGGACGCATGGACGCATGGACGCATGGACGCATGGACGCATGGACGCATGGACGCATGGACGCATGGACGCATGGACATGGACGCATGGACGCATGGACGCATGGACGCATGGACGCATGGACGCATGGACGCATGGACGCATGGACGCACTGACGCACGGACGCATGGACATGGACGCATGGACGCATGGACGCATGGACGCATGGACGCATGGACGCTTAGACGCCGCGCGGGTCACCGGGGCGTTGGCAGCTATCGCTGCACCACTGCACCGTCATGGGGCGGGGGGACGGCGTTGGGGGGCGGGCGGGAAGCTAGGGAGGGCCGTGGCCGAGGCCGCCGAGGCCGTGGCGGGGTGGGGAGGGCAGTGCAGGGTCCACCGGCAGATTCGGGGATCATTACTCATTACCCGGTCAAGACGGGGAGCTGCCCGTCCGAGGCCTGGCCCAAGCCTGGCCAGTGGTGGCGCGGCAGCCTCCCGGCCTGCAACAAGCACTGCCGGCAGTGCGCGCGGCCGGCGTATGTTGACACTAGGCGCCCCGGACGGCGCGCGCGCGATGAACGTGGTGTCTTTCGCTCCGCGCGGCGATCGACAAGAAGGGCCATGAAAGCTTTCCGCAAAATGGAATTGTCGGAGAGGAGCGTCCTGATATGCGAACTGCCCAGGAAGTCCTTCAGTTGTTGGTTCGGCACGCTGAGCGTGGGTGAGTCGCGCAGCGCCTCGCCGCTTCGCGTTGTTTCTGCAATCCCTCCGTGGAGGGAGGCCCACTGGGGCGATTTCGTCAAAACACTCGGCCGAGAGAATCCGCCTTTCAGACGTCTCTGCTGCGCTCTTTTTAATGCGTCCTTTCTTCTTGATCTAGAGAAAAACGAACCCGAACCCCCGGCCACCTACGAGACAGCAATCGTGGCATGCGGTGAGTAAGAGTAGTGGATGTTGATTCCCGTACGTGCGTGGGTGTACGGTAAGGTGCACCACCGCGTCGTCGTGTACTCAAGACTGTACATTCTGTGCGCCGCCACGCCGCCCGCCTCTGACTCCATGCCGGTGTTTGATCTGCACAGGCTTCGGCAAGTTCCACTACATGCTGCTGCTGGGCCTGATCCCCATGTGCGCGGCGCAACTGTTCAGCTCGGGTTCCGTCGGGCTGGCCCTGCCGTCGGCGCAGTGCGACCTCCAGCTGGAGGACTTCCAGAAGGGCGCGCTGAACGGCGCCACCTACCTCGGTGAGCAGCGTGCTCGCGTCCGGAGTGCCCCGGAGCAGTGATGCCACAAAGGGCAGACAAAGGCCAGTGTTCAAAGGGCTGTTAGCCCACCAATAATGGGGCAGTACCTGGTACCTAGTACCTGGGCAGCTACTCTTGGTAGACAGGCGGAGGTTGGCAACCCTTCCGAACCTCGTGCAACATGGTCGCCTCCTTGTGGGGCCGAACTGCCCCAGAGTGAGCGTCTGGACGCCTCGCCTAGCTGTAGATGACTCTTTAGTTTGAACTCCACCCCCGTGCAGGCAACCTCATGTCCGGCTTGGTGTGGGGCGGCGTGTCGGACGTCTTCGGCCGTCGCAACATCATCGTGCTGTGCTTCCTGGCGGACTTCCTCGTCAGCCTGGCCTGCGGCTTCGCCACGTCCTACGAGGTGCTGCTGGTGCTCAAGGTGCTGGCGGGAGTCATGTAAGTCGAGACCGCCTTCCATGACGACAATCTCGTTCACGGGAAGAAAGCGAACTGAGGGAGCTTCCCCCTGCCGCAGCATCGCGGGGCCCAACTCGGTGCTGTTCGCGTACCTGGCCGAGGTCAACGACAACGAGCACCGCAGCATGTCCATCATGATGAACGGCATGGGGTTCGCCTTCGCGCAGATCCTGCAGCCTGGTCAGTGCCGCGTTCCCAGTACAGGGTTTTCGGATTTCTTTCCAAATGCTCCCCTTGGCGTCTTGGCGCGCCTTGGCGCGCCTTGGCGAACTGACAGAGCTGTTTTTCTCCAGTGCTGGCCTACTTCCTCCTCCCGCTCACCTTCCGCTTGGAGCTCGTGCCCGGCGTCATGGAGCTCACGTCGTGGAGGGTGTTCTTCCTGGCGTGCGCCGTGCCGTCGCTCGTGTCGGGGCTCATGTTCATCGCCCTGCCCGAGTCCCCCAAGTTCCTGATGAGCAAGGGCCGCCACGAGGACGCGCTGCGCGCCTTCGAGCGGATCTACGCCACCAACACGGGCTGCGACCCCGCCACCTACCCCGTGAGTAGCCCACTGCGCAGCCACAGCTCGCTCAGGGCGCACGATTTGAAATCAGGGTTCGAGTCCCATTTAGCGACTCTGGAGCTCTAAACGCGTCTAGAGTTTTGGCCGCCTCCACCCACCTTCTGGCCCACTGTGCTCCGCCGCGCTGGACGACCTTGCTAATAACCTGGCTGTTCTTGGCGGCCCCGCAGATCAAGTCGCTGGACATCTGCGTGGCCCCCATCCTGGACGGCAAGAAGCCCAACAGCCTGCAGCGCGCGGTCGCCCAGTTCTCGCCCCTCTTCCGCAAGCCGTTCCTGGCCAGGATGCTGCTGCTCGTGGCCCTGCAGGTCAACATAATGATCTGGTAAGACAGAGCTGTCCGCAACGAAAACGCAAGCGAAACCCTTGCGGTACCGGTGCTTGAACCCTTGCCTGCGCTCCGCAGCATCAACTCGCTGCGACTGTGGACGCCGCAGCTGTTCGCGATGCTGGAGCAGTTCGAGGTCGGCAGCTGGCAGGGCAAGCCCGAGGCCTCCAACACCTGCCAGATGATCTCGGCCGTGCTCGACCGGCCCGTGGACTCGGCCTTCGGCGTCAACGGCACCGTCGCCGCCGAGGCCGCCGCCAGGACCGCGGTCGACCGGGCCGTCGGCCCCTGCGAGGTCGTCAGCGGCGACGTGTACCTGCGGTCCGTCCTGGTGGGCGCCGTGGGCACCACGTCCTTCGTCTTCACGGGGTGGGCCTCCAAGAGGTTCGGCAACCGGCCGCTGATGCGTAAGTAGAGCGCGCTGTCTGTTCGGCGCGGGCCGCGCGAGGCCCTTGGCGTTGTTGCGCCGGGGGGGAAGGCAACCCAACGCACGCCGCGTCGGCGCGGGCCGCCTGCCTCGCCTCGCCGGGCGTCCGCATTGTCCGCCTCTTTGACTGACTCCGAGAGTTGTTTTCGTCGCTCTGTCTCTCTTGAACTCATGAGGCGTCGGGCATATGTGCGAGGGGGACAGAGCGACAACGACTCTCGAAATCAATTTACTGACGACCGTGCCTTGCAGTGGGCAGCTTCCCGCTGGCCATGGTGACGTCCGTGGGCATGCTGTGGGCCGTGGACTCCGACATGTTCACCGGGCTGTTGGCGGTGTTCACGCCCCTCACCGCCGTGGGGCTCACCTCGCTGTCCGCCATCCTGGTGGACCTGTTCCCCACCTCCCTCAGGTCAGTGGCTTGCGAGTCCCGGAATCGGGCGAACGCCTCATCAAGTATTGACCTAGTTCTACATGTCCTGCAGGGGTGTGTCGGTGAGCGTGGCGCTCATCTGCGGCCGCGCGGCCTCGCTCTCGGGGAACCTCATCCTCCCCGTGCTGCTCAACATTTCCTGCGATGCCCTGTTCATCTTCATTACCGTCTGCCTCGCCGGTGAGTATCGGTTTGTGGGTTCAACGCCCCCTCGCGCCTTTTACTTTCACGTCTTGTTTACGTGGTTTTCCTTCCCGTTTCTCAGTTTGCTCCGTGCTCGTGTGGTTCGTCCCCAAGAAGAAGGACGTAGACCTGTAGGACAATGAGGCTCTACGAGTCCGGTCCTACGACTTTTGTGATCCCAACGAATCTCGACTTTGTAAGAGATCGCCCTAAACTAGTCACTACTTTGTTAAGGAAAAATACTATTCGCCAATCCTTATTGTTTCACTGTCAATCGTGTCCCATACGTTAAGTCGTTTAATTGTGCTATCACTTAGGAATAAAAATACTTCACGACGTCATGTGCTTCTTGTTTGGAAAGTGCGGCGCATGCAGCACGCCACCGTTCTCCAGGCGAGGGGGAGGGGAGGGGGAAGGGGGGGGGGGAGCTGCACACCACAACACGGTGCATCGGCTCGGCCGGCGGTCTCCCGGCTGCTCTTGTACGCGGCAGAAGGTGGCGGACCTGGACCGCGCAGTGGACCGCTCAGTGGACGGGCAGAGAGACAGCGTGAGAGCGGCCTGGAACGGCGTACTCGCAGCAGGGTTGTTAACGTTACTTTTTAAAGGTAACGCGTTACCGTTACTTCGGGTTTGAGTAACGGTAACGTCGTTACTTTACCGACTTCTGAAAAAGTAACGCGTTACCGTTACAGGTAACGCAGTAACGCCGTTATCGTTACTTCAAATCCTAAAGTTCCTTAAAAGCCACAATTTTACCGGTTAAAATTGCTGGGGTGAATTAGGATTATTTTAAAATTAAAGTAAAGAGAGTAAAATTTTAATGTTTAACACGTTCTAATGTAAACTTCTGCACCTTCTTCTCCCAATAATGCCACTTATTTTAAAATCAAAGTTAAGACAGTAAAATTTAAATGATTAACATGTTTTAATGTAAACTTCTGCACCTACTTCTCCCAATATTGCCAATTCATGGCCGATGGGACCTCTATTTCAAGTGATGCATCACTCAATCTGTTTCTAAAAGCAACAAATAAGCGTCCACAGTCAGATATGTGCAAGTGTTGAAAGATTTTTTTCTGAGTGTGGACGCTTATTTGTTGCTCTCACTAACAGATTGAGCGCCTTGGCAAATGAGCTGACCACAGCAGGGAGAGAGAGGGAGAAAAATATAGGTTTGTAGCCCTTTTTGATGCCTCGCGGTAACGGTAACGCCGTTACCGCGTTACTCCTCTTTGGTAACGGTAACGTCGTTACTTTACTCATTTCTCAAAAAGTAACGCGTTACCGTTATCGTTACAGTAAAGGTAACGGTAACGCTGGTAAAGTCTTTACTCTTTAAAGTAACGTTAACAACCCTGACTCGCAGCGTACAGTCCTGTTATGCAACACCCGTCCGCGCCGCCGTAATCCAGAAGAGCGCCGAATAACAAGCCCGCCCAAAGAACACGAAAGGCTCATCGCGGCGCCGCGGTCCGACGTTAATTTGACTGCAAAGCGAAGGTGCTAGTAAGCAATGTAACGAGAGGTGGCGATAGCGTCGGCATCGGTCGGGATGTTTCCGTACGGCGTGATGGGTGACGCACCGCACTCACGCGGCCGTGCCACACACTGCCATGACGGGTGGCAGGGTAGGAGGCAGGGAAGGGGGCAGGGGAGGGAGCAGCTCACCGCAGAGGTGGCGGTGGTGGGGGGCGCAGAAAATTAACACACTTTAACTGGTGGCACTGGTGATTGGTGTCCGCGAAGGACCACTTTTTGGCCACTTGAGGCGGCCAGTGCAGTGGCGATCGTGCCCGAGGGCGTCGCCAGGGAACCAGCAAGGCGGCGGCAGCACGGCAGCAAGGCAGCAAGGCACGGCCAGTGCCACACTTCCGGACGCCACCATGGCGGCGGTGGCCCCGCGGACCCTCCGAGGAGACAATGGGTGCGGGGCCGATCGCGTGCTGAGCCGCCAGACGCTTCACTCCGAAGGTCCGTTTCGTCGCTCTTTCTCAGTCGCACTCGTGGGGCGCCCCGTAGGGGTTTGCTCGCTTTGCACGGTTTGCACACAAGTTAACAGTCGCAGGCTGCTTCGATTTCAACCAATTAAAAATCATCGGTGTATAAACTTGGTTTCCTCTTTACACTGCGTGGCTCGCGACGCGTGACTACGCGTGACTGACCACGCGCGACTGGCTTACTCGTGGCTACGCCGCTGCGACCGCGTCTGCTCCCCGCGCCAATTACTCCGTACACTTGTTGCAACCCAGAGCCGCGGCCCGCCCGGCGCACGCCGCGGAGGCACTCGGACCGACACGGAGCCGCAGGAGGAAGCGCTCTGCCATGGCTCTGCAGTGCACTGGGCCGCCGCCGCCGGCGATGGGAATTCCCCCGTCCGTCCAAGTCGGCCCGTCCAGCCGCCGCGGTCCGCGACCTTTGCGTAAGCTAAAAGCCCGAAGCGCGCAGAGGACGGTGAATCCACTGTGGACCAGAGGACCGGCGCAGGCGGCCAAAACTAGACGAAGTCGGAATGTGGTCCGAAATTTGTGGACCCTGTGTGGGCACCGATCCCCGGTCCACAGGGTTGGGAGACCAACGCCCCTAAGCTCTCAGCCACCACTGCCTATGAAGGCGGATCGGTAAGGCGGTGTGTATGAATCCAGGCTTGATCGCTTCGCCCTGTTAGCGTGCAGAAAAGAACGAAGAAACGGCGGGACTCGAACAAACAACCTCGTTGTTACGAGTCAATGCACTTGAAGACAGCACTGAGAAAAAAGTCTGGTTAAAAGTACCAGACCAATCCTAGTTAAACGAGTACTAGTTACTCATACAAGAATCCTAGTAATTCTCACCAGATGATCAGTTGCAGTAACCAGATCGGGTGTTGTGACATTTACCAGGTGTCTGGTTAATAATCCTGGTAAATTTTACCAGACTGTTCCGTAATTGGCACCATACGTAAAACTTCGAAATATTCGTTTCAATTGAAATGTTCGGGTGTCAAAAAGTAAACTGCAACCGGTTTCGTTATTTTCGGAGTCTTAAATCCGAAAGAAACACTGGGAGTATTTCCCTGAGCCAGACACGTAGAGAGTCACCTGGTGGGGATCCCTTCGACCCTCAGGCGACGTGGTGGCGCAGTGGTAACGTGCCCGTCTTACAAGTGTGAGATCCCGGTTCGAAACCGGAGGAGAGGAGGAGGGAAAAAAACGATTCAGAGGATGTTCGTTAACGAAATCGACGTCACATCAGGTTTCATCACTACGAAAAAATGTTTTATTAAATTTTGGACTTCTTACCTCAGTTTTGTAAGCACATTAACTAACCAGGATGTTTGGTAAAAATTACCAGAAGGGGACCTGGCGGCATTGTGAGGATAACTATAAATCTGGTACGGTTTACTAGACTGAGGCCAACTAGACAGTTTAGTATTTTTTACCAGAATTCTAGTTGAGTTATATTCTATCAGACAGTCTGGTATTTGGTACCAGGATTCTGGTTATCGTTACTAGACTTTTTTTTTCAGTGAGTTGTTCACACCTTACCGCTTTAGGGTCGGCAGTGACGCGCCTGTGACACGATCGGTTGGAGTCCCATTTACTTTGGAAACGCAAGCGTGTGTACATAGCAATCAGTTTAAAATGTGTGCCTGCACTACAAATCCAAAGGTCAGACTTCTCGCCACTCCAGAGGCAAGACATAAAAGTCTCGCCAAGATTTGGCCAGACCTGAAAGTCTCGCCAAAATTTGGTCAGACAAAAAAGTCTCGCCACAAAACGGTCATACACAAAAGTCTGACCCCAAAATGGCGAGACTTGTGTGTCTGACCACCACCGAAAGGCCGTAATGCGCCGGACGGTTACGGGCTTAAGGCCGTGGTCAGACACAAAAGTCTCGCCATTTAGGGGTCAGACTTTTGTGTATGACCGTTTTGTGGCGAGACTTTTGTGTCTCGCCATATTTTGGCGTGAAGTCTTTCCATCCAAATTGCAGTGTGACTGCCTGTATGCACGCTGTTCTAAAGTGTGTCTGCAGGTCCGGGCACACAGTTTAGAAATAGGCGCACATTTTAAACTGCGCGCCATGCACACATGACACGGCAGTCGTCTGGGTACCTACTGTCGGGTGCGGTCCGGTGGCCAACAACAACACACTCATGGGACTTTTTTTGCCCCACGATTTATGCAATTTTAAGCACATCCGACGCTGATACAATTTTGTTGCCGTCTGGAGACACATTTTGTCCGACGCCTGCTGCAAATTGTACTTTCACTAGACAATGTGTCCCGCCTGGCGGACACGCATCACCACCGGATGCGGATGTGCTCAAAATTGCACCAGTCATGGGACAAAGACATTTAGTGTGTACATCTCATCTCGAAAACCGTTTGGTCATGGACTCAAACAACGCAAATGCGCAAAGCCAGGAACGAGTTTGAGGCTGAAGCCGCCGGAGGCAACAGGCACCTCGTCAGGAACCGCCCGCCGGCCCGGCCGCCTCCACGCGCGGCAGTGTGTGCAAAGCAGTGCGCTTTCGGCCACCATCACCATCATGCCTATCATGCGCACCGGGGCAACAGCTCGCAACCGGCTGGGTTCCATACTAGAGCGGTCTCAACAACAACACCACGGCGCGTCGCCGTCTCTCTCGCCCCGCTCTGGTGTCATTATGCGCGGCGTGGGGCCGCGTGGCGGCGTGGCGGTGCACAGTGGGCCAGAAGACCGGCGGAGGCGGCCAAAACTCTAGACGCGTTTTGAGCTCCAGAGTCGCTAAATGGGACTCGAACCGAACGTGTGACCCCACCACTGGACTGCTCTCCGAACGAGGAATCCATTGGTGGGGTCACACGTTCGGTTCGAGTCCTGTTAAGGGGCTCTGGAGCTCAAAACGCGTCTAGAGTTTTGGCCGCCTCCGCCGGTCTTCTGGCCCACTGTGCGGTGCCCCCCGCCCGCGCCCCGCCGGCTGCCCGTGTCATGGCGCCGTGCCGCCGTGCCGCGCCGCCGGGAGCACCAAGGCACCAAGTCGCCGCAGGGGCACCGACGCGAAAGGAGCTCAGCTCGCGACGGCCAGTGCCGCCAGTGCGACCAGGACGCCCCCGCGACTCGCGACGCGCCGCGGCGCCCGACGACGACGCGCGGATAGCCACATTTGGATAACCACCGCGGCTCCCTGGACACCTTGGGCGCCTGGGACACGTCGGCGTCCACGAGGCGCTGCTCCTGCCCAGGCCCGCGCCACGCCCGTCACGAGGGTGGAGCCCGCGGGGCCGAAGCAAGCGCGCCGAGCGCCGCTCCACGCGTGTTGGTGCCGCTGTTGTGAACCGTCCCGGGGAAGCCCGAAAACACCGTGCTGGAAGAATTTGGTACAGCTGGGTCAACGACCGGTTGGCGCCCCGTCCTCCTGTCCTGCTACACGCAATCCAGGGGGTGCTCTCTGCGCTCCCTGCTCGAGCACGGCCGCCGTCTGCCGACCGGCCGCCTCGGGAACATTGCATAAATAATGCCGTTTCTTGAATCCACCGACCTGGGGCCTGGGGTCCTGGCCAGGGGGCGACCGCGGCATTGTCAAACGGTCAGCCTTTTTTCCGTTGCCTTCCGGGAGAGTCCCACCGGGCACCTCGCCTGGCGGGCACCGTCACGGACGCAATGTATTCCGTATCCCTTTCCCCTCGGCGCTCTCCATCGCGCTCCGTCCGCCGGCCGGCCAGGCATCCGGGCACGGACAAGCGCGGCACTATGACGCAGTGCAGCGATCGCATTCCGAAAAACACCGAAATGAGTGTCCAAGGACGGTCGCTTAGAGTGGACAGGACACCGGTTAGCGCGGCGCGCGCGGCGAGCGCGGCCGCCGCCAGAGGCGCGAAGGTCGCGGAACCGACGCGGCTCGCGGTGTGTAGTGTGTACCGTGTGTACCTGACTCAGCGGCCGGCCAGGCGGCCTGGCCCGGCGGGCTGGGATGCAGCGGATGCAGTGCGGAGAGGCTGAGGGGCGGGCTGGACCGGCGTTGTGTTGGTACGGCATCGAACTATCCAAGCCAACCCCACGCCGGGCCGGCCTGGACAGACTCCCCGCCCGGACGCGACACTGACCCTCGCGGCGCGGGGGGCGTTGTGGCGTCGTCGTGGTGGCCAACCCTGCTACTCCCCCCCACCCCCCACCCCGCCCCACCCCGCCGAGGTGGCGCTGTGCTGCTGTGCCGCTGCAGGACCCGCCAGTATTTATAGAACCCCCGCACCGCGCCGTCGTTTCACAGGGCGGCGAGGCCGACGACGACCGACATGACGGTGGACACCAAGACGTGGCCGGAGCTGCGCTACAAGATCGCGGGCGACGCCGGCCCCCTGGACGAGTCGCGGAGGCTGTGCTCCGCCACCAGCGTGGCATGCCGTAAGGGATTGCAGACTTGCAGCATGTGGCGCACTCGGAGCGCGCCGATGCCGACGGCAGCGGCTCAGCCTGCAGGGTGTACAGTGCCTCTTTTCGCAGTGTGCTTCGCCAGCCTGCTGCTCGTCGCCTCCGTCACCGGCACCTACCTCCTGTGGTTCACCGGCTTCTTCGAGGACCTAGTGCACTCGGTAGGTGACACAGCAGCAAACAAATTAATGGTATGGAGAGTGTTTGAACTTAAGAGTCCGAGAGCCTCCACCTACGTACATGCCACGTGCTGGAGTTCTGTGTGACGCGACGATGACTGGCTCTGCCTAGAGCACCGTCTACGCCAACGGCAGCGACTTCTTCCGAGCATGGCTGGCGCCGCCGTTCGGCCCCACCACCAAGCTGTACCTCTTCAACTACACGAACGCGGCGGAGTTCATGGCGGGGAATGCCAGCCGCCTCCGAGTGCAGGAGCTGGGCCCGTACGCGTACTCGTGAGTGCAGACAGCATGCAGACAGTCTGGCCCGGCCAGGTCATTGGCGGCGATGGCGATCGAGTTCTGGCTTCATTGGCAATCATTGGCAGGGAGACGCTGGAGCACGTCAACGTGCACTTCCACTCCAACGGCACCATGTCGTACAGCGAGAAGCGGGCCTTCACGTTCCTGCCGGAATGGTCGCGCGGCTCCGAGGATGACGTCATCGTGGTGCCCAACCTGCCCCTCATCGTGAGTAGGGAGGTGGATGCTTTGAGGAAACGGCCGAGCGGGCCAGGCGGTGCTAAAGCTGCGAGGGGGTAACGACTGGTAAATTTCGTGTCAGCCGGATTACGGATTAACCCGGATTACCCCGGATTACCCCCAAATTACCTCCGGATTACAACAAAAATTCCCGGATTACCCGGATTACCTCAAAATTTTCCCGGATTACCCCGGATTACCTCAAAATTTCGGGTTATCCGGATTACGGATTACCACTTTGCTGTCAGCCGGATTCCCGAAATCGTTACCCCCTCGTAAAGCTGTCACTCTGTCCCGCAGTGCGCCATCGCCCGCGTCCGCGACGAGCCCTACGTGGCGCAGTTGGGGCTGCGCAGCGCGCTCTGGGCCAGCGGCGGCACCGCCTTCCACAAGCTGGTGGTGCGCGACTACCTGTTCGGCTACGACGACCCGCTTTACAACATGGCGAAGAAGGCCGTGGAGGTGGCGACGACGGGCACACTGCCCAAGCTGGGGATGCTGGCGCCGGTCAGTGCCGAGTCCGGCTGAGTGCCGGCCAGGTTGCCAGGGCTGCTTTAACTGCAGGCTGACGCCGAACGCTGTCTCTCTCGCATCCCTACGAGACGCCCCATGCAGTGCGAGAGAGACAGAGCGACGAAAGCACTCCGATTTCTGACTGCTTGCCCTGCTTGCCCCGCAGCGCGTGGGCCTGAGCTCCAACGTGTACACGGTGCAGACCGGGCAGCGCGACTTCCGGCAGCAGGACCGCGTGACGCGCCTCAACGGGCGGGCCGCGCTGGCCGCCTGGCGCGACCCCGAGTGCAACAGCATCGACGGCTCGGCGGGCACCTTCTTCCCCGCGGACGTGGCGCGCCGCCGCGGCCCGCTGCACCTCGTCAACGCCGACGTCTGCCGCCGCATCCCGCTCGAGTTCAAGGAGGAGGTCACGGTAAGGAAGGCCCTGCGGCGAGCCCTGCAGTGAGTCCTGCGGCTCTGGCCCGGCCCAGCCAGGCCGGGATGGCTAGCCTAGCTCTGGCAGGCTTCGGCGTCGAGGCGAGGCGGTGCCATGAGCAGATCGTTGATTATACAATGCGCGCGTCGTCACGCGCGGCGCCACGCGTCAGGATCGTAAACGGAGCGGCCGCACTCAAAACGCTTCTTGCGGTTTGGCCGTTCCGGCCGTTCCGCAGGTCATGGATGGCATCCCCGCGCTGCGATACGGGCCGCCCGACCACTTTCTGGACAACGCGCAGGACAACCCCAACAACACGTGCTACTCCACGCCCTCGTACGCCAGCCTGCCGTCCGGGGTGCTGCTCAACGGCCCCTGCTTCATGGGTGAGTACCGCGACGCCGGTCGGTTCGTCCCGGACGCCTAGAGTCCGAAGTGCAACAGTCGTTGCGCCGTTTCCATGCTCAGTCTACCCCGTCCTTTGCGAGGTTGGTGGTTGTCTACAACCTTGCTTGCCACAGACTCGCCCTCCTTCATCTCGTTCCCGCGCTTCTACCTCGGGGACGCGCGGCTGCGGACGGCCCTGGACGGCATGGAGGAGCCCGTCAAGGAGCAGCACGAGATGTTCTTCGACGTGCACCCGGTACGTGCGAGACGAAAGGAAGCACTTTGGACGTTGCCTCGCGTCATGTCAGGTGACAGATAAAGCGTCGCGCCACCGTCATTATGCAACGAACATATAGCGAACATACACTTGAGGATTGCCAATTAGCGGCGAGAATTCATAAAAAAAGAGAAAGTTCGAAAGTACGAAAGCAAAAAATGCGATCTAGTTACGCAGCACTAATAGTACTTGGCCGACCTGATGCAATAAATAAAAATAAAATTGTTGAAAAAATTGTGCGTTTTCCAGCGGTTAGCTTAAAGACAGCTTAAGGACTCTAGTTATGGTTGCAGGAGCTCGGCATCAACCTGGGCGCGGCGACGCGGCTGCAGGTCAACGTCATGGTGCGCAAGGCCGCCATGCTCGACTCGTACCTGGAGCCCTTCCAGGATGAGATCATCCTGCCCATCCTGTGGTTCGAAACGGTGAGCTTCTCGTTGCACAGTGGGCCAGAAGACCGGTGAAAGCGGTTGAGCTCGTCGCCAAATGGAACTCGAATCGAACGTGTGACCCCACCAATGAATTGCTCTCCGAACGACGAATCCATTGGTGGGGTCACACGATTGGAATGAGCCCTGTTAAGCGACTCTGGAGCCCAAAACGCGTCTGGAGTTTTTGCCTGCGCCGTTCTTCTGGCCCACTGTGCGTTGACTGAAGTTGGCTCCCGGTCCGGTTGCAATGGCGACCCCTTTTATTTGCCTTGCCCGCAGGCGCTGACGGAGTTCCCGGACGACGTGAAGCGCGCCACGTTCCACGCCACCTTCACGGTGCGCACGCTGGAGCGGGCCGCGTCGTACGGCCTGCCGCTGGTCGCCCTCGCGTGCGTCGTCTTCCTGGCCCTCCACGCGCTCAGGCACCGCCAGCAGCTCCTGCAGCGGCGCCGCCAGCGAGTGCAGGTCGTGAGGGTGTCCTAGTGCAGGCCGTGGCGCCGCTGGGCCGCCCCAGCTGGACTAGTCCCGAGCAACGTCCTGGACCGCGGTCCAGGCAGCGTACGGCGGCGGAGCTGGAGCAGAGTCGAGGATCCGCGACGCCTGCAGGCTGCGGGGTAGGCACCCCAACATGCAGCTGCCCGTCCTAGAGAGCGTCCGGGGCGCCGCAGTCAACGCAACGCTCTTCAAGAGCGCTACTGCGCGCTCCACCACACGTGGCTGTGAAAAACAAACAACAACAACGCGCACTGCGCTACGCACGGAGCCATAGACAATGATGTTTTTGCCATAGTATTGCGCAACATTCCAATGGGCCGATGCCTCTTCGTCAGGGAAAGACGAAAGTCACATCAGGTGACGGTGGCGTCACCACAGAAATGGGTAAGAGGGACAATTCTGACGTCAATTTGACAGTGTTGTAATTTATCGCGAGCTTTACTTTTGTGATTACTGTGTACATATGATGAACTTGACGGGTCGAATGCATAAACAGGCTGTGAATACTTTGCTTTAGTTTTCTCTTCGTCTTCTTATCATTGTAATTATACTTCTATATTTCTTTGTATTCTGTATTATTATGATAATGTAAGCCGTGCCGAGGGTGGGGTATGGGCCCCTCACTAGACCCACACCCACCACATTGAACCTCCCTCCTCCCTTGCCTCCTCCCCTATCCCCAGCCGTCATCTCAAACCTCAGGTGCCCGAGAGTCTTATCTCGAGAGGCCGCGATCGGAGCAAATCCTGCTAATCCCTTCGTCTGGGCATTTGACGGGGCCCTCGAAATGTCGCTCGAACCACTCGGGTGACTCAAGGTGTGTTTGTCACTGTATACACCGCTTCAATCACGATGTGCATCGAGAAAATTCCGCGAGCAATAAAGAAAAGACTGACCATGTCATCGAATCTCAAACCCAAACCGTGTCTGTCTCTTGAGTCTCACCTTGCTGCCTTGCCCCTTTGCGACAGGTGGAAGCCGGCCCGGCCGTGCCTGTGGGAATCACAGCCAATTACCTCCCTTCCCTTATCGCCACTGCACTGCCTTATCACGGGTAAAGGTCCCGACGGGCTCGACCCCAAATCGAACGAGGTTGGGCGGGGTCAGTGAAATGCTGTTCCCGCCGCCTCGCCCCGGCGCCTTGCCGCCTTGCCGCCTTGCCGGTCGCAATGAATCAATGACCCGGCCTGGCCCGGCCGGCTGCATGCGCGCTCCGAAAACGACGCACCCACGCAGCGCTACGCCGCTACGCTAGACACACTCAGACACACCCGCCGCGAACCTGAATAATAATCTAAGATAGCGAAGATTGGCTGCGGGGGCAGGGTAGGGACCCCGCCACGCGACCACACTTGAAAAGGCCGCACGGGCCCGGGGCGTCGCCAGTGGACAGTGGACACTGAAGTCTGTTGGACTGCGCCGCACCAGTCGCACACACAGCGCAGCACTCCCTTCAGCTGCAGTGGTGAACCAACCCAAACCCCTTCAAGGCCTCGCCATGATAGCCAAATCAGCCGCATCTCTGCTGGCACTGCAGGTGGTGCTGCTGCTCTTGCAAGCAGGGCGGGGTAAGTGGATTGCTGCAGCACTGCAGGCCGTGGCCAGCCGTGGCACAGTGGATTTGCCAGACCGGCGCTGGCGGCACAAACTCAAGGCGCATTTTGAGCTTCAGAGTCGCTTAACAGGACTCGAACAAAGCGTGTGACCCCACCAATGGATTCCTCGTTCGGAGAGCAATCCATTGATGGGATCATACGTTTGGTTTAAGCCCTGTTAAGCGACTCTGGTGGTCAAAATGCGTCTAGAGTTTTGGTCGCTTCCGTCGGTCTTCTGGTCCAATGTGCGTCCGGTGTCTGCACAAAGTTCCCTTTTTCAACCTGCCACCGCGTCCTTCAGTTCCAGCGCACGACGGGGTAGAGCGCGACTTGCTCGGCCGGAGCGAGCGATTGCGAAGGTTCGGGCGGCTGTCTTGGTGGTGGTTCCAGAACGATGACGACAGCGAGGCCGAGAGGTTCAAGAAGGGAGTCGTTTTTATGCTGTACACCCGGTAAGCTTCCGAGGGAATCGTCCAGAGGCAGTGGCACTGGTAGAATTGGAAAATATAAAGGTTTCAAAACTTAATTTTTGAAACTCGTTGCACTTCAGCGAGAACCCGGACGAGCCGGAGATGCTGGACATCTACAACGAGGACGCTCCGGCCCCGCAGCACCTGGACAACAGCCGGCCCACCAAGATTGCGACTCACGGCTGGCTCGCCGACAACCAGAGCTTCGACATCATTCGCAAAGGTACGCCTTACGGCCTTACAGCGTGCTCTCCGTGCATTCCGCCTGCTGCAATGTCTTACACTCGGTGGTTGCAGCGCTGCTCGCCACGACGGACGTCAACTACATCGCCGTCAAGTGGTCGGACTGCGACACCTACTTCTACCCGCTGTCGGAGCGCCACGTCCCCCTCGTGGGCGAGCGCGTCGCCATGCTGCTCGACTTCCTGCGCGACAAGCACGACGTGCCCGCCGAGTCGCTGCACCTCATCGGCCACAGCCTGGGCGCGCACATCACCGGCATGGCGGCCAGGATGATGAAGTCGGGCACCGTGGCCAGGATCACAGGTAGGACCCCGTCAGACTACGTCAGCCCCGGGGCCTGGAGGTCCTGGATGCTTGGTCCGTCCTAGACGAGGTCCTAGAGGCCTGCAGGTCCTGGATGCTTGAGGTCCGTCCTACAGGCCTGGAGGTCCTGGAGGTCCTGGAGGTCCTGGAGGTCCTGGAGGTCCTGGAGGTCCTGGAGGTCCTGGAGGTCCTGGAGGTCCTGGAGGTCTTCTGGAGGTCCTGGAGGTCTTAGAGGCCTTGAGGTCCTGGAGGTCCTGGAGGCCCTGGAGGCCTGGAGGTCCTGGAGGTCCTGGAGGCCCTGGAGGCCTGGAGGTCCTGGAGGTCCTAGAGGCAGGACAGGAAGCTGGCGGCGAAGTGACGCGCTCCTCTGTACCGCAGGACTCGACCCGGCCGGGCCGCTCATCCCGGGCAACGAGACGCAGCGCCTGGACAAGTCGGACGCGCTGTTCGTGGACGTGATCCACACGTGCGCCAACGTGCTGGGCTACCGGGACGCCATCGGCCACGTCGACTTCTACCCCAACGGCGGCACGTGCATCCAGCCCGGATGCGTGATCGCCGACATTACACGTCAGTCGCCTTGGCTCGCCTTAGTGGCTTCGCGTGTGACTTTGTGACTTTACCTATAGCTCTGGAGCCTCACTGTCAAACCTATGCGCAGAGGGCACCTGCAGCCACGGACGCGGGCTCGTGTTCCTGGAGGAGTCCATCTACAACAGGACGGCGTTCAAGGCCTTCCCCTGCGCCGGCGCCGACAGCACGGTGAACAAGACGGACCCCGGGCAGAGCATCGTCATGGGGCTGGACACGCCCTCCAAGTAAGGCCAAGGACGCGGCGGTGCGGCCTCGTTCGCATCTCTGCTCGCTGACCGCACGGGCAGGACGCTGACCTGGGTGTTCTTGTTCCAGCGCGGCGGGCTCGTACTGTCTCACCACCCGGGACGAGGCTCCGTTCGCCATCCCCGAGGACGAGCAGCTTCAGCTCAGTCTGCACAGCAGCAGCAGCAGCAGCAGCAGCAGCGACGAATTGGCCAACGAGTTGCGGCCCCACAGTCGCTTCCCCGGCAAGGCGCTGTCGACGCGCATCTACAGGAGCTTCATGCGGCGAAGGCTGTCCCTGTACCGACGCAAGGGCCTCCGTCGGGAGTTCTAAGAAGCGGCGATGCAGAAAAGCAGGCACCCACAGTTGGGAGTTATTGAACCAACATAAAACGTCTCTCGAGAAACAACAAGGGCAAAGCTTTTCATTGATTCTAATCTACGCCAGTGGAGACAGGATCCCTCCCTGACTGCTCCTCTTCTTCCTCTTTTCCCTCCTCATCTCCTCCTCCTCCGTCCCGTAAAATTATATTTATTTATTATATTTATTATATTATATTTATATTTGTATTAAATGTTGATGTTTAAAGACTGGCGGTTTCTTTCATTTCTGTGGCAAATGAAGAAGAAGAAGAAGAAGAAGAAGAAGAGGAAGAAGAAGAAGAGGAAGAAGAAGAAGAAGAAGAAGAAGAAGAAGAAGAAGAAGAAGAAGAAGAAGAAGAAGAAGAAGAAGAAGAAGAAGAAGAAGAAGAAAAAGAAAAAAACACGCTCGAGTGGCCGAAAAGCCCGTCTAATCTGCTCTCGTCATTCAGAAAATGCTCATGTCAGCCGCGCGACAAGGGACAACAGATTGGCGAGAAAGTGGGATGTGATAAACTGCACGACCGACCACCCCTCGAACTTGGGATTTGCGCCTTTTTGGTTGGCGACACTGATAGCGGGGAAGGACTGTTTGGACAGTAAACGATGCAGTCTGCCACCCGGCGTGGTCCACCGGGAGACGCCGGGCGAAATCACAGCACCACTATCGCTCACTTAAAACCCTACGGGATAGTGCGCATTCGCTTTCCTGGTTTCGGAAACACGCAAATCAAGCAAGGATGCTTAAATGTCCCGCCCGCGCAGAACGGTGCAGGGTAGGGCTCTAGGCAGGGTCGTCGTTGGTTTTTTGGAGGCGGACATCACGGCCAACAAAGTTTGAACCTCGCCTTCTGAATATTTTGGCGCCTGATGGAGGGAATCTCCGATTCGTATGTTCTATGACGTAACGTGCCACGTAATCAGTGAATCAGTGGACCCATCCCAAGTGAGAAAAGGTTGGCACTTCTGGAAATAGTGTTCTGCAGTTAGTAAACATGGCGGCTTCGGGAAGCAGCCCACTGCACTCCCAAATACCAGTTATGGAGAAACTAAAGTGGAAACCGTTATCTCTAACGCTTGTCGAATATCCTGAAGGTACGCAATTATTCTTTCTTTCATACGGATTGATTTCAACCTCAGTTACTGCAATGTATTAGCTGTGAGGCGTTGACAGCGTAGTCCTGCGTGGGGTTGTTGTGGCCGTGTTGTCAATCTGTGCTCTATGTGTACCTTTCAAGACGTCTGCATATCGTGGCAGCTTACATGTTCCCTCCTTTCGACGTGTTCCACGCTTTGTAAACGATGCCTCCCCATCGGAATAGCATTGGAAGTGCTGTAGGAAACAAGGAGCAAAAAATTAAAAAAAAAAAAGCTTTCCTGGTTTTTCTGTTTTATTTTGAAAGAAACAGAACTCATTATCTTGTGTAACTATATGATTATATTTCTGTCTAGGTGACTTGATTGGTCAGCTTTTCGCACTAGTGAGTTTAACACCCTTCGCTATACTTGCGGGTTTTATCACACTTATGCTGTTCCGAAGAGATCTACATACAGTAAGTGTTGTTATGCTTTTGGAATTAGATTGTAATTAATTACGATTCACTACGTTTGTATTCCTTCAAATTTCAGATTGCATTTTTCCTTGGGATAATTTTAAATGAATTAGTCAACTTTTTATTGAAAAATTGGTTCTGTGAGCCTCGTCCATTAGTAAGAAATGTGACTTACCAAGAATATGGGATGCCCTCATCACATTCCCAATTTATGTGGTTCTTTGCTACATATTGTGCTTTGTTTGTGATAATCAGGTATGCCTTCAAATCTCTAACTGTTTGCAAAAAACTAAAGTTAAACAAATTTTTAAAGCAAATCATCTTTTTCCTCTTGATAGGCTCACGCACACTAATAATCATTATCATATGGAGTGGTTGTGGAAAGGGTTGTTATTGTTTGTGACAAATTCATTTGCTTCCTGTGTCTGTATCAGCCGGTAAGTTATCCCTCTTTTATTGAACTCTGAACCTATATTTATTGCTGTCATGCAGATTGATTTTCCCTTTGCAGAGTTTACCTTCAATACCATACTTGGACCCAAGTTTTTGGGGGTGCCATTGTTGGAGGCACTCTTGGCACCATCTGGTTTACTCTAGTCACCTGTGTTTTTAGTCCTTTTTTCCCTACTATAGCTTCCTGGTAAATATTTGTTCTCTAGCCATTTGTACTGTAAGCGGGAATGATGACCATTCTTGATCATCCTCTTTTTTGCACAGGAGGATATCTGAACTTTTGTTGATACGTGATTCATCACTCATCCCCAATGTGCTCTGGTTCGAGTACACAAACATTCGTCAAGAGGCTCGTGCACGCAGCCGCAAACTAGTGTCTATGAAGAGTCAATGACACCTGCTGGGTGGGGCGCCACTGAGATATTCCAGAGTTGATGAATGGACGTCCCTCATTAAATATTTCTTCCAGCGCAAGTAATGTGTGTTAATGTTTGCGACAAAATGCACAAAATTGTGCTACTACTGTTGAGTGTTGGTTGTACCAAAATTTTCATTCTAGAACTCATCAAACAGCACAATTGCTGTCTTAAATGTTAAACAAGACTTTTTTGAAAATTTTAAATCCTGCCAGAGCGCTTAGGGATCTTTACTCACATTTATAATCTTTTTACTAGTCCTGGTATTTAAGATATATTTAAATCTGATTAAGACTAAGTACTGTTAGGCTGCACTTTACACATTTTCTCGACTTGCAGTTCTTGTGTCAATGATTCTCAGCATATTGACTTCTAGATCTTGACTTTGCCTCATCTCACTGAACTCTCATGAGAACAACTAGTTTGCTCTGTCAATTAATTTAATTGGAGGATGACCTGTATGATCAAAATTGTTGAAAATTTGAATAATCATGTGTAAAAATGATAAAGTTTTAGACAATGCAATATGTTTTTATGCCCCTTTCAGACAGTTGTAATATATATACTTTTGTATGTCTCCACCCAACAATGTTTGTAAGAGTTGTGTAAGTCTCATGTATTTTGGAATCTTTTTCTCTAGGTATATTTGTGTATGCCACCTTGTAATCCTTCCTCTTTGGCATTTATATGGTTTGCATGTACCAAGAAATTAAGTGTTCCCCTCAGACCAGTTTAGACACATTTTCTAGTTATTGAGTGGACAGACATGAGCAAAATGTTATCAAAAGAGCCCAATTTTCCCCCTGTTTGGAGTCTTAGCTGCTTAATGGCTACTCTGTTGGTAGTATGGTTTTGTATCTTGTAGCTTACAAATATTTAAGACTGTAATCTTTCTAAATATCTTTGTCTGTCTTTGATTTCTGAGTTCCCTGTCATTGTTGCAATATGAAGGCCCCAAAATCTCTGCTTGATTTGTGACATTAATTATTCTGCTCAAACTCTTGATGGATTCCAACCTTTGAACTGTCGCAACCATGTCTAAGCAAACTGTTTGACTGAAAACACTATCTACTACTGCTTTACTTTGACATTTGGTTCTGTCCAAGGGCTCCATGAATATTGTCACATTGGCTACTTTTGTTGTTATTATTAAATCAAATTTCTTTGGGGTGTCTTATTGCAGCTCATTGCCTGAAAGACTGACTATTGATTGCAATGACAGGTTTATTAGAAGTCAACAGAAGTCAATGCTACTGATCATCACAGTGTAAACTGAAGTTGAATGTTTCACTATTGACAATAATAAATGTTTCAGATACATTTAGCATGTCACTGTTTTTGTCTATTTCTGTACCATTTTGATGAGAAGCTTATGAGTAACACTGAGTTGTTAGCACTGGAAATATGCTCGAACTATTTTGGTCATTTAGTACTGCTACACAAGTGTTACTGAAACGCTCAACTTTAAAGTGGTCACTCACAGCCACAGCTAGACGCATCTCTACAAACATTTAAATATTCCCTCTAATTTCTAATTTCGTGAGTGCGTTTTTGATGACCTTAATGAATGCCAAATATGATGTAACTTGTTATGATCTTCCACTTTCTATGGTGATTTGTAATATTTTTAATTTAATTTTCTTCCATAAAGTGTTTTACTGTTATAAATTTCCATAATTTTAAATTTTGGTGTGATGTTTTAATGAAGAAGATGAAAAAGTATGTAAAGCTTTGATGTCTATGTTGTCTATGCAAATTAAGCACTGCCCCAAAAAAAATTTTTCTCTGTAAATCTCTGCAAGTTCTTGAACAAAATGTTCCAGGCTTAAACTTGTACGCACAAAAATTACAATACTATAGTGACTGAGTTCAGACAGTATTTAGTGAACTATTTTGAGAGAAATAGCAAAAAGTGTATCATGTTCATATTTTCTACATCTCTCATTTAAGATTTTTACAAGTGTGAGATTTTTCTGTCTGGTTATTTTACTCTTTACGAGATAAATAGGAGTCCTCTTCCAAATCAGGTGTACTGTAGGTGTTTTGTAGCAGATAATCGCTCACTTATTCAGTGTCTTTATTTCCTTCCAGTTTATCTGGAAGAAAACATGTGCACTGATAGATGTTTGGAAATCAAAGATCTCATCTAGGCTTCAATATTTTCTCTTGTGATTAATGTGGGAAAACTACCTAGTTTATTGTGATCATTTCACTCTTGTGCTTTCCTGTGGGTGCATAATTAGTCTAGATAGCCTGCCTCAGTTTAGAATTATCTTCATTTTTGCTCTGGGACAAATACTGTACATAAACCTGCCTCAACACATGTATTCTCTGTGATCCTTTCGCATAATTTAAATTCTACATAGGATGTAAACTAGTCTTTGTGCACTACTCTGGTGAAAATATAAAGAAACAGTTACAGCAAACTGCCATTGGAAATTCTGTGAACAAGGGCAATGTCCACTTGACACCTTGCACTTAACATCCACCTTTTATTTTCCCCAGGGTATTATATTTGAATTGTTAAAATTAATCTTTAATCGTGTCATAATATAGCAAAGCACTAAAGTTTCTAATTAAGTTGTGTCGACTAATCACCTGCAACGTAGTATTCTGAAAGAAAGGGACATTTTAAAAATGATAAAGATCTGATGAAACAACCTTTCGAGCGTCAATTTAATTAAACCCTCAGTCCTCCAGGTTGCCCTACAACACCAATTTCTGCAAATTATTGAACTGATTAAGGCAACCTGATTTATGGGTTGTTGCGAACACGAAGATTATTTAACTCACACTTCTCAAAAGTATGAGTATAGCCGCATAAATTAACTTGAAATTTAACTTAGGCAGACTGACCCCATGCTCCCCAGTAGGGCAGCGGGCACTACGACTATGCAGAAACCCTACCGCATCTGAGGTTGCGGAGAGGCCGCGCGAGGTCGGAGTGCCTTGCTGACTCGAACCGCTAAAGGTCTGCATAAGCCTAACAGCGCTGATGATGATGATGATGAATTTGGCTTCATCCGCTTCATCCGGGAAAATTTGAATAGTGGCGGGGAGAATCACTGAGAAAACGTGAGAAAAAGTTCTCAAAACTAGTTTCCGTGAAATCAAATTTAAATTCTTACTCAAGGTTTTTTTTATCTAGAATTAGTCTGAATTAAAGTGTGTCTATGAGCGGAGGGAGTACACATATAATTGCTTTCATGGTATGTTTTGATGTTTTGATTTCAAAAGAGGTTGGCATTATTGGAGTCCTTTCGTCTTGTGTCTGCTTGCGCACAACAACACGAGCGAGAGGTTAGCTGTATTTACATGGTCTAAAGTCAGGTAAAAGCAGTTTGACGTTCGCTCCCACTTGATCTTAAATAGACGGTATGTATACGAATCTTGTATGATGCCCTTAAAATATAATCAGCTTGTCGTAGTACGAGCATTAAAGACGGTTTTCAAAAGGTCGACTGTGACGCATGGTTACACCACTTTGCGCTGCGTACCGCACGTGAGGTGCTCGTCTCGTTGTCGCGTTTTGCTTGTCAGCATCAGCCTTCAGCCTTCCGACGTTTAATATTGTAGCATCTGGTCAACGAATTTGTTTTGTCCGAACCCAATTTATTTTTTGTCAGTGCCCTGCTCTTTCAGTGTTGGGCATCATAATGGAAGACTCTTTCCTGATCCAATGTTTGATACTTATTTTGTATTGTTTTAGATGCCAGATAAAGACACCCCTCCATCTTCTCCTCATTATGGAGCAGAAATGGACGAAGGCGAAGAAGAAGAATTCTTTGAGGTGAATGAAGATGAGTTAGAAGAAATTCTTGGCCTTAATGAACATCCTGATGTTGACGATGATGATGAAGACGATGATGATGCCATTGATAGTGAACCAGTGCTTGGACCTGTTCCAGAAAGAGAGGATGCATCAATGGTCTTTTCTGAACATTCTGGTAATTTTTTATAAAGATTCATTGCTAAGTTTGGGCAGAAATGCTGTCAATTTTTGTAACATGCACTCCTGTCAAATGCTACTGTTTGACAGCCTTTCTTCTCCTGTTATATTGGACGACCAAGTTGACCTTTTATGTTTCTTTTATTAATGCCATCAATGTATTTTTTCCTAGGCTCTGTATTTTGTTGTCATATAGAACCAAATAGGGGTAAATTAGCTGTGACAGGCGCTCAGGATGATAAAGCTTACATATGGGAAACAGACAGTGGAAAAGTGCTCTTGGAATGCACTGGTCATCAGGTAGGTTCTGTTTCTAGGATTTCAAGTCCAGGAAAACAATTTAAATAAAAATAAAATTGGGAACTATGTAAGTTGTGTGTTAGCATATATTCAAAACATTCTGACTGCCATTTTTGTTGCTTTGTAGGATTCTGTAACTGCCGTGGAGTTTAGTCATGATGGAAACTATGTGGCAACTGGTGACATGGCTGGACATATTCAAGTTTGGCGGACAAACACCTTACAGAAAGTGTGGGACTATGCCATGGGTGATATGACAGTAAGCGTCTTACAATCATTGTCTACTGGCTCATCATTTCCTATTGTTTCTCCTTACAAAATGACATGATTGGTTATTATACTTCTTACTTTTCAGTGGATGAGATGGCACCATGGGACAAATGTTCTCATGGCTGGAGCTGCTTCCAGTGAAGTTTACATGTGGAAATTACCTGGTGGAGATTGCAAAGTGTTTGGTGGAAGTGGAGAAAAAAGTGATTGTGGTGTTATCTTACCAGATGGTAATTAATGTGTTCAGTTGTTTTTGGTGCTTTATTATACATTATCACCAAGTTCAATTTATATTTCTCATTTGCTTTGAAGGAAAGCGTGCTTGTGTTGGGTATTCTGATGGTACTCTCAAGCTTCTGGACCTCAAATCCGGAACAGTCACAAAGTCAATGTCTACCAGTGAAGATGGTACCATATCAGACATAGCTGCTCATCATGACAACAATTTAATTTTGGCTGGTGTGAATGGAAAAGCTGTGGTTGCCAGTTCCAATCAAGGCAAAGTAAGTTATTCACAAACTGTTAATGATAAGACCTGCACTTTAATCACCACTTAATTAAATCTTTCAGGTACTGTCTACTTTACTCACACAAGTTCCTGGAGGAACTGAAGAACAAAATGTTGAGGCTGTTGCTTTTAGTTCTGACACTGCTATGCCATTAGCTGCATATGGAACTCTAGAAGGCTATCTTTTCATATGGGATCTTGCACATCAGGTCTGTCCAGATAAGCCCCTAAATAAATAGGTGCCCCAAAACTGCTGTTCTCAAAATAAATTTTTAAATAATACTTTTTATATTTTTTTAGTCTCAAAGGCACATTGTTCACCAACAAGGAGCCATAACAAAACTTGTATGGGATGTTGAAAGGCCATCAGTCTACACTGCTGGAACTGATGGAATTGTGCGTCATTATGATGTGCGATCTGGTGTTCTAGCTCAAGAGTGGCTCGGTCATCGTGCTGACATACTAGACCTCTCTCGATCGAAGTAAGCCAATACTAATCATCCTTTCTTATTTTGCTCATAATTAAATAATATCTCATTTGTTTGGTTTCAGAGATGGACGTTACCTTCTTACAGCATCAGATGACAAAACATCCAGAATATTTAAACTTAATTGAGAATTAGGTTTAATTGTGTACGCAAATTAAATAAATATGACCATCTTGTGATATTTTCCTGTTGCTTGCATTTTCTCTACAACCTTTCCTCACTGGGCAGAAGGCAGAAATAGCAGAACAAACCAAACAAAACAAAACAAAGCTTGGGATTTCCCTACGAGAATTGCACAATGTGGCAACTCTGCCTCACGCCCTGGCCGATGCGGGATTTTCACTTTCTTTCGAAGGGTTGGGGGAGGGGAGTCGGTAGACAATTTATAGCCGTCACTTTTAATAGCGAAACGTCCCGGTCCTAAACTAGACACATAGTTTGACTGTTTAAATTCAGTTGAAGATCTTCCAAACCTGGCAACACTGAAAGCATGGGCTGTTGGATCCCTTCTGATTTTACCTGCTCCTTTCTGCTGGTTCGGGAGGATTGATTATTTCCCATTTTACGACTAGAGTTTTGGCCGAAAACCAAGGAAATCAGATGACTAACAATTATCAAGCTCATTAGGACTTAAAAAGATGCTGGTCTAGTCTAACATGGTCTAACACCTGTACAGCTGCAGCAATCTAGGAGCCTCAGATAAGGCTTAACCTAAAATGGCGGATCTACAACCCCTTCAAGAATTAAGTTGTTTAAAGAGTACTGATATATTGGTCCACGTAGAAGAAGCTCTATTAGACTTTTTAGTTGTTTCTTATGAACATGATAGCAAGTTATATCAAGGGGTCCTTCTGGACTCGACAAAAAGGTGAGATTTTTTCCCTATCTGATCTGGTCACCAGGCTGCTTGTATTTTGAGTTTATTGTCACTCGCATATTAAGAATTGTCGAAAATCTTTTAGTACTACTTCCTCTATATTTATACGCGTGAACTTGAACAACGTTTCGTACCCTAACCCTATCAATGCACTCTGACACCCACTGGCCAAATGTGTTGAATCATGGGCCTGTGGGTGTGATGCACTCCTTAAAGTTTTCTTATTTTTGTAATTTTGTTTTATTCTGACATGAAAATGAGTCATACAAGCTATTTCAATATAATACGCGCTTAATACAGCTACCTCTCAGCCTTCCTCTACACGTTCATGACCAAAGGAGGGGGCAAAATCAATTTCTTTTTTTTTTAAATTCATTTTTAAAGAAATAAAATTTTTGTTTTTACTTCTAAATAAATCTTTCTATGCCTTTCAGATCCCTACCCTGTGGGATTCTTACCCCACCTGGATTCCCTGTGGTGGACTCTGCACAACATGGCCTTGGATCAGACGAGGATAAAATGTATAGTGTTGCTCAACGGTACTCATATTTTCAGGAAAAGTGCCCTTCCCCCGTGAATGTAGCAGCAAAAGATAGCTTTCCTCCTGGATCTGCTTATCATATGAGACGAGCTATGAGAGGAGGCCATTCTAAATTTAAGAATAGTCGAATGACTGTAAGACTGAGACCAAGGCAAGTTTTGTGTTCCAAGTGTAAGAGCACTTGTAATGAAAATTCTGAAAATGTAGATTTATCAAGAAAGCGGAAGAGTGCAGAATCCACTGCCTCTAACAAAGGACCAGTTGAGAAAAAAGTTTGTCCTCCTCGACAAATATCCCCTAAATCTCCAAGACCACCATTCTCAGAAAACCCTCAAGAAAACAAACCGTCCCTTGCCAGCAGAAGGAAGAATTCTTCAAGTCCTCCTGTTGATTCTCCATCATTACGCCAGTCCCTGATTCCAAAGACTGTGATGGAAAGTGAAATCCCTCAAACTTTGAGTAGCAATGTAAATAAAATAAAAATTGCACCAGAGTATTGGCAGAAACAAGCAAATGAATCTAATGTGCCGTCTGAGAAAAGTAGAAGAACAAGCATGCCACACACTAATTCCAACTCCAACAGTGACATGGGCTCCACTGAGTGTCTAGAAGAAATTTCATTTGATATGAGTAAGAATCAGTCCTTAGAAGCGACAGAACGAGAAAAACTTACTGATGATGATGCCTCAAATGAATTGAATGGATTAGATATATATGAGAAAAACTCTGGTATAATTGAAATGTCTGACAATGCAGTAGATTCACTGTCAAAGTTAAATAGTTCATTTGCCAGCTCAGGAACAGATGAAAGTCAGGACAGGATGGTTTTACGAAAGAAGCGAAATGTAGGGTCTATGGAAGACTTATGGGATGAAAGTGTTTTTCTTGAAGACGCTACACGGAGAACCACGCCAGTCATCAAAATTTCATTTGGAGCTCAGGTAACTTTTTTTATTTCACTTTTCAAGTTTTATGATTTTAAGTTTTTTGATTTGATGAATTGTCTTCTGCAGGGTGAAGGTACTGTTTTAAAAATACCAGCAAAAGTGCGGAGCTATCATGATAGTGAAAGTGATTTTGAAGACCTAGAAACACATAAACCAAAAACTCCTACGAAAGAGGCAAGGACTAAAGCTGCAAAGAAAGCTCTGAAGAAAGCAAAGAAGGAGGCTCGCCGGAAAGTAAACAAAGATAAGCCTGAATCTCCACCAAGACCTGGTGGTAGTTCTCCATACCAGCGAAGACGTAAAAGAAAGGTCAGTATTTTTGAAAAATCCAAGTAGTACTCAATGCATAAAGTTCATTGTAGTTTAAAGTTGCATACAACTAGCGCATGTCAAATTCTGAATGAAGGGAAATGCCTTACTGATAACTCTTGTTCGTAGGATTATAGCATTCCTTGTTTCTTTGTTTTGGCATCCTTTCCAGAAGTATTAAAACCTAGGTGGCCTGCAGCTGCATCAGCTAAGAGTGGTGGGAACAAGCAAAAATATAAAAATATACAAATATTTTTTAGATGTGTATAACTAGTAGATGATAAATTCTCTCTTGAACTACAGCATCTTCTTAGTAAGATAAGTATAATGGATTGTTTAAACTATGCTACCAATGTCCTGATCATCATTAGGATTGAACACACTCACATAGTTACCACATTTTGGGACAATGTCAACACAATGACATTTACCGCTTGTAATGATATCTGAAGGCAAAATCAGGAAAACATTGTATTTATTTCTTAACTTGCATTTTGCCAAATTATCTTCTAGCAATTAAAGTAGGTCTAGAACCACAATTTTGAAGACAGCGGTTTGTCATGTTATTTTTTCTTTAATGTTTTGAAGGTTTTGTGCTGCATTTCTACCTACTAGTTATTTTTATGCTTAACAGTAGAATGGATGTAAAATTGTTTATTTGTCATGAAGTTTTCTAGCTAAGACTAGTCACTGACATTTTGCCTGCTGGCAGGCACTTTCAATGGTGTGATGTATGGGTGATTGATTTAGTTGAGGATCAAAGATAATGCTATCTGTTGAATTCCTGGTCATGTAATGCAGGAAATTAGTTATACTTTGAGATTGCCTATCTTTCTTTTACCTTGTTGTTAACCTTTAAGTTTGATTTTATTGTTAATATGTCTTAATATATGAGTCATTGTTTGATAGTCTGTTTGCATATGGTCAGGTGAAACACAAGAAGAGACATAAAGGAGTCCGAGAACATGAAATGAGTGCAGTCGAGGAAGAAGTGGATGTGGATTACCCTCCACTTTTGGAGGAAGATCCACTTAAAATTGATGACAAACCAAAAAATGAGGAGTCCACCATCAATAATTGTGATATTGATTCAATGAAAGAAAAATGCTTGAAACAGAAGCTTTCTATAAGTCTGAAGCGTTTGACTGCCACAGCTTATGCAAGATGTGGTGATACAAGTTGTTCAACTGGCTCAGACAGTTCGGGTAGTAACTCAGAATTTTCAGGAGCTGATGATTTGCCTGACTTTCCAAAACTGGATTCAGCTCATACATTCCTGACCGTTGAGTCCTGTGATACAGGTGATGGAAGAAAAATGGAAGTGGGGGATGTAGTGTGGGGGAAAATTCATGGGTTCCCATGGTGGCCTGGAAAGGTAATGTTCTAACATTAAAAAAAAAAAAAAAAACATTTAAAAAAATTTACATTAGTATTTACTATGATTCTGATCATTGAATCAAATTTGTAGGTTTTGAGTATAACTATTGAAAGAAAAGAGGAGCCTCAGAGACCTCAGGCACATGTGGCCTGGTATGGTTCATCAACATCATCACGAATGCCTTGTGATCAGCTTTGTCCCTTCCTTGAAACATTTAAGGTGGGAAGAAGTCCTTTAGACTCCATTTATTTGAAACCTTCCTCAAGCCTCGTATAACTAATAATTATGTTGTTTTGATTTTTTTTGCTGTAGACTCGCTACAATAAAAAGAAGCGAGGTCCATACAAGGAAGCCATTCGACAGGCAACTTGTGAAGCTCGCAAAGCCTCGTTAGATCCACTTGCAGCTTGTGAAGCTCGCAAAGACACCTTGGATCCACTTTCAGCTTGTGAAGCTCACAAAGACTCCTTGGATCCGCTTGCTACCTGTGAAGCTCTCAAAGACTCCTTGGATCCACTTCAAGAAGTAGATATTGTGCTGTGATGTATCTACATTCAAGTCAACCCTTAGTCAGAAGTGCAATTAAGAACTAGTCATGTGGAAGCCTTGAAACTGAGTTGTCTTGTAGTGATGTACTTGTTCTACGGCCTACATTTTACTCAGCCTTCTATCATATTTGTTTCGTGCTTATGTTGAAGGAGAGTTGAAAAAGTGTCAAATATTTGTAAGTGATTCTGGTTGCCGATGTGTTTCAATCACTAACTTGTAATGCTATTGTAGCTTCAAGTCCTGCCTCTGTTTGAGTATATGTTTACGCAACATATCTCTCTTTACATACTTCAGGTGAAACTTAGATGATCCAAAAGAAGTGGTGTTGATTTTTCTCTGTATATTATGACTTAATGCTTTGTCATGATTGATAAAAGTATGTCTGTGACTTAATACTTTGAAGAGTACAATGTAAGAGGTATATCTAAGTTATATTAGTTGAAACTATTTGGTTTTGTTAAGCTCGTCTTCCATAACCCATATACTTTAGCATTTGTCTTATTCTTTAAATAAGTTAATACTTTTAGATATAGTCCTCTCAGGGCTAAGTGTTCCCATTTTACCTCTATGAGGTTGTCTCCTTGAGTGCTTAAGCATTTTTATTGGTACTGACTGTGAATTGCCAACATTATCGTTCTTTTCTCATCCCAAATTCTTAATTTAGTTAAAAATTGTCCTTTCTTGGACCTATTTACAAATTATGTACATGAAAAGACTGCATCACAAACAGGCTGCTAATGAACACATATTTAAAGCAATGATGATGATAAAGTCAAAGCTTTCCTTGTGCGGAATGTTTTGCCTGTTCATGCATCAAATTTAATTTTTAAGAAATTGACTGTAACTAATATCAAACTTTCCTTTTGAAAGATAATTATTTTGGAAGTGGCACATAGTGTACTTTGCTTGCTAGAATGATTTGACACAGCCCATAATTTTACTGACCTGTCATCATTACGAATTTGTTGGGATTTGTTCTGTTCATAGTCTGTGTTTCAAATCCCAGTATTTTTTAAAAGATCTTTGATCTTAGTGTGGGCTGACTATGAGCACACCCCTAATAAATGTTTACAGACTACAGGTCTTTACTATAGTTAATGTTTATGATGTGTACTTCCTAATTCGTTCCTTGTGTGTGATGTCTAATAGAATACAAGTTTACTCTACCTTTTTAAAAATTTCCATTTGTGTGATGCTCTTATTAAACTAACAATTATGTGTTCACAAAAAAGGGGGATTGATTAAAAAAAAAAAAAACAAGGACTGTCACTTGTGTTACTAGTTCATGATGATGATTTAATTGTAGTGTATTATGTACTAATGTACTGTGTACCTAATTGTAGGCTTCTTGTTTCCTTATCAGAATAATTATGGAAACATTTGGCATATTTCCATAGGTTGCCCCACCCCCTTATGAATAGTTGAATTAAATAGGAGAAATGTGCATTGATTGTTGCGTTACCAACGACGGTTTCTTTAGCTTTTGTCAGTGTGTGTTTCACTTGTGTTTGTAGCTTTGAAGTATATTGTTTTATTTAAATAACAATTATTTGATAAGAGTTGTCTTGATGTGCCTTGAAAAGCACACCTTGCTTTCTCCAAAAGCTTGTTACCTCTGTAGTATTTTCTCAATTTTATGTGGCTTGCTCTAATATGGGCTTGTCCCATCTCATCAAGATGCCCTCTTACTTTGTTAAATCTCTAGAAGCAGATTTGCGTTTTCAATTCATAGTTTTGATCAACGTTTTACTTTAAATATGTATATTTTTGTTATTAAAACCCTGACTCACATTCCTTAGATATACTTTGTGTGAATGATGGTTTGTTTGTGTGCATCACATTGCTCTTGTTTGTTGTCTAGACCAGGGAGGTTTTTTATTACAAAGATTTGATTTTTTTTCTTATTTTGCGAGACAGTATGTTTTAAAGTTGTCACTTCTATCTGGAAAGAACGGCCCTCTAAACTTCATCATTTCTCTAGAGATGGACACCTACTATACTATTTTCTCCACCCAATTGTGACAAACTTTAAGTGAAGTTACATATATCCTTACTCTGAATGATAAGTTTGCATGTTGCAAGGCATAGCTAGGCTCAGCATTCCCTTGAGTTTTACTTTGAAGATGGTCTGTCTGGAATCCTCTGAAAGGAACTGTTGATGGGGTTGATAATTCAACTGACTGTGATTTTATGTATTGCTGGTCCTGTGTCCAGTGCATGCACATAAGGGCGCCCTTTTGCATGGTATGAGACTTCATATGCCATTATTATTTTATGACTTCAGTTGCTTGTCAAATTTGACAAATGTAATTATTTTACCCGAAGAATTAGTCTCACAATTATTTAACTGGCAAGTTGATTGCTCAGAGAGTAAAATTGTGCTTAACTAAGGAGCAGTCAGTGCGACTGACATTTTTGTGCATTGTGTCTTAAAGGCTGATACCATAAAAACGATTGTTTCTGAAATTCTCTACAAAATATGTCTCATTTATTTATCCCTCTCATCCTTATCTTCACCAATATACATCACCACATTGCAACTATTGTTTCCTTTTAGCAGAGAGAATGTTATTAATCCTATCAAGAAACTTAGAATCAAAATACAACTCACGGTTTTTTTCATGATAGTGATCCACAGACCACAAATCAGGCAAAAACTTGGGCTCCATGACAGAAATAAAATGCTCTCTCCAGATTCTCTCTAAATTCATGAGTCCTTCAACACCGTTTCGGGAAAAATGTTCCACAACTAAAAGACCATGGGGAGTGTAATCTTGGTTTACAACGCTGGAAAAAAGAGAAGTCAAAATTATAATCATCAAAGCGTTTTGAATTTACGTAAATATATAAAGTCAGGAGATTACGTGATGTCTATATCCTTCAGTTCATTTAATAGATCTGGTGTAACACTTGACTTGCAACTCTCTTGAATTAAATCAATGAGTTCTTTCTGGCGTCTTTCAGGCAGCTCATTTGATTTATTTAAAAGGGCTCTAGCTGCAGAGCGTAACGATTTGTTTTTGCCATTCTCCAACACCTACATAAAAGGAAATAAGAAACTGAATTTTCTGCAAGGATTTGCCAGGCATAATAGGTAAAAATAACAATTTCCCGCTGTGTAGAAAAAATGAAAACAAAATATAACACTCACTTTAAGATTTTCATCAGCATGAAAAGGTGCATTGCAGATCTGTGCAAGCTTTAAGCGTAAGCTAAGATCTGCAATATTGCTTCTTGCATGACATGGCGTGCACAACAGTAGAACATCATGGGATTGGTGATTCTTCATACAATCTGTTAAAATTAACTCCTAAGAAATTATTAAGATAAGTAAAACTATTCAGTTTTGAATTATAACTTACCAGGGAAGTACCTACGATATTCATGTGGAACAATTTTTTTACGGACATAGCTATTATTTTCCCCACAGGCTACACACTGATTTTTCTTTTCTAAAGCATAGTATTCACCTGATGGTCCATTGATTCGACCTGAAGGCTCAAATTTCAGCTGTATTTTTAATGGTTCTCTTTCCACTATGGTTGCTAGGCCTTTAGATACATACCTGTAAAGTCAAGGGAAAAGTTCCAACATGCATCCAAAGGAGATTCTGGTTTGATAAGATAGTTAAAAATAGATAAGAAAAGAAAAGAAGGTAACCTACCAGTCCGCTTTTTTCTGGTCACAAGTGCAAAGGACTTCACCATCAGGTGCAAGCATGAAAACATTATTGTAAAAAGGTGTCTTTCGAGGACTGAATGCTCGATAGTTTTGTTTTCCACGGCCTTTGATTATTGTAGAATTGGGCTGACCAGATTTGGGCCTTTGCATCGAATTCGATAAACCATTGTCAGCTGGTGATTGGGTTTGAGCAGGTTTTCTTTTTTCTATGAAGATAAGGTCCATCAAGGGCATGCAATGGTCATAAACCTTTTGCCATTGTTCCTCTTTGGATGAGAAAAATGGGACCTTGACCTACAGTATTTAAAGAAAGGTCTACTAGATATTCAGAATAACAGCATATATATGAACAAAAGAGGATTCAAATATACCTTTTTATCTACAAGATTTTTAAAAGCAAGAACTGCACTTAATGCATCATTTGCAGCATATGTTTCCTGAAGTGGAGTCAGATCTTTTGCTTCCCAATTAGATACACGAATGTGAAAATCTTTGGGTAAGCGCACTCCTAGCTCAGACTTCACTACTGCAGCAAGCCCACCAACTTTGCCTTCAACCAAGTGTCGAATGTCAAATGTGCCAGCTACCTGAATACCGTAGTCAGTATTCAAATGTTTGGCATCCTGAAGAGGATCCACACCTACTTTTAAGATAGTGTTGTCTGCTAATATTTCCTGCAATATAAAGTTGCATGTAACAAGTACATCACAAAAACTAAGTATTTTAAAAAAATGTTACTTATTAATGCTTCACCTGTAAAACATTTGGAACAGATGAATAAAGGTGAATTTGAAAGAGACCACATTGTCCCTCAAGTGTGGCAAGCTGAACTAAAGCTACTCGATTTCGTTTTGAGCCATCTTGAGTCCACTCACAGTCAAACCCAAGAACCTTTGTAAACTTGACATCACTGCAATGACAAACTCAAATTAATGACAATTAAATGAAAAAAATTTAATTACAGAAGTACAAGCAGATCACATACCTTTTCAATTCATTTACTAATGCAATACATTGGCTTTCATTACTCGCTACTTTTACTGTCATATTCCAATAAGGCTGTTTAGAGGCACAAATGTACCGAAGGAAAAATCTTGATGCTGTTCGACTTTGACTGGTTAGAAGGGCCAAGCCAACGCCAGTACTTATGCCGGCAACAACAGCTAGTGCTGTCTTGTTGCGCCCAACCAGCATTTTCCAAGTTAAGAAAAACTAGCCTTGGAAATGACACGAGATTTCAATTTTATTATAAAGATAATCGAATTTGGTTTCATTGATCAGACAATGATGTAAAAGGAAAAATTAGGAGGCATTCTACAATTCTTCAAGTTCCCTGATTGATGACACCAGAGAATTAAACAGGAAAAGCAAACAGAGCTAATGTAGAAAGATTGTTGCAGATATAGGTTAGGATTACTATTAGGTCATGGATGCAAGATTTTTCATATACGAAAGCGGTTGTTTAATTTCGCATACCAAAACTTCCCTCCCCACACTCCGCCAACTTTCAAACTGCACCTTCACTGCAAAGGAGAGCAAACTTCCAGAGGCCCGCGCAGAAAAACTCAGTAGCGGATCCAGAGGGGTGCAAAGTAGCACCTTTTGCCTAATTTCAGGGGCAAACGGGGTTACAGTATGTTTTTTTCATCTGAAAATCATCTGAAAAATCTATGAACAAATCATTAGGCGTTTGGATGAGATTCCGTTTATCAGTTCTGAAAGCCATGTGATCGAACCCGTACGAGTGCTCCCGCCTGTTCGGTCTGCACGCACCCCTTTTACCCCCCCCCCCCTTCCCCAATTCCCAAAGCAACGCAGAGGAGTTTTCCAGAGACTACGAAGACCGTGCGGTGCGAGTGCGACGACTGTCGAGACAGTCAGACGGTCGGGGCTCGTGTGTCCCGGGCCGGGGTGCTGGGGTGCAGTGGGGTGGCCTGGTCCTGGGGGGTGTTTTTCCTACCTCGACGAGGGTGGCCGCAGGGCCGCAGTGACGGGGCCGACCACGTCCGGCACGTCCGTACTGCACTAGCCGCAAGTAGGCCGACGACGTGCTCGCCCGGAGTTCCGCGTCCCCACGACAACGCAAAGGTGCAAATGCAAACGCTTGATTTTCAGTACAAACCACCTTTTTCGGACGATTGACGTAGAGGAGGGGGGGCAGATACACCCGTCGCGTAATTACTGGAAGTCCGTAATCGGCGAATGCAAGGCTTGTCGGTTGCCTCGTGCCCAGCCTGCCCAGCCTGCCCAGCGCACACGCACAACACCTGCTCCCCTCCCTTCACCCCTTGCCTGCCTTGCCCCTCCGGGTGCTCGAGCGTTACACTCTGTACGTGTTGACGCTGACGGCGTTGACGCCCTCCCCGGGCGCGGCGGTACGCTCGTCCGGGCGTGACGTCACCCACTGCCCTGCCCAACCATTCGCGTCCACTCGGCCACTCAGCGGGCCCGCGAAGCGCGACCAGCGCGGCAAAGCTCGGCAAAGCTCGGCAAAGCACGGCAAAGCACGGCAAAGTACGGCAAAGTACGGCAAAGTACGGCAAAGCACTGCAAAGCAAGGCAAAGCACGGCAAAGTACGGCAAAGTACGGCAAAGCACTGCAAAGCAAGGCAAAGCACGGCAAAGCAAGGCAAAGCACCGCAAAGCACTGCAAAGCAAGGCAAAGCACGGCAAAGAGGGAAAGAGTGAGCAGCACAGCAGCACCGTTCGGAATCAAGAGACTGCTGCCTCCTGCTGCCGTTTCGTCACTCTCTCTCTCTCTGGCACCCATACGGGACGCCCCATAAGTGGGAGAGAGATGGAGCGACGAAACGATCCTTCGGAATCAGTCGGCTTAACAGCGTCCAGTGGACACCCTCGTCCGACTTCGCCCTCATCGATTGTGTTCGACTATACTGATGCACCAGTACCCCCCCCCCCTTTTCGGCCGAAGGTCGCAGCGCGGACTCACCTCGTGGCGATGTGGCGATGACGTCACGAAGACCCATCCACGGTGGTCTCGGTCTCGGCTGGACCGCCATTGCCAATGGGCTTACGTCCGCGGCCAAGTACACATCAAGCAACAAGCTCGAAAATTCTAGTCGAATTAAAACCACGTGCCCATTCTTTGAGACACCCGCTCGGAGGCGTTTCCATAGTAACGCGTCTAGTCAGTCCTACTCCATGTCTAGAGAGGTAGGACAAGTAACTATCTTAGCCTCTCGCTCCAGGGGAAAAGTGTGAATTTCTAAATACTTGTTGGCCGCAGCCTTCTGTGTAGAGAATTTCCCTCTGGAACTTGGAGTGCCAACTTTTCCGATTCGGGCAAGCGCGGATCCAGGAGGGGGGGGGGAGGGGGGAGGAAATTGCCCCCCCCCCCCTGACCCCTAGATAGCCGCCTGAAAGGTAGGCAAAAAGCACCAATTTGCCCCTTCAAGTACGTGTAGGCAAAAAGTGCTACTTTGCCGCCCCCCCCCCCCCCCCCTTGGGCCGACTCTGGAACCGCCACTGGATTCGGGTACGTTGAGTCCGTCCCTCCCGATGCAGGCCGATGGCTGAATGGAGGGTGGGCTGCTCTCTTTAGGCTGCTCTAGGCCCGATGGTCGGACTGACGGACTGTGGCTCATCGGGCAAGGCAGTGCAGGGCAGTGCACGGCAGGGCGCGCTGGGCTCGTCCGCGTTATTGGCTTGCATCGGATGATTGGATGGGATGGACTATTCTTTGGCAACCAGCAGCAAAAGCAACGTGCTCCGCACCCAATACACCTGTCTGATGGATTCCGGGCTGGAGCACTGGGAACCAGACCCAAAGGTCAGAGGTTTCTGCTGTCGAACCCCCGCACTGGTTTTTGACAATAATTAAGTAAGCGCGAGTGGGGGCGAACGTTTGTACCCTTGTCCAAGGACACGAAAAGGCTCAAGGTCCATGGGCGCATAGCAGGGGACGAACGTGACCTCGTATTATCGGTCTCTAAGGTCTGTTCGGACCCGAAGCCGCCCGAAGCCGCCCGAAGCCGCCCGAAGCCGCCCGAAGCCGCCCGAAGCCGCCCGAAGCCACGAAGTGACGACGCGTCGGCAACATGACCGTGCGAAGCGAAAGGCCCCCGCCCCACCCTCCTCGCCCAAGTAATGACCAATCAAGACCAATTAAATCAATTGCTGAACACGGCTGGGAAACCAGACCGGCGGCGGCGCGTTCGGCCGGTCGGCCACTTTTGTGGAAAAGACTCGTCGCGTGGCCGCGCCCGTGTCCCCCGGCCGTCCGGCCGGCTTGAGGATCCTCCTTTCCGGGGGAAGGGAGACTTGGCTTGCTTTCCCGTCACCAGGGGTCCCCGTGGAGTGGAATCTGGCTGGGGCCAGGTGACGGTAGTGTCCTGCAAAAGTTGAACACGCCGGAGCCTCGCACCGGGGCCTCCGCGAAAGAAAGTGTTGCTTGGTGGTCGAGCAAGGCTGCAAGGCCGGTGCCGCCGCAGTCGCCGCAGTGGCCAGTTGCCCCGTAGGCTGGTTTCCCTGTCAAGGGAAGGCCCAACGCCGCCATATTGGCCGGCTGTTCACGGCGGCAAGGCACGGCGGCACCAGGGCGGCGGCGCGGAGGGGGCAGCGCGCGGGGCAGCGCGCGGGGCGGCGCGGGCGGGCGGCGGGCGCGGCGCGCGGCGTGCAGCCAGTGTCTCTCCGACAGCCACGGCGCGCGCTTCGCGGTCTCTCTGGCCGGGGGAGCCGAGCACGGGATTGCCGCGACCCGAGCGAAAGACCGCGACTGCCTGACAGCCTGACCCACCGGCAGGTGGCGGAAACGCAGTGCAACGCAGTGCCGCGCGCAGCGGGCATTTCCGTCGACAGCCTCCACTGCCATTGCGGGGCAGTCAGCCCCAGTGCGCCGGCCTGTCCGCCTGGAACTCCACGACGTGGTGCTGTGGCTGTGACAGTTCGCCTTGCCTGGCGCGCTACAAATAGCGCCACTCGCGCGTGCAGCGTGCGCCGTGCGTCTAGCCGTGCGGCTGGAGTGAGTCAGGGAGTGAGCACGCTGCACTGCCGGGGAGGTGCGGGGCGTGTCTGATGCCGCCGCCGTGCGGCCAGCGGGGACACCGGGGACACCGACCATGGCGCACGCGGCGCACGGCCAGCACTACAACGAGCACCCCACCTACTACTACCCGAGCAGCGCCCCTGCGGCGGCACCCCCGTACTACTACGTGCAGGCCAACGGCGTGGCCACCGGCCTGCACCACCACAACGCGGCCAACTCGTCGTACTGGTTCGGCAACGACTCGGTGGGCGGCTGGGGCCAGCGCTTCTTCTTCACGTTCTACACCGAGGGCGGCGAGCGGCGGCCCTGGGCCATCCTGGAGGCGTCCGTGTTCGCCGTCGTGTTCCTCGTGTCCGTGCTGGCCAACCTGTCCATCGCGGCCGCCGTGCTGCGCTACCGCGAGATGCGCACCGTCACCAACTGCTTCCTGCTCAACCTGGCCGCCGCCGACCTCGTCTTCGCGATGGGCAGCCCCCTGGTGGCCGTGGCCCGCCTCACCGAGGACTGGCCGCTGGGCGACACCGCCTGCCGCCTGCTGCCGTACTCGCAGGTGAGCACCGTGAGCACCGCGAGCACCGCGAGGAGCCTCGCCCTCACCGAGGGTGTCAACAGTTTAGCTTTTGTGTCAATACATGGTTGGCGCACGCGGTCGCCCCAGGCGAGTCAGTCGGCCGCGGTCCTGCCCGGCCTCAGCTTAGTCAGCTTCCAGCCCTCGGCACACTGTGCCCGACCGCTGATTCACCCGCCAGGCCAGTTCCGGTCGGCCGCGTGGGTTGCCTAGTTGCCTACCCCCTGGCGGCCGCGTCGGCCCGCCGTCAGGTCTTCCCTCCGACGTCGCCATTGATCCAGGATCGTCACGTCGTCGCGGCCTCCTTACAGAGTCGCGTCGAATCGCGTCCTCCTGTTACCGCACTATTTTGTGGCGTGCCTCGGCGCGCCGCGCCCGAGTTTTTGCCTGGCCGAGGTAGCGCTTCGCCGCTTCGCCGCCTCGTCCCGCCGCCTCGCGGCGCCGTGCCTCCGCGTGCCCCGCGCGCTCCGCGTCATGCCCGGGTCGTGAGTCAGTGAGTCGGACTGCTCGTCCTCTTCCCCCCGCCCTGCCCTGACACGGCCGCGACGCTGCCTCATCAGAAAGGAGAGAGGCCCACTGCTGCACTATCTGGCGCGCTGCTTGTTCCAGGAGGAGGAGGAGGGGGAGTCGCACCCAACTAGGCAGCTTGAATTCCGTTCGACACAGCCCCGAATACGTCCCTGTTTGCAGTCACAACGATGTGACCTTCCAGGTCCTATTTTCCCGAGTTCTCCCGTTTAGCTACCTGTCTCTTTGCTCGCTCGGAGTCTGCCGAGCGGTTCAGAAGAGTCGTTTCGTCGCTCTGTCTCTCTCGCACTCATGGGGCTGTCCATAAGGGTGGGAGAGAGACAGAGCGACAAAGCGATCTTTCCAATCGCTCGGCTGTAGCGCCGGCGAGGTAGGCCAACCACCCGTCGCGCAACACTCCGATGTGGAGACGGTGGCCTATCTCGCCCCCGTGAAGGCGCCAGGTAGGCCACCGTCTCCACACCGGAGTGTTGCGCGACGGGTGGTTGGCCTACCTCGCCGGCGCTACAGGCAGCCGTCGGCATTCCTACGCGGCCACAACTTTGCAGCCACAAACAGGGACGTCCCCCGAATGCCATTCATCCGCTCTAACAATTGATGGAATGTATTCATTCGATCTGCCAACGTTACAAGGGCGCGGTTACCAGACGAGCGGTGCATGCCCAGATATTGTTCGAGACCTCGGCCGGTGTAGCTCGTCTGGCGCACCGTCAGATTAACCAACTGCCACAAGAAATTAGTGGATGGATCGTGCAGTGAACATGCAGCGCGTGTCCGCGAACCCCGAAACGCAATGTACGCGCGGCTGCACGAGGCACGTGAGGCGTGTGAGGTGTGAGGTGAGAGGCGCGGTGTGAGGTGAGGCGTGTGACGTGTGAGGCGCGGTGTGAGGCAGCCGAACTGCCTCGATCCTCGATGATGGTACAGTCAGTGCGAAATGGACCGACGATGGAATAATGGAATCATGCCCGGGCGCGCCGCGCCGCATCGCGCAGCATCGCGCAGCATCGCGCACCTCGTGTACTTTGAATGCGGCTTCGCGTTGCCGCGCGTTCCGTGCCGTCACTGCATTGTGGGGCCGGCGGTAATCCCAGCCGGCTTGCCCGGCCTGGCCTGCCCGGCCCGGCCCGCCCGTCCCGGCCTGCCCGTCTGCTCTGAAAGCCTTTCAGAAAGCAGAAAGCGTGACAGGCAGTGCCATGGCATGGCCGAGCCGAGCGAGCGCTGTGCCGTCCGCATGCGATGTGCGCGCTGTGCGCACTGTGCGCCGACCGTGCTGGAGCCAAGCCGGGCTGGAGTGGGCTTTCGGGATTTCGGCTGCTGGCCGCTGCTGGCGTTCATCCGCGCCCACGCCACCGTGAAGCGCCACCACACCGGCCACACCCTCCCCCTCCTCCCCTTCCCGCTCATCGACAGCGCGGCGGTCGCGCCGTTCGGCATCACTGACAGGTGGGCGGACGGACAGACAGACGGTCAGACGGACGGACATGCTGGCCCGGCGGGAGGCAGTAGACCGTGGTTGTGGTGCATCCATTTCCCCGATCGGATTATCAAACCGCCGGAGGAGAGGGGCCGTGCGGGGCGGAGCGGGACTTGTGGAGCAATCCCCCGAAGTTTGGGCAAGTTGGCGCCGTGTGGCGTTGACGTACAGGCCGTGCCATGCGCGTGCAGGCAATCGCTCAGGACGATGGACTCGAAAACAAGTCGACGGCAAGGCTGGCGCGGCGAGGCTGCTAGCAGGATCCTCGCACCCAGGCACTCCCGGCAGCACGGCAGCACGGCCGTCGGGCGGTAATCAAGCAGCCAGCCAAGCCAGCCAAGCAACAGCCAAAAGCCCCGCACCTGACGCCCGCTGGGGTAGGCTGGGGTGGGGCGGGGAGGGGCGGGCGAGCTGGAGGGAGCTTCCGTTGATCACCTCAAAGCCCCGAAGCAGCGACAACGCGTGTATTAGAGGCGGGCCGAAGTTTGGGCCAGGGGAGCTTTAAGCGCCCCTAATCACCCGGACGTTGTTAACGAACCGGGGCACGGCCAGCCAGGCATGGCGCACTGGGAAAAAATGTATCACGCGGCGCGCTGTCGGGGGAGTTTTCCTCTTCGGCCAGCGTCGGTAACTTGACTGAGAGGGCCAGGAGGGCAGTGCGGTCAGGAGCAGGCACGCCGGGGGCGATATGGCAAAGTTACGTGGCGCTCTTGAGCACACGCCCCCCGCCCCGCCCATGGCCCCATGGCCCCGCCTAGACCAGCCTTGGCTGGCGGCCCTGGCGGCGAGGACTCCGCGCCGTGGAGCGTCATGGCCAGTCATGGCGGCAGCGGCAGCAGGGCAGCAGATTCCGTCGACCTATTTCGGTGGCCATTCGGATGACCCCCTTTGACCCGAGACAGGCGTGGCCAGGCGTGGCCGTCCATCCAGGCCACCCAGAGCGAACCGAGGAACGCCCTTCCCGCCAGGAGCGCTCCTGGCGCCTTGAGACGAGTCACTGTCCAATCACTGTCGGATTTGCATCGAATGGCTGGCTGGATAAGGAACTGGCCGTGCGCGCCGTGCGCGGTCGCGGGGCTGGATTCGGCGTGGATTCAGTCTCGGAGTGCAGGGCTCAAGGTCCTGGAGCCAGAGGCGCACTGAGCAGGGGGGAAGGGAGGGGTTGGTGGCGGTAGCGGTGGTCTTCCGTCTTCAACCCTCCCCCGGCTCATCCTACGCTTCAGTCTAGAACGCCGCCCAGCAGGGCAGCAGGACCGCGGCCAGCGCCTCGGCGGTGTCGGGTCGCGGCTGATGAGACAGACAAGCCGAGCCGAGCCACCCCGCGGGTCGGACGTGGCGTACGAGTAGCCTGTCGGTTTGTCTTCCGAAGTCCGAAGCCCGCCAGTCCAAGCCGCACGTGTTGAGCCTCGAGCCCCGCGGGACGGACTTCGTGTTGGCGCTGACGGACGCAGCGTAGTAAGCCTGAGTGAGCTTCGGCAGACTCGCCACTGCACGCCCTGCACGCATCGAATCCCAGGACTTGATCAGTTTTGACTCGGAAACATCGTCGTCGTCCTCTCTCTCTCTCTCTCTCTCTCTCTCTCTCTCTCTCTCTCTCTCTCTCTCTCTCTCTCTCTCTCTCTCTCTCTCTCTCTCTCTCTCTCTCTCTCTCTCTCTCTCTCTCTCTCTCTCTCTCTCTCTCTCGCTCCCCCCACGCCCCTCTTTTATCTCACACTAAAGGTGGCGGCACGCTCGCTGCACTGCAAGTGGCCGGCTGGTGCACTGTAAGTGCACTGCAGTGCAGGACTGCAGGCACTGCGAGGCGGAGGGTGGAGTACTGCACCCCACGCCGTAAACCGTTAACGACGTTTCATTCGGCTGGTCGCTCTCTCTGTCTCTGCCGCACTCGTGGGCCGTCCCGTGTGTCCGGTAGGCCCCTGCCAGGCTTGCCGGTGGGCCCCGCAGGGGTGCGAGAGAGACAGGGCGACGATGAGCGCTGCTCGGAATCGGCCTGCTGTCTGCTTTCGTCGCTCTGTCTCTCTCGCACTCATGGGGCGGTCCGTAGGGGTGCGAGAGAGACAGAGCGACGAAGCAGTGTTCGGAATCAGACGGCTGCTGCGCGCTGCTGCGTGGCCGAGTGCGTGGCGCTCCCGGTCTCCCAGCATCTTGCAGTCCCAGCTGCCGAGCCGAGCCCGAGCCGCCTCTTCCTCTATCATGACCATCATGACACGCTGCAGGCTGCCTGCAGGCCAGGCCCAGCCAGGCCCAGCCAGGCCCAGCCGGCGCGACGCGGCTTTGCTTGCTTTGCTTTGACAGGTTTCGCCAGAGGCAGAGGCGGCGGCAGCTCTCGCTCTCGGAACTGGAATACTCCCTCTTTAGATTCGCGTGGCGGATATTTCGGTTCCGTCGCCGTCGCCCCTGCCGCGTGTGTGTGTGTGTGTGTGTTGTGTAGGTGTGTGGTGTGTGTGTGTGTGGTGTGTGTGTGTGTGCGTGTGTGTGTGTGTGTGTGTGTGTGTGTGTGTGTGTGTGTGCGCGCGCGGCGTGTGTGCGTGTGTGCTTTGGCCTTTTGATGGCACCCGCAGCCCGTGGGTTCGCCGGGCTCGCCATTTCGCCGGTTTCGTCGGGTTCGCCGGATTCCCCTCACCCACGTCAGCCATTCACACAGCCATCTCTCTATTTGTCATCGAGTGATAAGTCCAGCTATAACGGCTCGCTGCCCCGCGCTGCCCCGCGCTGCCCTCGCTGCATGGCGTACGTCTGCCCCCAAAAAAGTGATGGATTCCCTCATGATTCCAGTTTCTCTTTGGCGGGCCTTTCGGCTTTTCAGAAGTCACATCTGAAATATGAACGGGCTGGGTGGGGGTGGGTGGGGGTGGGTGGGGTTCAAGGAGGAGGGCTGCCTTGCTCCGCACGCCAGTTCGCCAGCCCAGCCAGCCCGCGCCACCCTGAGGCAGAGGCAGCGAACGCAGCGAACGTGGCGAGGCGAGGGAAAGGACCTGAAGGCCCGGAATGGTAAATACCGGTGGAGAGCGTGGGACTGCGTGGGACCCGAGACGTGACATTTGGTCTTTTCGGTGTTCGCGACGATGTTTGCTTCATCCAAGCCACTGGGACGCCACTCCGAGACGGCAGTGGAATAATGAATGCGGGCACGCCACTGTGAAGGCAAAGGCCTTTCATTACGAAAGCATAAAGCATGCAAAGGAAGGCGACTTCCATCGAGCGGCTCCCGACACTCCGAACCCCCGGAATCTATCGAACGACCGTCCCAAAGTCCGACAGAAAATCCGTTTCCCTATCAAAGGCACGATGCACAGTGGGACAGAAGACCGGTGGAGGTGGGCAAAATTCTAGACTCGTTTTGAGCTCCAGATTCGCTAAACAGGACTCGAACCGAACGTGTGACCCCTCCAATGGATTCCTCGTTCAAAGAGCAATTTATTGGTGGGGTTTCGGCCGCCTCCTCCGGTCTTCTGGCCCACTGTGCGCACGCCTCTAGTCCGTGAGCCTGGCAGTCTGTGGACTACGAGTGGCGTACCCACACAGGGCTATGGCCTCGTGGCTACGGCCGGCTACGGCGGTGGCGGTAGTTCAGGGCGGCGCGGGGGCGTCGAGTCAGCGCTGTATTTTCGCAAAGCGTCGGTACTACCCGCGCCGTCTGCGCCTCGACGCCTCCTGACCCACTGACCCGCATTTCGACAAATTATGACTGACTTGCTTGCATGCCTGTAACTAGGATCATTACCCCAAATTCCGCACCCCGGGCCAAGCCAGTGTGTGTGTGTGTGCGCGCGCGCGTCTGTGAGTGTGCGTGTTGTGGGTGGCGCGCCCCCCTTGTGCCTTGTGTGCGTGTGGGTGTGCGTGTGTGTGTGTACCAGTAGCAAACCAGGGCGAAGTTATACGGTTAGCGATAAAAATAGACTAAAAAGGGGAAATGTTGATGCTGCTGTCACTGGCGTCGCTGTTGTTGCTGCTCTTGTTGTTTCGAGTGAAAGGCGATTGACACGTGGTTCCATCCGACTCCGAAACAGCAGCCAGCGCACTGCAGCGGGGCTGGGCCTGGCTGGGCTAGGCCTGGCTGGGCATGGCTGGCCATGGCTGGCTGGGCTCCTCCATTCCCCGATGCTCTCACGACATAAAGGCGGATTGCACACTTGGGTCGGTGCTGCGCCAATTAGAACCGCAGCCGCAACGAAAGGCAGTGCGCGAAAAGCGCAAGGCCCCTGCGGCACGGCGCGGCACGGCACGGTACGGCGCGGCGCTGCGTGGCGGGGGCGGCCTTTACTGCGTACATGCTGGTCGTGAAAGTCTCGGAGGGCTCTCCTCTTGCTGCTGTTTGCTTACGTTGGCGTTACCTTGACTGCCACGGGGTGCTCGTGGACGAGGACGGAGGCGTGGGGCGGGGCGGGGTGCGGCGAGGCGGGGCGGGGCGGGGCGGGGCGGGCCACAGAGGAGAGGAGATATGAGAGGATACAGTGCGGGTCGGGTTTGGTGGAACGCTCTTCTTCTAGAGCGCGTCTAATTAGCTGCCGCCCCCTCCCCTCCCCTCATCTCCTAGCCTCCCAGGCTGCCAATTAATCAAGTTGCGATACTGGAGCCGTGCTGCAGGCCGCGCTGCAGGCCGTGCTGCAGAGAGTCCGGTGGCTGCACGATCGCCGGGAAAGGGACCCTTCAAGGGAAGTCCGCTTTTGTCCCGCCGCAGCACTCGCGAGCACTGCCCAGGCACTGCCCAGGCACTGCCCGGGCACTGCCCAGGCACTGCCCAGGCACTGCCCAGGCACTGCTCAGGCACTGCGCAGGCACTGCCGGCACTGCCCAGGCACTGCCCAGGCACTGCCCGGGCACTGCCCAGGCACTGCCCGGGCACTGCCCAGGCACTGCCCAGGCACTGCCCGGGCACTGCCCAGGCACTGCCCAGGCACTGCCCAGGCACTGCCCAGGCACTGCCCAGGCACTGCCCGACGGCCGGCCGGACACCGTGACTCAACAACGCGGTCGGGTTACATCCCTCCAGCATCGCAGCAATGCGCAGCAGTGTGCAGCACGCCTGCCAATCGTGTGACGGCGCGTTGGGACCGACAGACGGACGGACAGACGGACGGACAGTGGTGACGGTGCGGACAGGCCGACCCCCTCCCCAGCCTCCAGCCCGAGCGGCGCGCCCCCTTGACCACGGTCCCTACGTAATGAATGGGCACCCCCTTAGCGTGGTAAAGATTGTCAACAGAAGGAGGGAAGGGGGCGGGGGGAGTGAGCGCGCAGAGACAGGCGGGTCGGGCCGGGCTGGCGCTATGCACAATGGGGCTCCCCCCTTCCCCTTTTCCCCAGTGCCTTCAAGCCTTCCAGCCTTACAGCGTCATTTCGTTAAGAGGGCGCGTTTTCGAACGAGGGGCGGGCGGCAGGCGCACTGTCTGCGTCCACAATGACAGCCTCTTTGTCCGCGGCCCGCCTTGGCTGCAGCCTCCGCGGCCTCCGCGGCCTCCTCGGGGTGTCACTGCCAGCGCACAGCGCACCAGGTCTGCCCCTTTCTCCGCCGCGCCCTCCCACAATCCCACAATCCGTCAGCGTTTATTCCGCATTGCCTTATCACTCGGCATCCCTCGGCCACGGGCATGCCGTCGGCATCGACCCGCGATATGGCCGCGGCCGCGCCGCCGCGCCTCCCCGACGGGCGGTCGGGCAGTCGGGCGGACGGACACAGGTGAAGGCACTCCAACACCGCGCGGCGTATACTTTACTTTTTCTGTTTGTACATCTGTGGCGGGCGGAGAGGCGCCGCCGCCGCAGTGTGAGTGTGACAACTCCGAGAAAAATTGACGCTGCTCGTCGTTCTCCGAGAACGGCGGGGCGGCGGGGGCGGGGAGGGGGCGAGGCGGGGCACTGCCACTGCCCGACCCACCCCGACGCACCGCACCGTGACGCCACTCGAGTAAAACGTCGGAAAATCCACTCGCATTTCCACCCCGCAGCGCGGGTTCAGACGAGTTCGCCCACACCTACACCCACGTCCCGCGTTCCACGTTTCGGCGCGCTTTTTGTTTCGCGTCTCGAATAATATCGCCTTGGGCCGCGCTGCGCCGCGCCGCCCTCGGTGGCTGCCTTGATGCTTGCAGTGGCGTGTAAACCACAACGCGGCAAGGCTGGGCAAGGCAGGGCAAGGCGAGGCAAGGCAGGGCTCCGAGGTAAATACAGATTAACCATCGGTTCCGTTTATTTAGACACTCGTCCGATAAAACGGCGGGCGAGCCGCCCCGCGCCCCGCCACGCGTAGGCCGAGGGCCGCCCTGCACGGCCGGGGCCGGGCGGGGCCGCCAGCCGCCTCTCCTCGCGTCATCGCGTGCACTTTTTAGCTGCACATTCGCCTCGCCGGTGCAGCTTTCCTGTTTTCCTCGATGCCGCGGCCATGCCGGCCTGCCTCGCGGGTTTGTTGAACTCGGCGCGGCCCGGGCAGGGCGGCCAGGCCCGGGGTCGGGCCCAGGTCGGTCTCCTCCTGCTGGCGGAATATCGGCTCGGCGTGCGGGTGGAGTGTATGGCACCGCGGCCCGGCCCGGCCCGGCCGGTGAGCGATTGGTTAACCGTCAATATGGTCTGGCCGAGGACGCCAGGGCGCCAGGACGGGCGGGGCGGGCACGCGTGGGGCACGCGGGTACTCGTCACATGATGGAGCGAAGGGACGGAGAAGGACACCCCCCGATGTCGTGGCGTCGTTCTGCAGTGTAGCGGCGAAGGGCGAATGGCGGCGCACTCAGCGGAACATAAAGAGCCTCTTTCTTGTTGCAGTTCGTGTGCGGCTTCGTGCTGCTGTGGACGCTGACGCTCATCTCCATGGACCGCTACCGCTGCATCGTGGTGCCGCCGTACCGCTCCACGCTGACGCCCTCCCTGGCCATGGCGCTCACGGCGGCCACCTGGCTGCTGGCGGCCGTCGTCTTCCTGCCCGTGGCCTTCTGGTTCCACGTGCAGCGCACCGAGGCGCCCGTGCAGGACCCCACGCTGCCGGCGCACCTGCAGCAGCAGCGCGACGTGTGCACGCTCGTGTTCCCGCGCAGCGACTCGGTCAACCTGTCGCTGTGCTTCACGGTGCCCGTGCTGCTGCTGGCGTGCCTGCTGCCCATGGCGCTCTTCGTCTTCCACTACCAGCGCATCTTCCGCAAGCTGGTGGAGTCCCGCAGCCGCTGGGCCGCTCCCTGCGTCGTGGTGGCGGCGCCTAGCTCCGAGTCGGCGGGCTCCGAGACGCCGGGCCGGCGCGGCAGCGAGCTCAGCTTCGTGGGCAGCTTGATGGCGCACGCGCACGCCGCGGGCCGCAAGGTGTCGGCCGCGTCGCAGCTGGGCAGCGTCGTCGGCATGCCCATCCCGGGGCTGGGCGGCCGGTCCGCGTCCCTGTCCCAGCACGAGGAGCTGCGTCTCAACAAGCACATCCGCGTGGTGCGCGTGCTGCTGCTCAACGTGCTGGTCGTGCTCGTCATGTGGCTGCCCATCACGGTGGTCATGAGCCTCATCTACGTGGACGGCTCGCGGCCCACCGAGGACACGGACTTCTTCCTGCGCAGCCACCACTTCATCTGGGCGCTGCTCGCCGCGCTGCTCAACACGGTCGTCAACCCACTGCTGTACGGGCTCTTCTCCGAGAACTTCCGCGCGTGCTTCGCCAGGCTGTGGTTCGCGTCCCGGCGCCGCGCCATGGCGGCCGGGGGAGCCTCGGCACCGCGCCACGCCACGCCCGCGTCGCACACGCCGCCCGACGCCCACGAGTACAAGCAGACGTCGCGGACGCCCAGCGGCGGCACGGCGGGCGGCGTCGGCGGCGGGGGTGGCTCCGGCGGCAGGAGCGTCTACTAGGACCGCGACGGCCCCGGCAGGACGGCGACGCCTCTTGCCGGAGCCGCAACCATGACCAACATCGCGGAGACGGCACACATGTAAACACGGACAGCCACCGCTAGTCGAGTGCGAGTGAGAGTGGTGCCGTCTCGCGCGACCTGGGCTCCGTGCCGTCTGTGCCCCGGAGCCATGCCGGAGCCATCGTGCGGTTGTCACGGACTCACGGACTCGTGGCGGTGACGTAGTCTGGCCGCCCACATGATAAGTATGTCCGCGAAAAGACCTCCAGCGGACCTATCCGGGCCGCCATCGCGAGACTAGACTCTTCGGGGAAGAAAGTTTGGTGCGTGCGCGACTCGATGTTTGCTCCGCCTTTTCTGTGACCTCGTTTTATTATTGTGATATGAGCCGCTGTCCTGTTGGTCGGAGCCATTCCGATGCTGCGCCGAAACACGTAGCGACGTAGCACTGTAACGCGGAGCGGCGGAGCGAGGCGGCAGTCCATGGAAGCGAACCAACTTCTCCACTCTATTTGAGTGACATTTCGTCCAGTTAGTGTAATTGTGCCCTCGAGAAAGAGTAAAGCCAAAGTTATGTACGTCCGACTGAAACCCACACACTGTCGTACCGACCGGTGCGCACTTTGACTTATTACCAAAGCGTTTGTGTGATTAGTATTTGGATAGGTCTCTTCGTGAGCAGTATGGCTCTGCACTGTGCTTGTCTCCTAGTCTTGTTTTGTCGAGTAGAACTGTATGCTAAGAACACCAATCTCTATGTAATTTTCCTAAAGCAGCAGTCAGTAGTCGTTACCACCGGGTTCATTCCATTCACACCCGTCGTGGTATTATTGTTATTATCGCTAATAAAAGTCAACTAGACTGTCACAATAAAGTGTATGTAAATAGTGAATCTTCGATGCCAAATACTTAGAGTTAGTATACGCCTGTTTTTGTAAAATGTTCGTGTTGAACGGGAGAGAATAAACGACGCAGTTTCCAGTCTTGACGTCTGCTTTTCCCCTTTTCCCTACCCAGCGTGCACACCATCGGGGTCAGACTCAGAGGACCGTTTGCGACCGGCCCGTATGGGCGCGCGGCACGGCATGGCGGCGTGCGTGGGCGCGGTGGCGCGGTGGCGCGCTGCAGGAATGCACCCAAGAGGACCCTTTGGGTGGAGGGGGGTCAACAATTAGGGTCAAGCGCTTGATGCTTGATGAGGGCGACATGACATTCCGGCCGTGCGAGCTCTTGATGCCGCGGCCCGTCGCGAGGAGGGAGGAGGGGGTCGGGGGCCCGGGCCACACGCGAACACGCCCGAAATGAGTGCGGGGCCTCGAAATGAAAAGGTTAATATTGCGCGGGCAGAGGGCAGACAACCCCGGTGCCTCCGGTCCGGCAGAGCTTTTCACAGGATCGTTCTGCCGAAGTCGGGGGCAGCCTCCTAGAGCAGGGGAAGGCCGCAGCGCGGAGCACGGCGGAGCACGGCCGAGCCAGGGCCAACGTCCCTGTTGACCACGGTCAAGGCCACGGGGGTGAGGGTGTGGGCGCGGTGGAACGCACCACAAAGCTGATGAGACTTAATGGCTGTACCAGGGACGTCGGCTAGATGGCGGCCGTGGCGGCCATGGGCGGCGGCCGCCCGGGCAACAGGCAACCCTTTCGCCTCCACTGCGCGACCGGTCGCGGGCCGCCGGGCGCCAGCCGCCGTGCCGCGCAGGTGGCCGAGCGCTGGCCGATGGTCCTGCTGGTCCTGTTGCCGGCCGGGGTCGTGGCCAACGACGAGCTGACAGGCGGAAAGCGCCGCGCCCGCCACTGGCCGTTTAGTGGTTGGACTGAATTAGACGCCAGTTTGATCCGGGGCGTGATCCCTTCCGACGCGCTGCTGCGTTGATATAGACTGGCCGTCGCTGAGCGCTCCGCGGCCAACCAGCCGCCCGCTCCCCTACACCCCTCGGGCCCCTCGGTCAACATCCCGTCATAGCCGAAGCCATCCTTATTCCCGTCTGACATGTTTGCCCGTCGGAGCCCGTCGTCGGAGACACGACACATTGTGGTCTAGCGTCCGGCCCTGCGCGTCCGGCGCGTCCGGCCCGGCGCAGGCCGCTCGGCCCTGCTCGGCCCGAGCGACGAGTCAGCGACCCGGACCGAAATAGTGCCGTCAAAACACCACGGAGCACGGCCTGACCCGACGGATCATGTAGCGCAATTTGCTTTCGGCGTTACGTCGCGTTACGCGGTAGTTGCACGGCCGCCCCCTCGGCCTCCTCGGCCTCCTCCTCGGCCTCCTCCTTGGCCTCCTCGGCCTCCTTCTCGGCCTCCTCGGCCTCCTCCTCGACCTCCTCGGCCTCCTCCTCGGCCTCCTCCTCGACCTCCTCGGCCTCCTCGGCCTCCTTCTCGGCCTCCTCGGCCTCCTCCTCGGCCTCCTCCTTGGCCTCCTCGGCCTCCTCCTCGGCCTCCTCGGCCCGCATCGCTGCCGCGAGGGGCGCTGGCGCCGCTGGCGCATGTGTCGCGCCACCACCCGGACCGTGCAGCAGTCCGACCTGAGTTATTTGATAACACTTCACCAAATTACGCTTATTATCACCGTCGGCGAGCTACCTGTTGACCTCCGCGCTTATGGAGGCCCCACGAGGAGGCCGCGCGGGCACAGGTGGGAGGAGGGGTGCTGACGTCACGGAGACGCAAAGGGGGCCAAGGGGGAGGGTGTAACCAAACGCCCCGTCTGGGAGCAGCGGCGGGCCGGGGGAGGCGAGGGGTTTGTATGCTCGGCGAGGATGGAAGAGAAAGCCCGCGTGTCCCCGAGTCCGTCCGCCCGTCCGCATTTTGTTTGTGTTGCCAAACTTTGCCGCCAGCGGGTTTTAATGCAGCGCTCCAGCCGTGCGTCCCAGGTCCCCAACGTCCCCCAGGTCGCGATGCACTCCGACTGCAGCAGCACCCGTGCGCCGTGCGCCCCGTCGCGGTCACCCTCGTCCTCGTCTCCATGACCTAGCCGCCCCGCGCCGCCCCGCGCCACCCCAGCCACCCCCAAAAATACCGCGCGGCTGCATCATTGATGCCCCCGTCCACTACGTCCGCTGCATTGGTCATGACTCGGCTGGACTCGGCTTTGAGCGCAGCGTGGGCAAGCGGGTGGGGCGGGCGGGAGCGTGCTGTGACGGCGACCTTTGAGGGCGGATTTAGAAACTGGACATCCAGATCCGCACTGTGCTGCGCGCCGCGCGGTGCGCACTAGCGTGCACACGGCTCACATGGCCTGCTACACCGCGGAGGCAGGCGCTCTCACGTGTTTGACTCGAAGGACATGATGGTCGGGCCGGGCAAACAAGGGCTGCGCGCACCTCCATACTTCCCAACTTCCAGGTCAAGAAAGTTTGCTATCCTTCCTCGCGCCGCGTGACGCTTGGGCGCGTGACGCCAGCTGGACGGCCGGACAGCCGTACGCACAGGTGGCTTGCCGCTCCGGTTGAACAGGCAGACAGACAGACAGGCAGACAGACAGACAGACAGACAGACAGACAGACAGACAGGCAGACAGACAGACAGACAGACAGACAGACAGACAGACAGACAGACAGACAGACAGACAGACAGACAGACAGACAGACAGACAGACAGACAGACAGACAGACAGACAGACAGACAGGTAGGCAGGCAGACAGACAGACAGACAGACAGACAGACAGGTAGGCAGGCAGACAGACAGACAGGTAGGCAGGCAGACAACCCCCTGGCCGTGCCGCCGTGCCGCCGTGCCCCAGACAGCGGCGTCCGCGATCGCCTGCAGCCCCGCCCGCCCCGCACTGCCCGGCTTGGCCCGGCCCTGCCACGCCCACGCGTCCGCGGAGGACAGAGCTAAATATAGGAGCACTCCTTTCTATTCCTTGCAGGAGGCAGCCCACCCCCCTTTCCCCTAGTTATCGCACCACTCGCCACTCTGCGACGGGGTCAGTTGGCGTCCACCCACAGCCCAGGGCGGCGCGAGCCAGGCGCGCCCGGCACGGACGGAGGGGCGAGGCTGCAGGGCCGCACAAACACACACACAATGGACACACAAACGCACACGCACACACACACACACACAAAGAGAGAGAGAGAGGAAACAATAACTGGCATCGCGAGAAGACAGTGACGAGCCAGGCAGGCCCTGGGCAGGCCGACGAGCATTGCGTCACGGCTAGCCGGAATGGTGACGCACGTTGGACGCGGCCCGGACGGCCCGAACCCCGAACCCCGAACGGGACGGCGCGGCCGGCGGGGGAGCGAGCATTAGCAGGGAACGCCGTGGAGGTTGCCTGTCCCGGTGAGCTCGCGTGCGCTGCGGCCCGGCCTGGTCTCCAGGGGCTCGGGCGCTCGGGCGGGTGGGACTGGATGGAGCTGACGCACTGGCGTCGACGGCGACGTTTACCAGCACGCGTCCACACGCCGCCTACGGCCTGGCCGTCGGAGCGGAGCGGCGCTGCACTGGAACCCATTTCATCTCCCCGCTCGTCGCCGCCTAGAAGAGCAGCATCACTGCGGTGGCGCGCCGGGCCTGACCGCCGATTTTCGCCAACTTTTCCCCAATATGCATTTGCTCGACGAGGCCGGGCGGGGCGGGGCGCCTTGCGCTGTGCAGAAGCAGCACTTTCTGCAATTCGCCTCAATTCATCTTTCTCACTCCGACTATATTCCTTCCTTCGCCGTCGCCGCCCTCGTCGCCCCGCCCCACCCCGCCACCCCCTCGAGCTACTTGAGCCGTGCCGTCCTCGACAGCTGCCGCGACCACTTGACCTGCTCTCCATCCCCCACGCCTCCATCCGCCCCCATTCACCTCCTGACCTGGCGAGCGACGTGAGCGGTAGCGGCACATACACACACACTCACACACACATCCATCCCGGCCTCTTCCCCTAAGCCCTCATAAAAATTTCCAGAGTGGCTGCGGGCCTTGTCGTTTCTCGTGTATCACGTGGATAGAGAACGACAAACCAGTAGAAGCAGAAGCTCTCCCCTCCCCCGCGCCAGCTTGCCAGGCTTGCCAGGACCGTCTTGGCGGGCTTGCCTACCCTCGATGCGGTGGGCGCGGCTCAGCAGGCCCCTCTCAGCCAGAGCGAGTCTGTGCGCCTGTCTGTCGGCCTGTCTGTCCGCCTGCCTGTCTGCCTGTGCGTCGGTTTGTCTCTGTGTACCTCCTGTGTCCGTCCATGTGGTTACGCGGCGGGGCCAGGGCCGCCAGGGCCAGAGCGTCTGCCAGCCGAGCGCGGCGGCCGGCGGCGGCGCCAGCCGATGAGTTGACAAACTCTCTCGTCGTGTTTCCCGATCAGTGCAATCCAACTTTCTTAATATCCCCGGAGGCAACAGCAGCAATTTCTTTTTTCAAGCCCCACGGCGCTCGACTCGGCTTTGAGGGACCAGGGGGACGCTCGGCGCGTATCACGCGGCGCGGCGCTGCAGGTAGCACGCGAGCACGCGGCGAATGCATGCATGCATCGCAAGCGTGTTGCGAGTTGGAACCCCAGTTGGAACCCCAGTTGGAACCGCGTCGTCGGCCACCAATCGGGCTGGGTCCGTCTGTCCCTCGATCTGTCCGTCCGTTGGTCTGACTTTGGGGTGGGGCCACTCGGAGGACACGCGCTGCCCGCGTGAACCACGCGCGGCTTCGGCTCGGCGCTCGGCCCCCAGCAGCAGGGTGTTGTGGTGCGAACACGAACCGCGCCAACTCAACGAAACAATCCGAATTCAGAAATTAAGAAAAATTATGCCCGACTTTAATCCCAAGACTTCGGTCACAAAAAAAATAAAAGTGCATGGCAGAGGACGCCGAGGATGCGGAGGACGACGACGGCTTCCGGTGGCGTTTTCACGGCCGCCCCGATGACCCACATGATGGCGGCCGGGCCACGCCGGGTCAGTGATCGGGCAGGTGCTAATTGTTGGTCCGAGTCCCTCCCCCTCCTCCGCTGCTGCTGCTTCTGCTATGCCGCGCCGCTGCGCCTCCTCGTCACGGTCTGGTTTGTGGCGTCCCTCTCC